GGTGTGATGCCTGGACTCCACTCAAGCAGTGCAGCAGTCTCGCCATCTCATCAGCCCAGTTATGGCTATCGCGAGCAGACATCCTCCCCCTCTCACCCTCCACTTGCCATAATATGATAGACAATACATGCATGGCACACAGATGTTGTCATTCGTCCTCGTCGGATTCATTGTCTCCCTCTTCATAACATACACACTCCTTCCCTGGTAGAGTCGCTAGAAGAGCTAGCAACGCACAAGTAAAGCAACCAACTTGCACCCCTCCTTGCCCCTCACGCTACTCTTTTACAACCTGCTGGGGGCACAAGCAGCCGTAGCCGCAGCCCCTGCTTAGGAGTACATATCCAAACACCCCGGCAAGCGCCATCTCGCTCACCGCACAGAGGCGAGCAAGAGTGGGCAGCACCGCGCCTACTTCTCTTTCCCGGATCCCCCCCCTTTTCCATCAACGCGGAAAGAAGGCAAGGACTCCGTCTCCGAAGTAGACCGCACGCCTGCATCGTCCGTCAGCACCAGCACGACGGCGGGGCAGGATTCGCAACGCACCATCTATCCCTATCGCTCTTCCTTTTTGGAAGTCTTTGTATCGATTGATCGATCCACCAACCGACCGAGCATCTTCGTGCTTGAAAGCGTATCCAGCAAGCGCGCAGTACACCCACCACCCTCTTTCCCTCTTTCTTTCTTTTCCACATCATGCGGGCATCACGGATCCTCACCGCAACCCTCATCGCCGTCGCCCCCGCGACCATCCTCGCCGATGGGCTCACTGCCTTGCCCGGTGTGCATGACAGCAACCAACACGCCACGCGCGGCCTGTCCCACTCGCAACCGGCTCAGCCCATCAGGCGACGAAGAGCAGCTGCAGTAGTAGCAGCAGCACCAGGCGGCGATAGCGGCGTTTTCGTCAAGCGCCTCGGAGTAGGTTTTCCTGGGGGCAACGACTCTTCGACCGCTGCCGCATCGGCAAGCAGCTCCTCATCTGCGGCATCAGCATCCTCCTCGTCCGCAGCGGCCGCGTCATCGTCCAGCGCAGCCGCGTCGTCGTCCAGCGCGGCAGCCGCGTCGTCCTCATCAATCGCCGCGCAGCTGTCCTCGAACTCCGCGGAATCCGCGTCGCTCGCCTCGGTTGCGGCGTCGCTTGCGGCTGCGTCGGCAAGTGCTGCTTCGGCGTCGTCGAGCTCCGCCTTCTACGCCACCGCACAGTTGGCCGTGACGGTGATCTCGTCGACGCCGACGCCGACGGGCAACGGCGACTCGTCCGGCTCGGGCTCCTCTGGCAGCCATACAGGCCTTATCATCGGCGTCTCGGTCGCCGGCGGCGTCGCGCTGATCGCGCTACTCGCCTTCCTCTACTTCAAATTCGGCAACAAGCGTTTCAGCGGATACGACTACGACGAGAACGACATCAAGTGGCCCGAGCTCAAGGCCGACAACGACGGCACTGGCGCCGCCATGCAGCCGCTCCCCGCGCGGCGCACCGGCGGCGCCGGCTTCGACATGGGTGACGAGCTGTCCGACGATGGGCTTGACGGCGCCGCTGGAGTTGTCGGCGGCAGCGGCCCCATGAGTGGCGGGCAGCACGGCGAAATGGACGAAAAGTACGCAGGACGTAGCAGCTTCACCGGCTCCACCACCGCCCTGTCCGCCGCGCCACCCGTTGGCTACCCGGTCAATGGCGTCGGATACACGCCATCGGGCTATGACGCGCAGTCTAGCATGGCGCACACCGCCTACAGCTCTGCACCGGGCGGCGTCGTACCCGGCGGATATGACCAGGCTGGCTACAGCGCCGGCTATGCCAACTACGCCACCGGCGCGCCCGGCGCCGACTATGGGCATCACGGCGGCGTTGGCTACGCTGGCGGGTACGGCGCTGCTCCCGGGTACAGCGGCCACGACATGGGCGGCGGCGGGCAGGTCAGCGCCGCGCTAGACCCCGCGAGTGGCGGCGGCTACATAGACCCGCATTACGCGCACGACCTCCAGTCCGCTCATGGCTTTGCCGACCCGTACGGCCGCATCACTGCGACACCGACCGGGTACGATGCGTACGGCAACCCGCGCATGTGACGAGGGACAGGCACGCGATTATGTCCGTGGCTCATGCGCTGTGCGCTGTACGTTGTACCGGTTCCCGCGGCTCTCCTCCTCTCACCCCCAACTCGCAGCGAAGAGGGCAGGCCCTCATCTGCGCGAGCTGCCCTTCCCCCCATTCCCACGTCCACCCCGTCCGTGCGTCGCCCACCCATTCAACCACCAAGCGCCCGCCCTTCAGGACCTTTTGTACTTGTACCTCATTTATTCGTCTCCGGGTTGGGGCCTCTTCATCCAACACCATCATCACCGTCGCCTCGCCGCACACGCTGCGGTGGCGGCGGCATGACGTCTCCTTCCCACCGAATCCCTCAGCTCCCACCCATCTATTCCTACTGGGATCTCGACCGACACACTCGTTACTTTCTTTCTCTATATGTTCGGATCAAGTAGTCGGGTCGGATCTGCTGCTCCTTTTTTCTTTCGGGTCCTTCCACCATACCCGTCTATCTACCTAGCTATCGACGGCAGATGTGCGAGGCGTTGCAATATGCACACTCTCTCTATTGCTTCCAGCATCACCTCATCCTACAACTCTCTATGGCTGCAGCCGGCGTTCGCTTCTCGCCAAACGGACAATTGTACTTGACTCTATCATATCATCTTTGGAACAGTTTTCCATGTGTGCGGGGGCATGTGCTGGCGCGTGCGATGGTGCGCTCTTATCGACCCATATGCAGGCATCGCTCATTCTTCGACAGGATTCAACCTGCCTTGGTCTGGTTTACGAGTTACGACAGGTTTACGAAGACTCAAAAGTACTTGCATCCTCGAACATATCTGCCACGCTGTCTGGGACTGAATCATATCAACCACGTATGTATGAATCAAAAATTCGGCAAGGAGAGCGCGGGCAATCTACCATGGGAGCATTCGACGCCACAGGATGATTATACGTATCACAGTTTCATGGGTAGCCCACGCCACCGCCCACAATGGACATCCCCAACAAGTTCTCGCCTTCACAATCTCATGCACTCTGCGCATGAAATAGTGCCCTTGTGCGGTCAGTTGACTCGCCTTGGGGGTATTGCAAAGGGCAAGAAGGTCCTGTGTGCGATGTGCATACTATACTGGGCGGTGTACCGAAGACAACAGATGGATGGAAGCTGTGATCCCGGCAGGTGGGCGGAGCGACAGCAATGTCGGGGGTTCGATCACACAACAGTTAGAGGTCCTTCTGCTTCTCTCGTCACCTCATGTCCCCCAGTCCCTACCATGTCCTTTACTGTTTCACACCTCGCACCCTTATCTCCCTTCCAATGTCGCTTTTGGGTTCGGTACAAGTCGGACGGGTGTCGGGTCCAGTGTCCGCACGCCGTGGTAGCAACAACCGATCGGCCCATTGAGCCCCGGGGGAGTGGGCGCCCAGGAGAGCTGACATTGCGATTTTTTTGTAAAGAGAGATCAGAGCATGATCGAGTGTTCTTCGCTATCATATGTATCTGGATGTCCCGGGAAAGGAAGGCATTGCACAACTTTGGCATCCGTCATTTCGAAGCAGTCGCCCCAACCTCTCCAAACTCCAACAGCTTCCAGAGTCGGAACGACTCAAAGCCATCATAGAACCCTTCGTGATGTGCAATCTACAGATTCTCACCCAGCATCGGGCCTGTACATTGCAGTGCATAGGTACCTCTGCACTGGAAATATGAATGTTCGACGTTCGACATTGACCTCGTGGCTCTCACAAGTATGTATGCACAATCATCATACAAATGAATCGCTGGCCTGTCCTTGCCCACGAACTCAGAGACACTGGCTTCCCCGGTTTGCATTCTCATGAGCCAACTGTCCCTGGGCTCAGCAGTCCCTTTTCCACTCCTGCCTGTCTCCACTGAGAAGATGGCACGTCAAGGTCGTACCATTGAGCCAATTTGGAGCACAGAAAAGCTCACATATCGCACTCATCAACGGACTGATCGGCGCGCTCTCGCGTCTGATGCGTAATACTTTATGCTAGCTGGAACAAAATCAGCACAAGTCTCGCCGAGGACTTCGTCATCTCGATTTGACTGTTGCTTTTTGGACCTGAACCTTGCCTTGCTCGCCCTAAAGCCGCTCGCTAACTAAGCTTTCCAATAAAATCTGCTGACTTTGTCCATCTTGAAACAATTGCTGCCTGGCTCTCTCCTGCAGTATATTCACCCTCGCGTCCACCTGACATCTTGGCCTTTCGCAGGCTTTACGCAAGCAAACATGACGCGCTCCCCTTACACTCCTAGGTGCAAGTTGTCTGTCTTCACCGCCGCCTCTTCCCTTTCTTTCTGCGCGATGACGGCAGTATCGCCCGTTGCTGTCGCCCAGCATGCCTTTGCTCCCTCGTTATCCTGGGCGCCTGCGTCGCGGCCACTTGTGGCCAGCCACAAAGCGCTGCCCAGCGACGCCGACAAGGCCGCTCGGCCGACCCTGGGGTGCAACCCTTCGCAGGGTCCCAAACACAGAGGTGAGATGCTGCCCAAACCGCACCAGGAGGTACTCGTGGACGAACCCTTCGAGTTCTTCTTTTGCAGCCCGACTTTCTTCAAGACGAGCTCTCGCTTCTCCTCTACTCGGCAGATACCGCCGAGGCGCAAGGGATCAGCAGCCCTGCGCTCAGCGCAACCGGGCAGATCATTGCGCTTGATGTCACTGCGAGTCACATCGCAATCGTCTCTCTCTCCCTGTCGAGAGGTGAAGCGAAAAGGTAGGGGTGTTGATGATCGTACTGTGTCTTTGATAGCCTGAGCAATACCACTCCAGTATCACAATCAACCCGACGCTAGACTTCGTTCCTGGTGAGGGCGCACAGAAATATTACCTCGGCGTCTTTGAGACGCAAAACGCCTACCAGGTGAGGGCAACCACTTTCGGTAGACGTGCGGTTGCAAGGCGAGGTCACGGGAGCTGACGAAAAAGCGGCTTACTGCTTCTCCTGTGCATAAGCAACCGGCGAGCTCGTCCAGTATCAGACTTTCTCGATTCCGATCACGCTGCGCTCATGATCGCTTTCAGGCACAGATCATTCATCCTCTCCCAAACCCCATCACATTTGCGCTTTTGCGAACTGCTCTTCCTCGTCGGTGAGTTTCTGCTTCCTTTGTACCATGTAAATACCAACTGCAAACGCACGACTCGACAGTCCAAGCAGCTTCCGACACCCAATTTTTCTGTCTTCCTTTCTTTCGACAAATATGCATTGCGAGTATAGTGGAGCGAATAGACGCAAACGGCCAATAGGTACTTTTAAGCAGGCTCGCGCAGAGCAGGTATTCGCATGGCGAGTCGAATGAGGGCAGACTGCAAGACGTCCCATTCCCTGGGCGCCTTGGATTATTCTTCCTGAATAGATCCCTTCAGAAGAAGAAATTCCAGACCTTCTTGTAGAGCGGCGCGTTCTTCGCCTCCTCCCTCTCGCGCCTGAGCACCTCGACAGGGACCGGATCGCGACGACCAGTGACAATGTCAATGTCGTCAATTCGCAGCAAGCCCCCCTTCCAGTATATCTCGCCGATGATCCAGAAGATGCAGACGACTGGGAAGGCGAGGAAGCTCTGCAGAAGTGTACATTCAGAGCAAGATCAGGATGTTAGCCATTCACGTACATATTACACCCCGCCTGACGAGTGGGGTAAGACTCACCTGGAAGAAGTTACTGGCGCGGTCGCCCGGTGAAAGGCGCTCATCGGGGTTTGAGCTTTCGATCGGCCAGGCAGCGATGATGGCCTGGAAGATGACAACCAAAACTGCGTTTGAGAAAAGTGATCAAAAGCCGACGAGAGAGTAAAAATACCTTCGAGATCAGCATATAATCTAGAGACACACCCAGGTCCACACTCACGGCAGAAGATGCTGCCGTACCATGAGCCAGCGACACCAAGCGGCGACTTCCACGGCAGCTCCTCAAGCGTGTGACCGGCGCGCGCCCAGGCGAGCCTGAAACGAATGTGGCAGACGCAGATGGAGCCCCACGAGAAGACGGTAGAGAGACCCGAGAGGGCGAGGAGCCAGTTGAACACCGTCGTTGTGGACGTGCTGTAGACGAGGAACGAGAGGAAGCCCATGGCCATCGACAGCGCAACGGCTGGCAGCGGGCGGCCCTGACGGTCAATGTATGTGAAGATGCGCGGCGCCTGGCCGGCCTGCGCGAGCCCGAGGAGCGTGCGCGACGCGGCGTACACAGCCGAGTTACCTACGGACAAAACTGAGATGAGGATGACTGCGTTGAAGACGGACGGCAGACCCGTGATCTGGGCGTTGGTGATGGCGATTACGAATGGCGAGGCGCGCGCATCGTAGCTCGACGACCCACCGAGCAGACGAGGATCGGTCGGGTTAACAGTGAGCGTGATCATGAGCAGAGCGAGGACGTAGAAGAGCTGTTGCAGTACAATATTTGTCCTTGTCGTGTCAGTGCGTGCTCTGGTCCAATTCGCAACACATGCCCATCTTGCTATACGACTCACTAGGATACGCATGAAGATCTGCTTTGCAGCCTTGGGAACTTCCTTCCGCGGGTTGCCTGTCTCGGCTGCGGCAAGGCCGATCAGCTCGGTTCCGGCAAAAGCGAACGCGGCGGCGACAAAGACACTACAGAAGCCCTGGAAACCATTGAAGAAGGCACCGGAAGGCGTGTGCCAGAACGAGTCGCCCGTTGCGACGCCGTTGGGGGCGCCGCCAGCGGTGATGACGATGCCAGCGATGATGAAGCCGATGACGGCGATGATCTTGATCATGCTCGAGCCAAATTCGAATTCACCGTATCCGCGAACGCCGAACAGGTTGATGATGGTGATGGCAATGAGGAAGATGATCAACCAGACACCGGGCGAAATGTTTTTGTTCGGGTCCCAATACTCGATCACGATCGACGCGGCGACAAGCTCCAGCGGTAGGACGATGAACCACTGCATCCAGTAGTTCCAGCCCATGGCGAAACCATACGAGGAAGAGATGAAGCGAGTGTCTGTTTAGAGGGAAACAACCCATGAAGTGTCAATCCGGTTGTTCGTTCTCCAATTTCTCGATTACTCGTGAGACTTACTGTAAGCGGCAAAAGAACCAGAGACGGGGAAGACCGTTGCCAGTTCACCAAGCGACATGACGACGCAGAAGAGCATGACCCCGATCAGGGTGTAGTCTGCCCATGCGCGCAATCATTCGTTATTAGCAACCGCCGGTATACGATGGTGGAACTATCTCCTTACTCACCGAGCAGCAGGAAGCCGGGGCCACCGGTGGCATACACGCCGCCGGAGCCAACAAAGAGACCAGTGCCGATGGAGCCACCAAAGGCGATCATCTGCATGTGCCTCTGGGTGAGGTTGCGCTTGAGGCCGCTCTCGTCAGACGTGACGCGCGTACCGCTGCCGTCGGCATTGACCGCGACAACACCACCGACGGTACCTTTCTCTGGGTCGATCGCCTTCTCATAGTCTGTGTCCTTCAGATCGGCTGCGCCCGCGCCGTTCTCGGAGCCGCCGGTCACATTCGGCGGCGCATCCAGCACGCGGATCGGCACCGGCGCGGGCTCCAGGCGGAATGAGTCGGCAAAGTCGCGAAAGAAGCCCATGTTGGTGTATGTAGCGGGTAAGAATCGGCTGATAAGGCGGGGCCGATTGAATTAGATTAAATCAAGAGATGTCCTTTCGGTGGGTATCTCGCTGGGGGACTTGCGATGCTGGGCGAGAGCCGAGATGCGCGGGAGTGGAAGACGTTAGTGCTTCCCCACAAGGCGCGTTTGATTGTCGGCAGGATGAAAAGCGGATCTGGGAGAGTTGCGAATATTTTTTACCAAGCCACCGTCCAGTGAGCAGCGTCTTCCCGGGGCGGAGTTCTGGCCTCTCAAGAGTAATCGCGTCGTCTCCTGGCAGAGTGTTCCAAGCGAGACACGAGGGAAGGGATGGGCCCTGTATACGCAAGCTGATCTGCAGCAGCGGTAAGAGGGAGGGGGGTAGGCGTCCAGCAGGAGGAAAGGTGGCGGTGGGAATGTCCAGGGATCGGCGACGTGCAGAAGGCTCTATATATCCGTGTGAGAGGAGTGGGAGCGAGGTCAAATGAGAGCTGGGCCACGGTTGGCCCATCCAGATTGTATGTGGGCGCCAGCCTGCGAGAGCTCGGTCGACTGGGGGCGAGAGTGCGTGCCGCCAACGTACTGTGCCTGTGTGTATGTACATCCATTTCGTGCGATCCCACGCCGCTATCTAGCTCCTTCACTTCTGGCGATGCCGCAGTCATGGCTGCGGAAATGGCTCGACCGCTGTTGAACATTTTCGCTTCTCTGCAGCCACCGTCCTCCAGAGCTGATGCCTTGTTCCTCTGTTTAAATGTGAGCACTCTGTAGCCCGCTTGGCCACAGGCGCCCAGTGCTGCCACTCTGCACAAGGCCCAGGTGCAGGGCTCTGCTGGACTGCATGCAATCGAGCACTTAGGACCCCGTCACCAGAGCGCTGTGATTCGGCTAGCAACGGTGAGACCCTAGGCGGTGTGCTCTCTGCCGCAACTCTTTCACTGCGCTGATGCCCCTAGTATCGCTTCGCTCTATGATACCACGGGCGGAAGAAACAAGCAAGTTTTTAACTTCGTTATCTCAGCCATTATGTCAGTGTCCACCTGAGTCCACTGGTCTCCCTCCTATCAGGTACACACCCCGTAGATCATGCAGCCTCTGGTCTTTGCGCAATGGGGGAATCTCTTGGCCTTATCTGTCTTTGCCCCTGAAAGTCTGGGCAAGCAGATTGGGCACTGTCTAGGCATTGTGGTTTTCAATCCTTTGAGGTACGAGAATCAGGAACCTCGACAGATAAGCCGTAGGGCGACTGGACGAGCGCTCAGCCCACCGAGAGAGTAGCGATAAAAAGGGAGCAGAAGAGATACCAAGGAAAATGACGCAATGAAAGTATGCTCGAAGTCGAGCCCGTTTCAAGCCCGCTTCAGCAACCAATATCGAACAGGCGCCGGTCGCTGGGCCGCTAGGCAGATGCAGGCTGGCAAGTGGCTAGTAGAGTTGGCCCGGAACCCGTGTGGGCTGCCGCCGGGAACTTCCGAGTTCCTTCCCTGATACCTTCCGAGCCTTGCTGGGGATGTGTCGCAAACCTTGCCACTCCAGTGGGTTTCCAGGACCCGCAAACCCTTCAGAAACTGCCTTTTCTTGGCCTAGAAACCCCCAAACCCGTGCTCTGGAGGCAGAGACGGAATAGGCCCCATAATTATTTAACTTTACTAGCGAAATATGGGTGGCTACATAGAGAGTGTTCAGGGGTTACTGTAGCTTTCCAACGAGCAGTCGTTTCCCAGAAAGGATTTACAGGCGTTTACGGGAGGTTTTGGTTGTCGGGACCAAGTAATTCCCAGGTTTCCGGGCCAACTCTTCTGGCTTGCCTGGAGAGTAGAGGGGCGGGGGAGGGGGAATGGTCTGCAACAACATTCAAAGCCACTTCGCCAAGTGACGCGGCGATGGAACAATGAGGCGAGAATTGCGTCGTCTGCACTCTGTAAACTGTAAAGTTAGTCATAAAGCGATTGGCGAGCTGTACACCGGTGCCCGGTGCCAAGACGGACAGCTGCATCTGGGACATATGAGAATGTGGTCCTGCTGCGTGGGCGGGGTAGGATACGGAAGCGTGATCCATACGAGGATGAACACCTAGCAGACGAATGATTAATTCAAGTTCAAGGTTCAATATACGAGTTCACTCCTGCCCGTCTGATCCTAGACCGACCGCCAGCGCCCAGGTCGACCCAGTACCCGGGGATGGACTGGGACGTGTGGCAGCGGCAAGCCGAGCCGAGCCAAACTCACCCTCCAGCAGCGGGCGAGGCGTTATAGCCAATCTGGATCTATGTCTATTGGCATTATGTAGTCGCTCAGCATAGTCACGTATCATTCTCACTTCGGGTCCTTTACCGGATCAGATGGCAACGCTGGCATCCGAGGCCGCAAAGCCCATGGTCCACGTATGCGCGGGCCAGCGCAAAGGCGGCTGCGTACTGATGGCAGTAATGATCGACATTCTTGGGCGCAAATGGGTAGGTGACGATGAACAAAGATTGCAGCCCTGTCACTTCCATCCTTTCAGGTATCTAACTGTGACTACCTTGGGATAACAAGTGATGGCACGCGCGCACGCAGGATCATGCCCCCGCTCTTTGGTCCATTCCGATACACACTGTACGCAGTCTCGCGCCGTAGTATGGGAGAATACGTAAAACAAGACCAGCCTGTCCAGATGCAGAGTCAGATATGCACTGCTGCCTTCGGTCGTTTTATGTGCAATTGACATTGGACGCGAAATGGTCGCATATGTAAGTCTTCTCCGCGCAAGTTCATGATCCAACTGCCCCCCGGGGGAACAGAGCTCTTTTCAGGCAGTACATCCGAATACAGGAAAGAGTGCTTCACGAGGACGAGCTACCGTAGGCTCGATGCTGCGACGTGTCAGGGCTGATGTGCCGAAAACCGTCGGAACCCCATCGCCGTCGTGCACGATCGACGATGGCGAAAGCAAACCCGCAAAGGAGGGAAAGAGCCAAGCGCCATATCCTGTAAGGTCTCCAATATGCCAGCAAGTCAAAAACGATCTCTCTTACTTTTCGAATGGGAAGCGGCCTGGAGGCTGGAGCAGCTTTCCCCATGTACTTTCGTATTTATCAGCCTTGAAGCTGTACGCGGGATTCACAATACAGTCAGCGGCAGCACCTAAAGTTCTAGGCAGGCGCAGGCATGGGCCGGCGCCCATGCAACGCCGCGCAAATGAAAGGCCGGGGCAGAATGCAAGGAGGTACTGAAGTCTGCATGCTGCGCGGACCAGGTGGACCAACGACACCAATATGGTTAACAAGGCTGCACAGTACAGACTCGCGACATACATGCAAAGCTGGTAGCTGAATCTGGCGCCTCCTGTCTTCCTCTCGCGTCGCGGCAGAAGTCGAGTAGTCGACGTGATACACAGGTACAAATTCCTCACTGCACGATGCGGCTCCCGACCTACCCGTTTACTAGGGATGTTATCAGACCTGTGGATGGCGCAGCATGATGGTGGCGGTGTCAACAAAGATTCCCGTCGGAGTCGAGAACCTTCGCTCGCTCTCGCCGCTCTTGCTCTTGACGCGCGTGAGACTTGAAACTGGACTAAATGCCGCGTACCTCATGAGCCATGCCTCATAGACGCTCGCGGCCTCGCGCGCGGCGCTGACTGCCATTCCCTTCTCTCCGGCTTCTGTTGCAGATTGCAGCCCATGTATTGCGCACTACATTGTCAAAGCGAGGCTGTTGCAACAGGTTGGATGAACATTGCAACTCTCCCACAGGCTATCCAAAGTACCGGCTGGGCACGGCCTGGCGTACATGCTCTATCTGGCCTGATTCTGACCGCTGTACTGACGGGTATGTTCGCTCCAGTCCCAGCTCCCTCCAGCAATCAGCAGGCCCGGCTGGCGTCAGCGGCCTGCCGCCTGTGCATCAGTCGTAACCAAATGAAATGACGCGTCTGGCAGTTCTGGCCGCTCTGACCTGCTCGGCGGATATATGGCCTCCATCCATTTGCTTGCATGCTTTTCGAACTCGGTGGTTGTTCTCGCCCTTCACTTTGTTGCCGCATGCCAACAAAACCTCGCAACAAAGTTTGACCATTGGTGTACCTCTCGCCCTGTCCTGGTGACCTGTCTTCACTGATGTTTGTAGGGACGTAATGTCTCTCGTCCTCTCTCGGGGGTTGGGTTGACGCGCTCAGTGGCGTTAGTGCTCACGCGCCCAGTGCTGTCACATCATCTCCGAAATTTGCTCAGTACCGAAGCCAGAGCGGGTAATTCCCCAGGAGAACGATTCTGCCCCTGCCTCAGTGTTTGATAAGAATGTGGTTTGATGTGCGGCATGAACTATAAACCTATGCATCAATGTTTGAGAGCTTTGCAGTCTGTTCAGAGTTGGAAAGACTTGAGCGCTTGTGCTCTTGTGAATGAGTACAGAGCGCTTGATTTGTGGGATGTGGTTGATAAGAGCAGACTTGGTCATGAGCGCATGCCGCATGGAACGATTGCTCGATGGAGACATGGAGCGCTTGAGCAGTGCTGGCCTGCTTGCGCGTCACGTTTCCCTCCTGTGTGCGCTCGACGCCTCTCAATCCATTCAGTCTGGACAGTCTCTAACCCACTTTTAGTCTCCGTTCCACTGTTTGACCTAATGCAAGCGGCCCCACTGTGCCTTGCGGGGGCGCTCTTGTGGGCCTTTTTGCGCAAGGCAGGGGGCAGGTGCTTGCTGCTTATCTAGCGAAAATTTTGGCCTCAGCAGTCCGTCAGCGCGTCAGCGAGCTTTCAACACCGGTGAGCAGTGAAGGACGTGATCGTAAACATTGTAACAGGACGAGCTTGTTATAGCTTCGGTCAAGAGCGCGAACAGTTCATTGCATTGGAGATTTACTCGTTCATTGCAATCATCTGCTTCTCACTTCTTTCCTTTCAATCCCGACGTGCTCGAATCTATGGGGTTGCGACGATGACCGATCGGTTCACCTAACACAGTCACCCTGAGCTGTGCATAACTCGATACGTAGAGCGACTGCTCGTCTGGGTTACTTTCAAAACCAGGTTTACCACCAGGGACTGGCTCGCGCCGGCGCGCCGCAGCTGCTCAGAGGCAGCTCTTCTGGCTCAAAATGATCAACAGTCTCGTGCACAATGGGTGCGAGGTATCGCTGCACCTCGTGTCCGAGGACATCTTCGTCCACCCTCCGCCACTTAACTCAGACTTGCCAGGAGAGGACAAGACGCTCAGCGGCTTGGTCGAGATCAAATGTCCTGTAAGGCTCTATGAATAGATAATGTCCAGGGTGCAACGTTTCGGCTGATTACTGCGGCCCCTGCTTGCAGAGCGAGCGCACCATCCAAGGCGTCAAAGTGACATTGCAGGGCATCCAGACTCTCTCATTCCCTGACGGAGGCGCTTCCACTCCGTCGGGGCATAGCCTGCGTTGGGAGGAAAAGATCATCATGAACAAAACTGTAGAGATCCTGGATGATGGCACTGTTTCAGCCCACAAGCACGCAAAACACACAGCCAAACACTCTTCAAAAGGCAAAAGCAAGGCGAAGGAAGTCTCGCAGGCGGTGGATGAGCGAGGCAGAGGCCGACACAGAGACGAGAATTCCAGCGAGCCGCCTAGCTTGCCGACCAGCCCGACGCTGGCGTCATCCAGCTTGCTCATGACGCAGAGCGACTCGGTGAATGGATCGGTCGTGAAGGGAGGGGGCGACTCGCTCGACTTGCAAAACAGCTCCGCTCCAGTTACGACCCCGCCAGTTGCGCCGATAATGTCAAAACATGATGGCTTGCATCTTGAGAAGGGCATCCACGGGTGAGCTACACGATACTGCTCAGGTGTTGGTATTCTGTCCTGACCGACACTGGTCCCCGTAGCTTCGAGTTTGCATTCATCATCCCAGCAACTAGTGCACCTTATGAGCGTTTCAAGAATGCGCGTGTGCGGTACATTGTGACGGCCACCGCCATAGGCGCCGGCCGTGGACGCTCCAACATTAGCACGTGGCAGGAAGTCTTTATCATCCTACACGTCCAGCCCGATGGCGGGCCGACAGCGCTGGACGTTCAATATCAAGATGTGCACGAAGCACTCGGGCCCATGAGTGTCTCCCTCATCTCGGCGTCGCTCACAGTCGGAGGCACGGCGAATTTGAGCGTCTACCATCCTGACCCGCCTCCAGGCCTGTCTGTACACGCCATCCGCGTCTTCATGGAGCAGACGATCGAGATGTATAGCAGCGTCCGCAAGGCGTGGCTAAAATTGCCGACAGAGAAGCTGCGCCTGTGGGAGAAAGGGCAAATGCCGTACAAGGGCAAGCAGGTGGATGACGCTGGACTGGAGGCCAGCATTTGGATCGCCGATGGAGAAGATTTGCCCGGGCATCCAGGGCGAGGAGCAGGGAATGGCCCGCCAAGCATTTCTCCTTTTGGCTTGCCGCTCAATGGATCTACGTCGCGATCCATCACGCCTGGCGAGGCGGTGACGCCTGGCGCAAGTACACCAGGTAGCACTCAAGCCTCGGGTTCAAACAATTCAGGCTACAAGATTCGTTCTGTTGTGCGGCTACCAGATGATCAGGTCATTCGCCCCAGTACTGTGCGCGGTTGCAAGACAGACATCCGTGTGACACACGAAATCGGCGTGGAAGTTTTTTTCTCACGCCTCTCCGTGTTGGATACGCGCGATGATAGTGACTCGTATGGCAAACCCAAGGTGCAGGTGTTCTCTATGCGGCGATCCGTCTGCATCCCTTCGTGCTGTTGCACGTATGACATCATCCATCTGCCGCCATATTCGTTCGAATCGCCCGTTAACTCGCGCCCCCCTTCGCCGACGGGAAGCTACTTGCCTTCTAGCTTGCCACACTCGCTCGCAGGTTCGCGCAAAAGCTCGCACGCGGATCTCGAGCACTGGAAGGCGACGACGCCGCTAAATTACACGCTACCCGGCGCAAAGCGCGGCTCGCCGAATACATCACAGCCCGGCAGTGCCAACATCAGCCGGCCAGGTAGCCGTGATCCTTCCCCTACCCGGCATGGCTTTGCACATGCATTCACGTCGGGACGCAAGAGCCGAAATTCTTCGCCCGAACGTGCGGCACCCATCCCTGTCCGCAAGTCGGGCCTACATGCGCTCACCCCTTCGCACCCTGCGCCGTTGCAATCCCCGGGCGTCTCCTCCACTCCATCTGCACTGCATCGCAATTCGCTCAACGTTGGCTCGCCGTGGGCGCATAGCTTCTTTCCCTCGCGCACTGCCACTTCACACCAGACTTGCAATTGTGGACGCACGACGGAGGAACTCTCCGAGGCCGAGCAACGTTTACTCGAAGGCGTGCCGACTGCCCCCGGCGCCTGGGTCGACACGCATTCCGAAGGCGATGTGCCGCCACCTTGGTTCCCACCTTCGAGGGCTGGAAGCCCAGTACAAGGCTGGCACATATTTGCGAGCGGCAATAGAGAAGGCGGCAGAGCTCGTGGAAAGCTTGCCGAGATCAATACACCATATGGCTCGCCACATTGAAAGCGGCGCTTGACTATGTTTTGCACATCACTTTACACCTCTCAGCATTGGTTCCTACTTTGAAACAGCATATAGAATTCATTTGCATGATGCAATGACCGTATCTTTGCACGTCGCACGCAGAACGACAGTACACTATGTAATGCACAGAACCTTGAACTATTTCAGACATTGTTGCGCAAGATGCAGCCGCTGAACGTCTGTGTGGGGACCCTATCCAGCCAAGGCGATCATGATCTGGTATGGTCAGAGGTCGATCTGTAACATCGATCGCCAACTTCGCTTAAGCTTATCTTCCTCTGGCGCTTTTTCACGGAGTTTCTCCCCAGGTTCCAGGGTAACTGAGCCGCATTTCCTGACGGTTTCGGCAGCCAACTTGTAACCCCCAGTTCCGAGTTCCGACTTTGATATGTCTAAGGCAACAGCGTTTCTCCTGTTTCAATTTCACATGACATTTGATCCTGTTGGCCTGCATTTAACCCTCACCTCGGGGATACTTACTGTGCAGCTGAGCAAAGGGTCGTTCACCCTTTGCAAACGTCCAGTGCAACAGTATGAGCTACCAGGGTGGAGGTCAGAGCTACGGCGCCCCGTACGGGAGCAAGTCGGTGCAGACGCCGACGTACATTTGCGGTGGTGAGTGATGCACGTCTGCTCGCATTGGGGCTCGCCTTTCCCGACCTCGCGTCTATGAGGGCAGCAAATGACCTTGAAAGCAGTGTTGACATCATCTTCCACCCCGTCCTCTTTCGTACTCGCCTCCATCCGACTTGGCTAGCCTGCTCATCGAAAGTAGAGATTCGGCCGAAGGAGCCGATCAGATGCAAGGAGTGTGGCCATCGCATCGTCTACAAGCCACGAACGACAAAGATGGTGAGTGGCGGAGAACGCAGATCATGCGTTTGAACTGGCTGTATTATCCTCCTTTTGACCATGCGCTGACTTGTGTCTCTTTTTGTGTGCAGCTCCATTTCGAGGCGCGGTGACATTCTTGGTCACTTCCAGTCGACAGCAAGCTCAACGAAACATCGGCCAAGAGGACTGCATCCGCTTAGCCAAACCCCCGCCGACGTCCTCGCGATCTCCATTTGCAACCACCATGGCTTGTTCTTGTATTTCTTTCAGCAGCATGTACATTTAAGAGGCTTTATAATGGGCTTGCGCCGCCTTCTCTCATGATCTGCGTCCTGCCCATTGGCACGATACACTCATTGCAATGTCCAATCGTTGTAGGTGCAACAGCTAGACTACAAAATCTGCCAGTCTTCTCCCAGGAGTTCGTCATGAACATTGAAGTACCGCACCGGCTTGCCTTCGCGCCTGCAGGTGAATGACCCCGTCGTTTTCCCATCATCGGACTGACTTGGAGTCGCCCACCATCTGCCTTTGACTTTCCCCGATCGCACATCGATGCTTTCCGCCACAAGAATGTCTGCATCGGACGATGAGGACTGAATACCTTGGGAAAATGGAACAGAAGAAGCGAGCTCCCATGTTGCGAATGGTCGGGAAGTGCTCCTCACGAAAGAAGGGTGGTAGATGTTGGTTCGGATCGGTCTGAGCAGAACGGAGAGAGTCTCAAGCTGCAGTACTGGTCCTGATTGCTCCTTGTTCATAGATTGTTGCGCTTCCGACGCAGCTGGAGAAGGCACAAGTCGCATACGCCCCACATAAGGGCCTCCGATCCACGCAATAAGTGCCGTACTGACACCTGAAGTTGCCAGAGCGGTTGCGCAGAGACCTATGCGCCCTGCCATGGTGATCGCTCCCGGGGTGAGAAGAAGCACGGGGCACATGCCTACTGCGAGAAAGAGGGAGCCTAGTGAGAAGAGCTTGAGCCGAGCGAAAGTGCGCACGAGCGGGCCGTGGTAGGTCGGCCCTGAGGCCGGCGTGGCATTGATCGAAGAGCCTTGCTTTTGGGTTTGTTCTCCGGAAAGGGAAGGGAGCGTGGTGTGAAAGCTTCTTAGGGCCGCCGTTGAGGTTGTCTGCGATCGTTTGATATGCATCGGACGAGGTCGAGCATCGGAGAGACAGCAGCAGCTCGGGCGAAATGTCGCTGCAGCTCGCGCTGGCTGTCCAAAAAGTTGCCGGGCCAAGGCTGTGTCCAGCCTGGCCAGCGTGATTGAGGATGAGCGCAATACGGTCATGGCGTGGATGGACAACGTCTCCCGTCGAACCCTTTTTGGCTCGAGATATTGAGACTTGAGAACAGGTAGAACGGCTCTGTATGATGAGCCCAGGGGACGGAGAGACAAAAGAAAAGTCCTGTGAGGCACGAGTGTCGGACACTTCTAAGGTTGAAGAATGATTCGCCTTTATCATCATGCTGCGAAGAACGCCACTATATTTCTTGGGAGTTGGCACGCCCTCAAGCTCCAAACCGATGTGTGCGGCTCTGCGCGTCACTACCCATGACGCGCCACACGCGCGCACGCTTATACAAGTGTTCAACACCCCCCAACCTCTGGGATGACTACATAGGCTGCAGCCAAGCCATCAGCTGCCAGTCACGCTGCACGCAGCACACAGCACGCACGATTATACAACTCTGGACATTATTGTTGCTTGGCTCATCTCGGCCAGGTAGACACCAGTGCGGCCCGTGGCGTCCGATAGTGTTAAAGGAATGGCTCGGCAAACATACAGCAGGGACCCACCGGGCCCCTCCGTCAATACAAGTGGTATTACGGTGACGTCTGACTCACAAAGCTCCTCATCTACGTCTGCCATATTCCTTGCTCAGCCCCTGACGGCAAGTGTAAACGACATGCGGAATTCAGATACACCGGTATCAAGTGAACCGTTAAGCTCTCAGACGGCGATCCCAGCACCTGCAGCTCATCCTGGGGGCTCGTCACTTCGAACCACGGCACCGCTCCCTGGGAGCTCGTCAGGGGTGTCCACGTCCAGCTCGGGCACCCTTGCCAACCGGGCGAATACCAATATTGGCACGCCGACGGCATCACCTCGACGGATGTCCTCGAATGTCCCCCGTCGAACGACTGCTGCCAGTGCCAGCGCAAGCTCTGCACCGGGGCCAACATTTGCCTCGCTATCCGGCCCTTATCATTCTGGCAACACAGGCAGAAGTCCAGCTACCGGCACCGAACATGCAATGTCAGCAGGTTCATCCTCCTTTGCAAACCGCTCCAATCCATCATCGCATATTCCCCAGAATGCAACGCTGGGCAGCGGCTTCCGGGCTTCGGGCTCGTCCCATTTTGGCTTCAACACCAACACGCCAGCTTCGTCCAGCGCTGCAGCGACAAACGCTTTCGCATTTTTCAATTCAAATGCTGGCACTTCGTCCCCTCGGCTCGCGAACACCACCATTTCAGGGTTGCCTGCGCGTGCGGGTTACAGCAATAGCGCTATTCATTCAGGCATAGGGGGTATGCCCACGAGACACGGTCTGGCATCGACCAGCTCTGTTGGAAGCCATGCACACTCGAATGATATCGCACACCGTGGAAGAGCGCTTGATACCGAATTTCGGATTTTTAGTCGCTTTGATGAGACACGCGCTGTTGTGAGTAGCCCAGGACACCCACAGCCGAGCAGACACTCCTTATATTTCTCACATGTTGAATATCAATTAGTCATTCACCTGGACTATTGCTGAGCTTGCGCTACTGCGTGACGAGGTAGAGAACTCGGCCGCTCCGTTCGATCCAGCGGTCGAAGGCGTAAGGGGAGGGACCGACGAGTCTGTCGCGCGTTCCGTGAGCGCAGGTGCGGGCAAGAGCGAAATTTGGACCACTCAGCCGATGTTTGACGACAAACGCTGGAAGCTGGAGCTGGTCAGGACGACCCGCCACCTGCAGCCTACAGAAGCTCCGGCAGAGGACACGGCCAGCTCTGCCACTGTACTGAGCGTGTACCTGAGTGAGTTTGACGGCAAGTTGTGATGAGTTCCACCGAGGGTGACTGACTTGTGGCTGTCCTAAGCCTCCACCGTGTTCGAGTACTCCAGCCCCGACTTGGAGTTCGATGCGGCGATCATGATTGGCCTCCGGCCGGCTCAAACTCAAAGAGGTCTACGTCAATATGGCATGAATGATTGGCTGTGGCAAGTCTTCGAAGGATACACCTTTGACCGAGAAAACGACTTCTACGAGTGCCATGGCCTTCCATCGCTGTCAGAGCTCCTGCAAAATCCCGCGGTAGCAAAGCACGACGCGGTAGCCCTCACAGTGCAGATTGTGCTAGGTCCAGGACTGGTTCACGCGGTACCGGATAAAGACCACATGCCACCCATGATACTCTTCCCGCAGCCGAACACACACCAAGTCCCCAAATCGATGCTCACTTCGCTTGAGAGCCTGCTTGATTGCTCGCGTACAGGAGACGTGCGCTTGATCGTGCGCGAGCGTGGCTGGGTACCAGCATCGTCGATGATCGGCGAAGATGGATCAGAGCTGCATGGTATACCATCTGTAGCTGTTCGACCCTATCCGCTTGGCGCACATATCGAGTTTGACGAAGATAATGAGGAGGACTCGCCAGTCGTCGTGATTCGAGATCGCATCATCTGGGCACATAGTGCCGTTTTGCAATCTCGCAGCAGCTACTTTGCAACCATGCTTGACAGCGGCTTTTCGGAAGGACAAGGACTCTCTGCCAATACCAACACTCCCGATGCCCATCACCAGCGCCGTTTCAGCACGCTCTACATTCCTGATGCAGACTTTGCAACTGCCTACTGGCTGCTTCGTTTCCTCTATGTTGGTGAGATCGACTTTTCGCACGACGAAGACGTCAAGGAGGAGATCATGGATGGTGTCTGGGCGATCCGCAACGGCATGTCTTCCGTGGGAGGTACAGCAGGCAGCAGCTTCCTGCGAAGATGGATCAAAGTGAACGACCTGCAACAGCCAGATGTCATCTCCCTTGAGCCACATGCGCATCCAGACCCGGCGGGGCCACATGCAACAGTTCATGTCCCGCAGCCATCAGCTAGCAGGACCCATCGCGGCTTAAGCGCTCGGACATCTGCGAGCTCGGTATCTTCAAGCATCAGCGCTGCGGGGGGCCATGACCTACCGCAACAGCCTCCGCCCCTGTCGCCTTCTCATGCCGGTCACGAAGCTGGTGGTCCTATGTATGCAAGCAGCCGCGGTGCCCGCTTCCCTTCGAATTCGGGCGCGCGCAGTGCGTCCGGAAGCGTAAGGCGCAGTGTCTCCAGCGATCGCACGCATCCCCCGATGATGAGCAGCAGCACGTTGCAGCAGCAGCATCATCAGCAGCAGCCGGCCGCGGAATACAATGTTTGGGCGAGCCTTGCTGAGCCGACTGCAGACGAGCACGTCCACCCGTGCAGTAAAGCCCCGCCTGCGAGTGCTCTGGCCATGTACAAGCTTGCCCATCGCTATGGCCAGGCCTCTCTCGAGCGGCTCGCCAAGCGACATTTGATCACCGGCCTCACACCGCGCAACGCTTTTGCGATGTTGCTCGCGACATCGCTCTATCCTGACGTCCATGCAGGCGTCAAAGAATACGTTTGTGAGCATGTATGCCTTCCTCGTAAGCTCCTGATTGCAGCAGTCGCTGACTATGCGTGTTCCCCAGACTTCCACTGGGCCGCCGTATCTGCGACCCAAGAGTTTGAACAGTGTTGCGACGAGGTGTCAACCGGGGAGGTGGGTGACTGACAAGCTTGAAGTACTCTCCGTGTGCATCGAACTAACTACAGCGCCCATTAACAGTGGGGTGTGGACGCTGGACGTTCCCTTCGTTCCTTCATGAGATCGCTCGTGTCCCCATATGGCACCCGTGCCGAATCTGTCTGATCAATGACGCCGGCATTGACTTATTTTGTAGAGTTACCTCGCACTTGTTGTATCAAAATAGCAGACGAGTATTGCACGTGTTTATGATACAGATGCTGAGGATGCGAAAAGACAGGTATTGTGCGAGATAGACGCAGACAGATCGCATCGAAATTATGTTTTCGGCACAGTGCGAGTAGACGGGCGGCTTCCTGACTCTTCAGGAGAGACCAAGGTAGCAGATGGTACCATGATGCCGTCGCTGAAGATGTCTCCTAGCTCGCAGAGGTACTTGTCGCGAATGTCGCTATCCAGCAGTCGCTTTGAGCGAAGTGCACCAATCGAGTTGCAACGGGTCAATATACTGTGATGTCCCTGAAGTTGGGCAGTAGTTTTGGGGCGTGCCTCACCTCATTACGACCTTGCCCTCGGCCGTGGTAGTCTCCATGCGATCGCCCCGCAACCAAGCCCGAGGCCCCTACTCTCGACAGTTGGCCTTCGTACATCACCCCTTCCACTTCAACGTCTTCTACGCCTTCGCTTGTGCGCGATTGGTCCTCATCAGGCATGCCCGGTTGACTGGCAATGTTGTCATGCTCTGGGCCAGAGGATACCGCCATCCAAGTTGCGCCTCCCGCCCCGCACGAAGGCGGCACAGCAACAGACAGCGCAGCTTCGCTGTCGGCCATAAGCGTGTCCTCTCTCAGCCCGGTCGCTGCAGCCGCAGCTTTCTGCATCTTAAACTTTGAATGAATGCTCTGCGTGGAGCGAAGCCAGATGCTCAGCGCCTTGCGTGTGCATGCGCGATCGGGCGATGGTTTGGGTGCTTTTGTGTAAGTACAGCACGCTGAGCGGAAGTCTCAGAATCTGTAGCGGCGTCGCGGTCGTCAAGATGCTCTTGGCTCGTGGCTGGCCCTATGGATGAACTGTAACGGTTGAAGAGTCGAAGCTTGCAGTGTTGAAGAAGTGTACATTTCCTGCTGCGTAATAGCAGGTCTCTCTCAGCTTTGCTGATGAGTGGAATCTTGGCGCCCCGATGCCATGTTGACAGTTGTGGCCTGCGCTGTGGTTCCCTATCACCTTACTCGTCTCTGTTCCGCGACATCCTGCGGCTGCGTCGCTCCGGCGAAGTGGGTGTCGCTTTTTGGCCAACCGATGATGTGAGTTCCACCAAGTATTGAAAAGCACGGCCGACGAAATGTCTTTGGGTGCTTAGGCCCCCTTGGGAAAGATATCGCTTCCGACTACCACATTCATGAGAGGCATTGAATGCTACTCGAATATACGAAACCTCGCACAGATTCACTGTACCTGCGACCTTCCAGGCGTGCGTCTCACCGAGTAGAAAGATGTCTGAATCTAAGCTCCAGCCTGCGCTGCCAGTGAATGTCCGTCCTGCGACGCCAGAAGACATCCCGACTATCCTAGGCTTTGTAAGCTACTACGGCTACGCTTGAAGCCTGCTACTTGGTACTCACAAGTTGACGGCCTCTCTGCAGATCAAAGAGCTTGCCATCTACGAAAAAGAGTCCGATGCGGCCAAGGCGACAACTGAGCTGGTGCGCACCGTAGTCATACGGAGACTTCCAACTGTGGCAGAGGTATGCTGACATGTAAGTACACTGTACCGCAGATCAAGCTGAATGTCTTTGAGAAGGAATATGCCCACGTCATCATCGCGGAGGACCCTGCTAAGAACAACGAACCAGTGGGGATGGCACTCGTACGTCTTCTGTGTGAAATTATTATCCTGCGCTATCGAAATGTGCAAGTCTGACATTGCCATGCTTCCTCTCCGGACAGTACTTCTTCACATTCTCAACATGGACTGGCAAGCCGTCTCTGTACCTTGAAGATCTCTTCGTGACCGAGTCAGTTCGCAACCGCGGTGCCGGCAAAGCTCTCTTCCGACAGCTTGGCAAAATCGCCGAGGAGAAAGACTGCCAGCGGATGGACTGGAGTGTGCTCACATGGAACGCCCCTAGCATTGCCTTTTACGAGAAGGTCTTGGGGGCGACCAGAATGGAGGAATGGAGACAGATGCGCTTGGAGACAGAGGGAATCAAACGATTGCAGACACTTGGTCTATAATGTCCATTTCTGAGCAACGTCAATGTGAAGTAATCTTGCCTAAAACACGGTGCCGTCAGATATAATGTCCTGCGAGACCGAAAAGAGCAGCACGTCCCTTTGATCAATAGCTCATAATGCCCCCGATTTGGACAAAGTGACTCACGATGGGCGGGCCGCCGGTCTCTGGTCGCTTTTGCTTGGCGATTTCTCTGCCACCTTTCCAAGTCGCTGCCTCCAGCACTTGCTTCAGGTTGAGCTGCTGCGCCGTAAGACCATACTTCTGTCGAATCCCTTCAGCAATGCGATCAAGCAGGATGACCGTCAGGGCGCGCCATTCAACGACCGCAGGGTGTGAAGGTAGCAATCTTGGGATGCCAGGTGCTTCCGTGGGGGGCTCGGATGCTTTGTACAGCGCAGCTTTGGGCTTCAGCACTCCTAGGTCTACCAGTAAGCCGCCTGCAGCGGGTGATGATAAGAATTGGCGCGAGTCAGTGTGACGCCCTCCAGCACAGCTCGAGTGACACTAACCGTTCCTGTATTCAGGCAGTCCAGTCTGGTGTTCTCCGCCGGCGAAGGTCCAGCCGAGCGTCTGTTCGATCGGCTCCATGATAGAGTAACACAGCCACTGCGTGAGCTTGTGGAACGGTACGAGGGCTTTCTCATCATCTACTCCTGCCTCATCTCCAAGTGCTGCTTTGAAGGAGTCGCAGGGCCAAACATCGCCCAAGCTGACACCATCCAACTTTGTCCGCGTCGCAGGCCAGATGGGGGCCAAGCCGATGATCAACACTTCCCACAATGCAGAAACTTGCACGGTGACAGCGCCTGTTGCCGCATCTTTGGCCGTTGAAGGATGTGTGAGCAGCCAGTCGACCATGTTCCCCGGCCGTGGCGCAGCATTTTGTTGTGCGCCAGTGAAATAGCCTTGGGAGTCATCGGTGAGCGCTTTCGAAAGTTGGATGAGCAGTTGTGCACGGCCGTCCAAGCCAGTCATTGGATTCTGTTCCGGATGGACTTGCATGGACATGGCTAAATTTTCTGTTGATAGCCGTGCGAGGCCGATGGCATCAACTTGACAACGGAGGACGGGATCTTCGCCTGCTGGGCTTTCAAGCCCGCAAAAGAGACCTTCGGTGAACATGTCCAAGCTTGCGATCGCCAGACCCTCGCTACGTCCGATCCGAAGTCCCGTTGCCTTTTCCTCGTACTGCCATTTGGTGCCAGCGCCAGCATCGAGCAGAACGGAGACGACAAAGAGATCAACCAACTTCCGTGCGGCCTCCATCGGCGGCACAGGTTCCAGATTGCCCGCGGAAGGAGTGCCCCATTTGGACAATAGCGTGGTGATGCGAGGCAAGGGACCGACGTCAAAGTGTCTCCAGCGCCCGTGCGGCGGGATGGCAGCAAAGTTGGTGCCAAAATCGCGCTCCATGATGGAAGCACAATAGTCAATCACATCCTTCTCTTTCGAGGCTTCGTAGTCGAAATACTCGGTCTTGCCCTCTTGCGCCAGCTTGAATACGGGGGCACATCGCTCTCTGATCGAAGTCAGGGAGCGCAGATGTATAACCTGTAAAGAGTGGAAAGAATGGGGCCAAGGTTTCCTCAGCGTGCGTGCGATGAGTCAATACCCTTCAGCTCTTGTGTTGACTCACACGATCGGATACACTGGTCATCTTGGCAGGTTGTCCTGAGAGAATTAGAACCTTCGGCGAAGCTTTCAGCAAGATTCACAGTCAACACTGTCGGAGAATCTAAGACGTTCTCTGTATCGCCGGATGCAACAAGTCTGACCCTGTTTACAATCCTTCTGGCAGTCGAAAGGGACGGTATAACTGCACAAGATGGTGTGATACAGCGTGGTGTTTACCACTGACGCGCGCGATAACGAGAGATCAATCTAATGATCATGGGGCCGTGCAAGCCGCGTGTGGTGCATGCATTCAAACTCATGATTTCTTTCTTTTTCAGCCCTCCGCTGTGAATTGAAGCTTGTTCCAGTCGAGTTTGAGGTCAGCAAGCGTGTCATCATGATCTTCTCATCTCCTAGTGCTTTGCCCCTTCTTCAAGCGCCTGAACTTCATGCGATACATGCGGGTCTCCTCGTAGCTCCACAAGAAAAGCGTCCTTCTTCCCACAGCTAAGACTGCAGTAACCTGTGTGATGAACGACCCAACATTGTCAAGGGAGGCTTCGAGCATGCGCGATCTGTACATTCGGACGCCTTTGGTCTACTCGGCTCCACTCTCCCAAAAGAGCGGTCACAATATTTTTCTTAAGCTTGAGGCGCTCCAGCCAAGTGGATCATTCAAGTTTCGAGGTATTTCACGGGTCATCCAAACTCAAGCATCGCGGTCAAGCTCAACCACACCGATACATGTGATCAGCTCGTCCGGCGGAAATGCTGGTCTCGCGGCCGCGACAGCTGCCCGCGCGCTTGGCCTGTCATGCACCGTCTTTGTTCCTGTCTCAACGGAAGACTATATCGTCGAGCTGCTCAAAGCCGAGGGAGCAGAGGTGGTCCAAGGCGGCGCCGCTTGGGACATATGTGACGACGGCGCTCGACGGAAGGCCGCAGAGGTTGAAACCGTAACGCCAGGCGGAAGCGTTTACGTCCATCCGTTCGAGGGCGAGGACCTGATAAGAGGCCATTCGACGATGGTTCCAGAAATCTACGAACAGCTCAAGGGGATGGAAGAAGCGAGCGGCGATGCGAAAGCCCCAGACCTTTTAGTGTGCTCTGTTGGCGGAGGCGGTCTCCTGGCTGGTGTTCTTACAGGCATTGTAGAGCAGGATACTGCCTCACGGCCCCATGTCGTTGCAGTCGAGTGCTTTGGGGCGGATTCATTCGCTGCAGCACACAACTCCGGAAAGCACATCGCATTGCTGGCGATCACTTCCAAAGCGACCTCCATGGGCGCGCTCAAGGCTTCCGCTAAGTCTTTGGCTTTGGCCCGTTCCTATACAACGGCAGAGGCAGGCGGGGCTTTCTCTACGCTCACGGTACCCGACAGCGCAGCGGCCTTCGCGGGTTGGCAATTTGCGAGGGACCATCGATTTATAGTTGAATTGGCTTGCGCGGCGAGCTTGACGCCCGCATATTTTTCGGAACAGGTTTTACCAGCACTGTTGGCCAAACAGCCCAACACGCAGCGGAAGAGCAACATAGTCATTGTCGTTTGCGGTGGCTCGAAGGTGAATGCGGCGGACATCGAGCAATGGAGGCGAGAAGTACCTGGTCTCGATGCAGCCATCCATGAGCAACGATGTCAGATAGACTCAAGCGCGGCTTGAATGTGCTCAAGTTCCACATCGAGGTAATGAAGTCGGCTTTGTGGATAGAATATATTCTCTTATTTGCAAGCGTATACATCAGCCGCCTCTATATTTTAGTGGTAGAAGCCGTGCCTCGTATACAAAGTTGTCGCTTCACTGCGATAGAGAGCTTGTTAGCATGTGGCCCGTGTTCGATTCACGGTGGAGGCATTTCTTTTTTCTTTTTTCCTGCCGCGCGCAATTGAATATTCACTCGACCGCAGGTTGCTGCAATGCGCGCGTCACCACCCATAATTTCAACAGGAAAATACTTTTTGCGCCTTCATGTTTCGACTTAACATGCAACTTGCGGCAGATCATAAAGAATTCGACGTGATCATTTTGGTCATGTGGAGAGTGATGCGCTCGATTCTCGAGTCTGCTGATTACGGCCAAGCATGATACATCAAGTACATGTCTGCACGATACCATATCTAAGTACATAGTTTTGAGTGATAAGCTAGTTGGACGGCAGGCGAAACGTCAGGGCCTTCCGTGCCGTGTGCTGACGAGCCTTCGGAGGCGTCATCCAAACGCAGCGAGTGGCTGGTACCGCGTGAAAAGGTGATTGATGCAAGCCAAAATAGCTTGATTTGGATATCGTGTCTCTATCTCCGCTTCGGAACTGCAATGGCAGCCAAAGACTTGGCGCTCACTGTGACGGACGGGGTTCCTGCAGGTGTTTCTTCTTTTTCTTTTGCAAGAGGAGGCTCTTTCTGGCCTCCGCCGTACCACTTGGAATGCACATTGCGAAATGGCGACGATGCCGGCTCGTTCACTATCTTCCATCTCGCGAGCTCGAGGGCCATTTGCGCGTCGACCGAGGCTGTGTGTCCCTCGGCCCCTGAACTTTGGATGATGCGTCCAAGGTGATTGCTTGTAAGCTCGCGGAGACTCATGCGGTATGGCGGTCCGCGTGGATGCGGAAAGAGCGTCACAGTGTCGACAATGTTCAAATGCACGAGTCTCAAAGCCTTAAGGTCGTTCTCTAAGCTGTGGCCGACCTGCAACATCGCATGAGAAAGAGGGCCGTGGGGCATTGCCTGAGCATGGCACTTACTAAGATGGTGTCTTTGTGCATTAACTGTAAAAGGCGACCTCGGGCTTGCACTAAATCGCACGTATCTGATCCCTCTGCAAAATCTTTTTCCGTCAATCCAGAGAATCTGCATGTGCATACAATGCGCCGTATTAGTTCAACTCGCGGCTGCACACTTGAACTCTTCTCGACGGACCGAGTATTGTAATCAATAATGGCGACGTTCGGCTTCACTTTGATGTCCATGAGGGTCGTTCCCTCTGCGGAAACCACGCTTAATTGGGTCAAGCTCATGCCTGCCGTGGTAAAACACAGCTCGCAATCCAGCGCAAGAATGTCATGAGCGTCAGGCTTAGCTTCTTTTGAAGGAAGCGAAGCATGAGATTCGAAGAACGGGGTTTGGGCGTGTAGTTGCCGTGCCGACTCTAGTCTGAAGACATGGGTGCAAGATGAGCTGCAGGCGGTCTCTTCATTGAGCTGCTTTGATTCGAGCACCTTCGCTCCGCAGCATGTCCACACCAAATTTCTTCCCTTTCCTGCTAGCTTCTCTGGGCGTTTGCGACCGTGGTGGAAGCGACACACGGTATCGTAACTGTCGGAAGAAGCCACGTGTTTGTCTGGTGGAGACTCGATCTTGAAGGTTACGCCGCATCGATCGCACTGTCTCTCTTGCCCAATTGAGTCTGGTGCCTCGCCTCCGGGGCCCCATTCTTCCGGGATATGCGTAGTGTAGCCCCAAATCTCAAGTGCACCCACCGGACACACAAAGAGCTTATCTCTGAACTTTTGCAAAGTAAGCTTTCCTTTCTCCTTTTGAACGCATTGCGTCCGCTTGCGCCCCACGTCAGCTTGTGTCCCGGTCTCCTTGCACTCTTCTAGGTTTTGCTGGGAGAACGACCCAGTCCTCGCTTTCTCATCGAGGCTGTCTGCTGCCGCCTTTTTAATCGTGTCTTTGTCGCGCCCGTTAATTCCAACTAGAGCAGACCTTGAAGAGTTTTTGTATGAATGCTCATTGCTTGCCTTGAACGTCTCGAGCTCTTGAGCAAGTGCGTGTTTGTGCGCCAAGTCTCTGCCTGCTGCCGACAGCTCTGGATCTGGACTCTTGAGTAAGGGGGAATATAGTCCGCAAAAGCCGTTGTAAAATGCTTTGAGTATAGCTTGTCTTGCTGTCAGGGGAATTTTACTGCTGCGCGGATGATCCTTGGAAAGCAACTTTGGTGCCAGTGCCATTGTGGAAGACTGCGAAAGAGAGTCCAATAGTTAAAGGGAGAACGCGGGCACCATCACGTGGAGGACCTCACCTCTGCCGACTGAGCTTTGCGCATTGAAACTTGCATATTATCATTCATTTGTTGATGTTCTTTGCGGCTTTTCTTTGGGGGCTCTGAAGAAGATGCTGGTACAGAGATGGCTCGCTTCCCCAAGACCCTGCTACCACCGTGCTCTTCAGGCTCTGTGATCGCCAAACTTCCTTTCACAGACACATCAGACATGCACGGCTGCACCGCAGATAAATCGTGAGAGAAAGGGCAGGCTGCTCTTGATGGCTCGCAGACACCATCGCGATGGGCCGGGCATACGATGTCGCTCAGCTTTCCCTGAGTCTTGAACATCTGGCGACTGCGCTTGCTAGCTTTGGGGCGCGTTTACTCTCTCGCTAAGAGCGGTGAAGATCTTCTCCAGTACTCGTCTCCTCACCTTCCTACGTTTCCACGTTTCACAGGAGGAGTGAAATAAGATGCGATTGGCGCAATTGCCCTTCCCTGGCGCAACAGTGCTACTGCATCGCAACATATCCGGTTTTATATGAGGAAGGCATCCAACATTGAAGCATACCGCATACATGACATTAGCAAAACCATGTTCATTCAGTTTCTATGCAGTATCGCAACAACCCGATCGATCAGACCGAGTGGTTCGCCAAGAATGTACACGAAGATGGCCAAAGCACACGACATTACAGTGTCACGCTCTCGATTCTTTCCTTGTTGGTCCCTAGTTTTGGCAGCCGCACGTAAACATCGGAACTGTGGCCGTCCAGGCTGCGGAATGCAAGGCTTCCCCCAAAAAAGTCGCAATATACCTTGGTCATAGGTAGACCCAGGCCTGTCTCGGAAGCAGATGCAGGATTCCGGATGCCACCCACTCCTCCTGAACCTTCCACGAGAGAAGCGACCGAGGATGAAGGCGAATCCGTGGGGTTGTCTTGTTGCGGTACCCACGATGGGTGCTTACGCTGGTTGCCGGTCAAGTCGGGCGAGGCAGAGAGCGAAGGGACTGCATCTGGCAAGTCTTTAGAAATGGTTGAAGCATGCGAGCCAACCACCTGCTCGCGGACTGTGCCTGAGTGGGGGAGTATACACATCAGTAAGCGGAATACGTAATGATCTTAGTTTGGAGAGCAGTTACCTTTGAATGTCCCCATGTTGAGGAGAGCCTCCAGTTGTCTACTGCTGCCCAGCCCGCCGGTCATGATGTCACCGGATGAGCGACCCTTTTCCTCTTGCTGCTTACGCATCTCGGCTTCCAGCTCAAGCCTCCGCCGGACATTTGAGAAGGAGCAGAGAAATGAGATCAATGCGTCATTGGCGTTCATGCCTGACGAAGACGAGATGAATGGGACTTGGTATGAGCTCCGAACGGGTGCGCCATCATCGCCAGAGTCCATGTCAGGAGATGAAGAGACGAATTGAGGACGTATCGCCATGCTCTCGTTGATTTGATCGACGAAAGCTTGAGAGCCGCCAAAGGCGTCTGCAGTGCTTAATTGCATGGCCCGGCCCGGCATGTTGATCCCGAAAGCTCCAGCGCTCGTGGTGCTTTTTGACATTAATGTGCCGGGAAGAGCCCCCACTTGAGACGCAAGAGCTGGGCCACCAAGCTGACTCGCAACGTCGGGAAGCCCGCCGCCGCTGTCCGATACACGGATGATGATGTCTTCGTCTTCAGGTCCTTCGACGATGGTGACGCGGATTGGAACATCATCGCGCTCCTGCAGTTCCCTTCGCATGGTAGCGCGCATCGCGTTCTTCAACAATTCGAAGATGATATACTCGAGGTGCTCGGGGATGTACGCGAAACGTGCACCGAGATCGCCATCGACGGTGACTTCTGGAATGATGGGGTCGCTCTCTGAGATACCACGTTCTGCCGCAAACATTTTGCGGAGCAGACGGTCGCCTTTGCGGACCACAGAAGAAACTGATAGATGCGTGTAGATGATGCCGATGTGGTCACCCATATCTGCTTCACCACCCTCGGATGCCTCCTCAGGGGATATGCGCTGGTCAAGCGTATTGTGATCGTTGAAGAAATGGAAAGGATCGTCCAAAGCCTCAGACAGGGCGATATGCTGCTCTGCAAGCACCCTTCGAGAAATCCGGCTTCGTAACATGCGCTCCATAAAGCTGTCGAGCTGTGGAGGAGGAAGGTGGTGTGACGACTCGACGATACCAACGGTGAGGCTCGGAATGATAGTGAGATGGTCCTCCAGCAAGCCTTTCAGCTCCGTGCAGAAACGTTCATTGTCATCCATGTTCTTGATGAGAGGAAACTTTCTGAGCTTCTCGAAAGCTGCCCAATACTTGTCATATACGTCTTCCATGTGCTTGTTGGTCATGACGACGAACGGGAGGGCCTGCAAGTCTCTAATTCTGTGAGCGATTCGGATAGGCAGTTCCTGCCGCACATAGTTTGCGCTTTTGATGATCTTGTCGCGATCTTTTCCCAGCGTCTTGCCAAAGAATATCAATTGACGCAAGGTCATGCGAGTTGCCGGGCGTGCCGCCCATTGCTCAAGGATCTTGTTCAGGTAAAAGTGCCGACCTAGCGCTGACTCCTTTGACGAATAGGGATCGTTGCCGGTACGGGTCCGGGACGATGATGCAGCGGGGGAATCGTAGCGACGGTTGACATGGCTTGACGTGCCGGAGCAGGCCGCAGCTGAGGTCGATAGGTTCTTTGCACTGCCCGTGGCACGAAAGCGTACGCACGGAGAAAGAGGGGCTCGAAGTGCAGGTGGAAGCTGCCGGCGTGACGGAGCTTGCCGTCTGCGCAAAAGCGCCCACCAAGCGTTTTTGCTTGGATGCATGATGCCTATCCGAGAGCTTCAAGTACGTCGACGAATATACACGACCCTACGCAGTACAGAAGAGCTGAGCTTTCGGTCGAGAGCGGGGAAGCTGCTGAGAGCTTCGTCTTCACTTGACTTTTGACGGGGAGAGGTTAGCGCGTGACGCGTGTCTCCTGGCTTTCAAGCGAGACTGATTATGGCGGTCGTGGCGTCAGCACGTTACTCGTCACCGCGTCGAGTTGTGACTTGTGAAGAAGTGGGGATATGAGGATATAGGTGAAGGCTTGATGGCTTGGGCTGTCAATCTAGTGGTACCGCGTCACCTACAAAATAGCAGAGGCACGACGGCCATCTGCGCATTGTTATCACAGGCTGGCACCCACATCTCAAAATCGACACATCAATACTTCGCCCTCGCTTGTCGCGTGCAAATACCCAAGGGAAGACACGCACGGGTGCAAAGATGTCTAGAATACAGTTGAGATGCAATACTCTATTACTGCAGGTGGGGTACGCGGGCAACAACGACGGAAGCTCAGAATTCTCTTTTCAACGTTTCCACGAGGTGCAGCCTTTCCTGCAAATCTTTTCGGACGTAGCAAACGAGATAAGGATTGGCAGATGTTGGATCTCGTAGGACGTCCTTGACATCAGCTGTGGAAACCATGCTATCGTTGTACTTGAACCAGACGTCCACTCCGGATTGACTTGACTGGAGCTTGCGCTGGTTCAAAAAGTAATGCCCATGAGTAGCTTCGCCTGTTGCATTTATTAGTTCAATCAGTGTCTCCCCAATAATCTGGGCTGGAAAATGTATCGAAAGCTCACCTCGATGCATGAAAAGACTGACGAGGACGTATTCATACCTTGTCTCATCTTTCCACAGCGATGTGGTTTGCGCTTTGATGGCACGGAGCTGTTCCTCGATTTTCTTGAGCTCTTCTGTGACGGCAGCGGCGTGTGCTCGTAGCTCCAGCGGAAGAGCCTCATCGAACTCAATGCTGTCCAACGCATCACTCAGAACTCTTTTGGTACCGTCGCGCTGGTCTCGCAGGAATTCCATGAACGCAGCGGTGTCTGTCAAGGTCTCGGTAATTCGTTGAGACCTTGATGTGAGGGCTTTTGACCCCGATCGCAAGAATTCTGCCTTTGCCCGCAGCTCTCTTGCTTCGCGGCGCAAGGATTGTGAAAGTTTGCGGGTTTCAAGGCGTTTGGCATCTTCCGGTACAGATGGATCGAAGTCGCAGTATCGATCGAGGTAGATGGTCTCATGAGTTTCCATGTGCGCTTGTGATTTGAACGCCCGGCTGCGCACTCTGTCGAACTGAACACGTTGGAGCTGGATTTGCAAGAAGGGCGGCGGTCGCAACAGTGTGACAGAGCGGCGTACTGCCTTGCTACTCTCGCCGCTGGCAATGACCTCTTCGTCGAAGAAGCTGTCCAGACCGTCGTAGATGTCTCGCCCTTCCTCTTCGAGAACGTCCACGAGAAGAATTTTGAAAACTTCTTTCTTAACCTCGCTGCTCGACCCAGTGATTATCCCTTCGTTGATGTTGGTGAGGAGTTGTAGCCTTTGTGCCGTTTCTCCAAGAAAGAGAGCCGAAAGCAAGCTGGGTTCTGCAACGGGAGCTTCGTCCCCCCCATCTACTTTGATCTCCATCAGAACATCGCCGGGGGTCGCGTCTTTGGGCTGCGCCTCGGAGCCATCCGGCGATTCGTCATTGAGAGTGCCAAGGGCAACCTCTAGTTGAAACATGACGTTGTCCAAGCATTCGCTGACATCCTGCTGTGCACCAACTTGCATAAGCGACACTCTGCGCTCAGGAAGTGACGGAGGTCCAAGGGGTGGAGCAGTTGCAGGGCCGTCGGAAGCTGGCAGAGCCGCCGCTGCCTCCTCAACAAGCGTAGTATCGGTTCCCGCACTACCTGTGGAATTCTCCAAAGAGCCTCGCTCCGGCACTGTTTTGGGCGATGTACTTTGCTCAACAGCGAGCTGACGCATTGCTTCGTCCTGCTCCTCCGCACGCGCTGACACTAGCGCCAGATACGCAAGCTCTCGTTCCGGAGTGACTGCTGCCGCGGGGAAGCTGATCATATTCTGGAATAAAGCCGCAAGATGCAAGATGACTGAAAACGAAAGTTGGGGTAAACATTTGCGCCTTTTCCAACTGAAAGTTTTGCCAGACTTACATTTATGCGAACGTTCTGCTTCACGAGCTGTAACCTGGCGACCTCCGATTCTTCGAAGTGCCTTTGGCATTTCCCATATCCCAACCTTAGAGCTGTATTCCAGCACACGTTCTCGGATCTCACGAATGGAGAAAAAGTATTGCAAGACAGAGTTCAGGTAGCAAGTATTGCCGATGTTATTCAGGCCTGCTGGGCGTTCCGGGTCCGCTGCCGAGGCCCAAGGATCTGGCGCGCTAGATGATTGTCCCTGAGAGAGTCGCAGCAACATCCCACTCTGCCTCGCGAGGGCGATGGTATGCAGGGCCTGTCTCCACTCATCTGTTCGTGCGGGGTCGTCTCCGAGCCGAACGTTGTAAAGCATCGACAGAGACTCGTCGTCGACATCTTCGACTGGCTCTGGCGCCTGAAGCCGACTGTATGCTTGCGCCAATGTCATTCCTGAGTGAGCTTCCGACAACCGCACAAGCTCCGGCGGGTCTCCTTTCGACCGGCAAATCACTTGAAGAGCTCTTTTGAGGTTTTCCATATTTGCAACGGACTCTGACTGTTGGGCTTGTTTGATTTTGCCCTCGTACAGGCCTGCGATAAAGGTTATGTCGATTTCGTCGCTTGCATCGAATTTGGTGCCCTCAATGCCGATGAGCGCGTACGAGTTTTCAAGCTCGTCAAATGTCCATTGACCCCTGGACCGTTCCTCGGTCAGAATGACTGGCACTGACGAGGGTGGGAATCGTTATTAGCTACGGTGTCATTTCAATATGCAGTAGCGCACTCACATATGATCGATTCCTTGCGCTGGTCCATCAGGAGGTACTCGACTGCCGACAGCAGCCTCGGCGCGAGACGTATATCTCTTGTAGTGGCTGCTTCATATGCCGCCTTGATGGTGGCGTCGGCGTCTTGCGCATGAACCCCAAGATACTCCAAGCTCAATCTTGCGCGTTCGGACGGTGGGTTCCGGCCGAGGGAAAGGTCCAATTGAGTCTTGTCAAAGGCAAAGATACGCTCTATCGATCCCATAGCGGATATGGCAACTGGTACGAAAGGTGAATCGGTACGGGTCTCACTCTCCGGTTCTTAGAAAACAGGGGAAGGGGGGCGACAGAATGACTCAGCTTTGAATGCGAGTGAAAGCAAGACCTGACGTTCCACTTACCGTTAATGGACATCTTCTCGCGGCAATGCTGAGCCCAGAGGTACAGCTCAAGCCACGCTCTGCCCATGCGAGGCCAACCCGGGCCAGCCGATCTGCCATCAGCCGTCAGCAAGTTGGGCGGCTTAATCGCCTGCCGCGCATCGTCCTCTGCCACGATTTCCAGCTTCCAACCCAGTCGCAAGAATATGTCGCGCGCGATTTCATCCCACCCGAGCTTTTGTGTGACAGTCTTGCTCTCCACGATGACGGCCCGGGTATTTCCGTTCAATGCGCCGGCCAGCATGCGTAAGATCAACCGCACGGCGCCATCAAAGTACTGCGCTGTGTCGTCCACACCTGGTGGAGGGTTGGAGAGCCGCGTTGATCGGAGACGGAGTAAAAGAGCTTCGTCTAAGATCGCTGGGATGGCCTTCGCTTGGCTAACAAATACGATCTTATCCTGTCGGCCACCTCGGCTTGTCAGCCCTTTGAAGGTGGTGAGGTATGCCTCTGGAGGAAGGTCTGGGGATGCGGGTGCATGTCCTTTCGGAATTGGGTAGGCTTGTAGCTCCGGAGAAATATCTACCTCCTCCATTTCGAATAGCGGCGTCTCGTCGAAAACATGTTCCCACGGCTTTGGCGACTCCACTCGTGGTGACACACCCGCTACAAAGGAATCGCTGGGTGCAACAACAACCCACTCCATTAGCGATGGCAGGAAGTACGCATTCGGATGTGGCAGAAGGGACTCCAAGTCTGTTTGGGTGGGAAACCCCAAGCGGTTACTCCCGTTGCCTTTGTCTCCGGTCGAATCTGGCCCGCTTGTCGTTCCTTGTTTCTGAAATTGGACTTTGACGGCACGTTCATTGCGCGTATCGAAAATGATACTAGTATCATGCAGAAGCCTTGCCGGCGTGTTGTACACTGGTAATGATGGAAGCGGAGTCGAGGTGGGCCCCGCTAAGTTTGAGGCAGCGGATGCTTTATTTGCATCATAGAATTGCGACCAGTCTTCTTCCACATCCACAACATGCGGATAAAAAGGCGGAGGGAACTCTTGAGGGTTCGTAGACTCAGTCGTGACGTCCATCCTGTTGGCTTCCTCATTGAAACGAATTTCGGCGACGGGCAAGTCTTGAATATTTGCATCGAGACGATCAAGTCTTGCCACCTTGCGTGAGTTCGCTGGTAAGCCATCGACGACACTGAACACTGGTTCGTCGGAAGCGCCGTGTTGAAAGTATCGGGATCGCTTCGACTGGAATTCACTGGGTGCGAATGGGCCTTTGGGTGATGTATCCGGCAGGGACATATCGCGATACTCGTCACGACCGTCATCGCTGATGTTGCCGGCGAGAGAGGATACATCAACGCCTGCGTCCGTATGCCACCGTGGGGAGCTCCCGCTGCCGACATTGAGCTCTTCTAGTGGTGGAGGTTCTTCCACAAATTCAGCTACGCCAGCCAGCTCGATGACAGGCCCTGCAGTAGAATGGGACGACGCGGCGGCCGCGTACGATCTGACGGAAGATCCTGTCATTGCTGGGGCAGGGTCTTTAGCGGGGGTCACATTTGGTATCGCCTGCGATGGAGAAGGCGACCTCCCTGTTGCCATCCTTGTGAATCAAGCCTGACGTTCAATATTCAAGCTTCAAGTCTGGCCTTCCTGACTTGTCCGTCGATGCTTTCGTCAGGCAGCACGCTGGAGAATACGACCCGTGCGTGATCTTGGAATGGACGCCCACGCGACAATGATCCGATAATGGCAGGCGCGATCTCCGACAGCTGCACCTGCAGCGCGCCTCAGAGTGCGAGATCTTCAAAGCTGCGTCTCCGCTATTGTCATGAGGTTCATAATTCTGCCTATTTTCACCAGGCTGAGGCGCTGAGGAATGCCACTTGTCATCGTCTTCATTTACAGCTCACGCCTTCACGGACCTCGTCCCAAGTTTGTCATGACGAGGCTGAACTACCCCAGTGCTGAAACGCGAAGATGGAAGCACATTAGTTATCAAATTAGGGTTAATCATACAGGTGCTATAGATATGGTACGCGTCTAGCTGCTGGCTGTCCGCTGGTATCGCTCTCGCATGTCCTCTCAGCTCTCGCTGTGGGGTTTGGACTTCAGCTGGTCTTCGTAGTCTTGGGGGTATGCACCTCGCTTGCTTGATATTCGATGCCCGATGGTCCAAAGTCTCGGCTTGTGTGCAAAAATCCAGCTTGAAAAAGGACGTGAATCCTTCGCGGAGGGGTGCAAGTTCGGCTCGGTCGAGCATGGCTCCCACCGAGAATGGCGCCAGCGGCGCGCCGAACGGCACTGATGGAGTAAAGAAGGACGCTTGGCTCGACTTCATGCGACTCGACCAGGTAAGTTGTAAAATGGTTCATCCTTGACTGCGATATTGACGGTAGCTCTGGTCTGAATGTACAGTCAAAGTTGGCCAGTGCTGTCGCTTCAGAGCAAGGCGAGGTCTTCGTTCTTCAATGGCTCTCCAAGCTGGAAAAGACCCTCAAGTCTGCTGATCGTGTGAGCAGAATTGACGCGGTAGTTACACTTTCCAGCATCCCCTGATCCGACGACAACGCTCGATGTTTTGCAGGACTTGATTGATGAGCGTCAAGCGGAGCTCGAAAAATCACTACTTGCATTGACTTTACCCACATGCGTGCAACCACAACGAGTCGTGCCAAAAAGCCCCAACCCACAAGGCCCTGGCGGTTCGTCAGCGACAGCATTCGAGGTACCGTCATTGACCGCGCCGCATCCTGGAAGACCGTCAAGATATCTGCTGTCAAGATGTTTCATCTTAGTTTTTGGCAGCGGAGAATCCCGCAGTCTCTTCGATATTCTGCAAACGCTCTTGAGGGCGAGTTCGGACGACCCGGCGAAGCTTACCACTGGCGCTGCTATTGGAACCGTCTACAAGGGCGCATTTGCGAAAGAGGGGCGCGTTGCAGCATTTTACGTCACAGGAGAGATATTTGGCGCGCTTGGACAACATGTGATGAGTCTCTTCAACGATCTGGTCACCACAGCGCTCCAAGTGGCCAAATCAACGTTCAACCCAGTCATTCTGCGGTACCATGCACTGCTCTGCTTGAAAAAAGTCCTACGCAGAGGCTCTGCTAGTCTCAGCGATCAGGTTGGCAAAGAGATGCTCAGAAGCCTTCGTCAAGGTCTGGCTGACAAAGCAGGTGCTGTTGTCAGAGGGTACGCAGAATGCATCATGACTCTCAACGAGCAAACGACGCACTTGGCGAGCAGGAATGAGGTTGAAGCTGTTCTTGCATGTGCGCTCAAGGCACTCGAAACAGCCGATTTTCCGACTAAACGTGTCGTTTCCGAACTGTGTGCAATGACGTTGGCGTTGACTCAACAAGAGAGCGCGCCACTTCCGACCGCTGCAACTAAATCTACAGGAAAGAAGAAGAAGGGCGACACGGTTGCCGACGTAGATGATGGCAAGATTGGAATCCCCACATCGGCCGAGGAGGCAAGCACGTTCCGGCGGATGATGACGCCGACCGGCATGTTTGAGCAACTGTCAACAGCGTATTTTCGGTCCCCAACCTCAAGAAAGCTGCAGGCTGCCCTCTTTGACGTTTATGCCGCTCTTCTAACGCGTCTAGGCGCTGAATGGGTGCATCTCAATTACGAGCTGATCTTCAAGCATTTTGCGGCGGACATGCCAGCTATGCTGAGGAGCAACAATCAGCGCACCGAATTCCTATTTCTTCGCAGCGGGGTGCGCATCCTCCTGCGTGAATTCATCGGCGAAAGGATGCTTGGAGAGCAGGGTCAGGTCGCGGCCATCCAACAGATATGTACGGGATATATCAAGCGGTGGCCCACTTTGACACCTGGGCATTTCCCTCCCGCGAAGTTCACGCTGGCTGTCGCCTTGAGCGAGTGCACCGGACTTCTCACTCAGCTTGGAAGTACTCCGCCGCAGGTCCAAGATGCACTATATGCACCACTCATCCGGTGCGCGTCACACCCGAGCTTATCCGTCCAGATGAGTGCTGCCCTTTGCTTGCGCACATACTGTGATGCCAACCCCATGCAGCTCACTTCCACAATCACCCACCTGCTGAGTCTGTTGAACAAGGACCTCAAGGCGCTCGTCACCGGCTCTAGCAGTCAACGAGTTGAACTCTTGCGCAGTGCAAATGGTCATGCTCGTGGTCTTGCTGCGGTGCTCTGCCTGATACCAAAGCGACCGCTGTACACAGCATTTGACGTCAGCGTCGAGGTGCTTTCCCTTAGCATTAAGCTTCTCAAGGACTCAGGAAACCATGACTTGCACGTCTCTGCGGTCCAAATCCAGGTTGCCTGGACGCTTTTAAGTGCGCTAATGTCACTTGGACCAAATTTCGTCCGCATGCACCAATCACAACTGCTCACAATCTGGCGCAACGCGCTACCAAAGCCTACTTCAAAAGACACTGCATCATCCAATTCGGGCCGATCAGAAGCGGAGTGGGGCTTCTTGTTGCATGTGCGAGAATGCACACTCGGCTGCATCCTATCCTTCCTCTTCCACAATGCTTCGGAACTGGTCAATCTGGACACCTCCAGACGGATCGTAGCTCTACTGAGCCACGCGCTAGCATTCGTCGACGCTTTTTCAGCTCAGCATCCCAACCTTCTCCAAGAGCAGACTCCAGGCGTACATCTTGGCGGGCTCACATTGCTGGATCGTGAATTTCTTCTGCGCCGACGCCTCATGCAGTGCTTTACTGTTCTTGCTGAGAACCCAGCCATGGAGCCACTCGAGTCAGGTCTCCTGATGGTTGCCCTCAAGGCCTTTGCAGAACCTGACCGGTACATCGGGAGTGCCACACAGGCCGCAATTTCTGCGAGCGCGGGGAACTTTACGTCTGTCTGGAGTTTGGCAGACGGCTATGCCTTCGGTGTCAGCTGCACAATCGACGTAGATACATGCAGCGTCGGGCAAGGCGTGCAATTGACTCCCGCCCGTTCTAGGAAGGGCCGGCTCAACAGAGACATTTGCGAAGCCGAGCTTGACAACTTACAGTACAGGCCAGTATTTGGTGCTCCAGAGCATGACATTGCTTTGATCTACTTGCCATCAAAAGACTCGCTGGCGGCACCTGCATCGACATCACTTGTGGATGCTTCTATAGAAGTCTTTGCGCGGCTCTTCCCGTTCCAGCAGAGAAACTCCCAGATTGCAGCTCTAGAGGGGATCGCAGCCTATCTCAGATCTCCGCGTCTCGATCGTAACCCCGGCCGCCAGATGGCAGTTCAAGTCAACGCGATGGCCGCGCTGCTCGGATCGCTACGTGTTGCTGCAACACCCTCGGCCAACGGACGCTTAGCGACCGGTTTCAGCCACGAGAAAGTCTCTTCGGTGATGCGCGAGATCTTGCAGACTGGACTACTTAGCACCGACACTGCGACCAGAAACGCTGCAAGCGAAGCATATGGCCGCTTCGCAGCCATTGCTGGTTCTCAATTGTCGTCAGTGCAAGTCCAATTCCTTGTCGATCAAGTGGTCAGCAATCGAGATCCAGATGCGCGAGCGGGCTGTGCCCTCGCTTTTGGCTCCATCTATTCCTCTCTGGGCGGCTTGGCAGCAGGGCCGCTCACCAAGACGGTTGTGAATGTGTTGTTTTCACTGGCGCGCGATCCGCATCCAACCGTGCACTACTTCTCGCTCCAGGCATTGCAATCTGTTGTCGAAGCTGCCAGTCTCAGCTATACGCAATACGTGACGTCCACCCTTGGCATGCTCGTTAAGCTTTACATGCAAGACACGCACGAACCAGAAGGCGGAAGTGTCGGGTCAGTTAATCTACGAGGAGATCTGCCGGCTCACCAATCCATGTGCCGCATCATCGATGCAATGCTTGGAGTCTTGGGGCCCGATCTCGCAGACAGTACAAAGATTCGCGAATTATTGCTGGCTATGATGGCGGAAATGCAGCTCGAAACAGAAGATGGCGTAGTCATTGAAGCTACCAAGGCGTACCAGCACTTTAGCTTATTTGCGCCAGGACACATCGATACAGTCCATTGGATTGGCGAGCTGCGTCGCCACTTGGTTAGCCCCCGACGACCGTTTAAAGCCTGTGCCATGAACGCCCTCTACCAGCTGGTGCAGAAAGACGCTTTGACGATTAGCAAGGTTGGCGGAGATCGCCTAGCTGAAGACTTTTTTGCCGAGCTCGACAAGGATCCCTTACTGGAAGGGGTGCGCGATGTAACACTCAGCTGGCTGAGGCAGACGGCGGCGGCGAATCCACGCGCTTGGGTTGATCTTTGTCAGCGGATCATTTCAACTGGAAAGGGAGTTGACAAGGGTGCACGGCCGACCGCATCGCTAGCAACGACGTCGGCATTGCAAGATGAGGAATCTGCTTCGCTCGGCATCGATGACGGAGGCTCATCGTGGGCAGCGTCGCAGACCAGCCGCTGGAGAACAAGGCTATTTGCTCTGCAGTGCGTACATGAGATTTTCCTGACATTGCGCAATGCGGGGCGTTTGGAGCATTTCCGCAGTCCGCCCACTGAAGGGGCATTCTTGATGTCCAACCGAGTGACAGACCTGATCAAAATGGCTTTCATAGCTAGCACTGCTTCAAATACGGACATACGTCAAGAAGGGCTAGTCTTACTTCGAGACGTTGTGGAAAACTTCAAGCTGACACCAGACCCCGACTTTCCGGAGGCCCTCATGCTTGAACAACATCAAGCGCCGATCTCCTCCGCACTGATGCCTGCCTTTACACTGGACAGCACCCCGGAAGTGCTAGCATCCGCCGTGCAAGTCTGCGCCTCTTTCGTGGGCTCAGGCATCATCAAGGACACTGCCGGTATGGGACGCATCCTCAAACAGTTGGTGGCGGCCCTAGAGGCCTCGCAGCAAGTGTATATGTCCAGCCTCGGCGATGTTCAGAATCTGACCCCAAACGCAAGCGTCATGCTCAAAGTTGCGGTCTTTACGGCATGGGCGGAGCTCTACCTAGCATGCGGATCGCATGACTACCTGGACAAAATTGTCAAGCCGCACGCCAGCGTCCTCGTACCCTCTTGGACGGCTTTGCTACGCGAGTACGCTCGGTTGCACAGTACAGACGTCCACTCAGCTGCTCTTGGCCGAACAACCGTTGGCATGAACTTCAGCGCAGCTCTCGACTCGCAATATGCTGGCCTCTCCCGGGAGGTGGTGCTGCCGTACTTTGAGACATCATGGTGGCGGGTGTTGCACGCTTTCTCGGTGGTCATGCGTTCGGACGAAGCCCAGCTGCTCGAGATTGGCCCCGACTCCGACAAGGACAAAAATGACGCTGCTAGCGAAGAGCCTTCCAGCTTCTTCTTCCTCATATACGGGCTTGCCTTCGAAATTCTCGCTTCCACTTCCTCTTGGAAGGACTCGATGCTGGAAGCCCGGGTCAAGCGCGTCGCTTTGCAAACGCTCCAAAGCCTCAGTCACGCTAAGTATGCCGGCTCCGCATTGCTCGACGAGGCTCTCTTCGATGAGCTCTCTGCCTTGTGCCACAGGATGATCATGACCGAGTCGGTCACTGTGCAGATCGGTGTCATGCAAATGCTCTCAACGCTGATTGCCAGCTACGGCGGCCGGATCCAGAATAGGGAGATGGTCAACAAGTGTCTGCGATCATCACTCTACGTGATTGATAGGTGTCGCTCCGCTCCTGGTACTACATTGGAGAAGGCGAAACTGTTCACTTTCGCTTTTTCTTCCGCCTTGGAGATTTCGGATTTGCACGAAGAGAGCAAGAGGAACGACTTGCTTGCGATTTTGGTGCATCTTTACTCTGGTGAGGCTTTGTGTCGTGGCACGTCTCCGCTGAAGCAATATTGACCCTGACGTTACTATCACGCAGATCTTTTGCGCGACGAGCTCATCGACGTCGATCTCATCACACCGACCCTCCCTTCCCTCAAAGCTCTTTGCGAGCATTTGCCATCCGGCAACCTCGGCTCGCTCCAAAAGGCCGTGCACGGCCTCACTTCGAGGGCTGTTGAAACGATCAACAACATGCGCTCACGTTCAGCGGCGCTTGCTACTCGTCTCACAAAGGCCAATCTTCTCGCTCTGACTGTCGTAGTCACGGCACTTCCCAGCTCTATCACATTGAGTCGAGCAGTATTGGAAGAGTACACATATCTGATCAGTCACAGGATATCAACGGACGACGGCGAGATCTCCCTGACGGCCTCCACGTGCGCGCGCTCCATCCTGCTTGCAAGCGGCCGGTCAAATGTGGCTATACGCTACTGTGCTGGGCAGCTTCTCGCTGGGCTGATAAGTGGCGTAGCTCGGAGAGCGGAGGAGCTTCGTGCCACAACGGACAAGCATGATGACAAGCTGGCCTTGGTGGGCGAGGAAATCAGGGTGATCATGGGCCTGTTCGGGACACTCCCGAGCTCAATTCGTAAGTGTTTCTTTGTGCCGACGTGCCAGTAGTGAGCGGATTGCTGATTGATTCCCATATCTCTATGACAGATCCCGCACTGATGCTAACCGTCGTACCCACGTTGCTGCTGTTATGCTCAGACGAGGAAGACATCAACAGCACCAGTGCAGCACACAGCTTTGCTGTTTCGCAGCTCGTAACGCTCGCATCGACGCATTCAGCCGCTTTCAAGGTCGCGGCCGCGGGTCTCGACGAGCAGCGTCGATCGCTGCTGGAGAGCAGCGTGCGACGCGCATTACTGTCAGGCGCTGGCGCTCACGCTGGTAGGGGCGGGGCAGTGAAGCCCAAAGCCGGAATCGCATTGCGTAGCTTTGGGAGCGGTTGAAGGACGTAGATATGCGGCACAGATCACTCCAAGGCGGATGATCTCAACAGAATGCAATGATGCCTTAGTAGAACCTGTATTGTACAAGGTGAGGTGACCTTTCAAGCTGCTGAAGGTCGCCCGCGCACCCAATGAGAATTCTCATGAACCAACGACGATGCGGACAACTAGATCCAAATAGCTCGGATTTTTGGGGTGGAGGAGACGCACGATGGTGCGCGCGTCCGCAGACCTTTTGCAGGAATACCAGAGAAGCAAGGAGTGCGAAGAGGACACAACCTACAGTCCCGATAGCAGCGAGTGAATGTTGCGTGACTCACGCGGCGCCTGAGCCTACGTGGACAGAGGTGGAGGTCTCGCTGGTAGCCGCAGACTGCGTGACGTCGATATGCCCCGGTGCCTTGTTGCCCGTCGCCTCCCGCTTGGACTTGTAATTTTTGATAGCGCTTTTGATCGCATCCTCCGCCAACATCGAGCAGTGCAGCTTGACAGGCGGCAAGCTCAGCTCCTTGGCAATCTCGGTGTTCTTGATGGCGCCAGCTTGCTCAAGAGTCATGCCCTTGACGCGCTCAGTCATGTACGAAGACGATGCGATTGCGGAGCCGCAGCCGAAGGTCTTGAAGCGCACATCTGAGATGATGCCGTTCTCATCAACCTTGATGCTCAACTTCATCACGTCGCCACAGGCTGGTGCGCCGACGAGACCGATGCCGACATCTGCATCTGCCTTGTTGAATGATCCAACCTATTGGAAAGATGGTAATCAGCATTTCTCTCAAGTGACCTCGCAAGGCGAAAGCCGGAAGCAGTAGAAACTGCGCAGGTTCAGAAACTCACATTTCTTGGGTTCTCGTACTGTTGACGGGCAAGAAAAGTAGCGAGAAAAGGCGAACAAATGTCGGTCAATAACACTGCCGACCCTTCTGAGGCTGTGAGGACAGCACATTACTTACGTGGTCAATGACCTTCGCGTGGTACGCCCTGTTTGCCACCCTGGGTGCGACAGCGGCTAATCTGAGAGGAGGACGAGCGGCTGACCCGGTCAAAATCGAAGAAGTGGCGGCTGCGGCGCTGGTGAACAGCGCCCTGCTGCCACTGGCCTGTACGCTCGAGCGCGCAATGGTCGTGAGTCCTTGTTTGAGCATGATGAATATACTCTTCTTACTTTGTTGCTAGGATGACCTGGAGCTAGTGGCACTGGAAGCGGCTGAAGTTATATGCACGAGGGAGAGGATATATCACTGACGCCCCCAATTTGCACAGCTAACCTGCTGCCCGAATCAGATAGGGAAGCCCAGGCGTCTTTCATTGGGCTTCGAACCAGGCACTGTGTCTGCCTCGCAAGGTGCGGCGGAGTGCTGTCAATCGCCGACAAGGAAGCGGCACGTGACTTTGCTCTGTCGGCCGAGAGATGTGCTCTGGAGGCCGCGTCCCCTCACACCACGCGCAGGTACCATGAAACAAGCTCCCGGCTCCTCGAATGCATCGCCAGTGGTAACGAAGACGTGGCCCCTGGGACCTGCACGATAACCTTGATTCCACTCATCTAGGCCGCTCGATCTCGAGCACACCGTGGAAGAAAGATATACCTACGCAAAGAACGTTCAAAGTTGGTCAGGCGGCTTATTTAGAAGCGCTTCGCCAGCATGTCAGCCGGAGCTGGAGAAGGAGCATACAGCTTCTCCCTCACCACCTTCTCCCCGTCTGGCAAGCTCGTACAGATCGAACATGCGCTTGCGGCAGTGTCGGCTGGTGCCACTTCGTTAGGCATCAAAGGTGTGTGCAAAGCACATCGTGACATGCGCTCTCGCTGGGCTCGCTTGCGATTGCCCTGTGTTCTGTGTTACTGATGGTCATTTCTCATGCAACGGGGCAGCCACAAATGCCATCGTTATCGCGACAGAAAAACGCATGCCGTCTCCCCTGGTAGATGACTCGGCCTTAGAGAAGGTCAGCTTGATCTGCCCTAACATCGGCATGGTGTACAGCGGCATGGGCCCGGATTTCAGGGTGCTGGTCGCAAAGGCGAGGAAGTCTGCGCAGGCCTACTGGAAGATCTACGGCGAATACCCACCAACTCGCGTGCTGGTGCAGGAAGTCGCGACTGTCATGCAAGAGGCTACTCAGAGCGGGTGAGTCAGGAGTCCTGCTTTGCGACACGTCATAGGCCAAGTTGAGCTCACCGTTCATACCGTTGTATTTGTCGGCTGCAGAGGAGTCCGTCCATTTGGCGTGTCACTGCTCATCGCCGGCTTTGACAAGGTCCGCGGCCCATCCCTGTATCAAGTAGACCCCTCCGGATCTTACTTCATGTGGAAGGCAAGCGCAATGGGCAAGAACATGACCAACGCCAAGACTTTCCTGGAGAAGAGGTGCGTACTCGCATAGTTACTCTGCCATTCCCTTGGTCTCATGCTTTGTCAGGACGAGCATGCAAGACTGATCGGCTTTACTATTCTCGTCTCTTCTCTTTGTTGCGTGCCGCTGTTTCGAATGGCCTAGATACAACGATGACATCTCGTTAGAAGATGCGATTCACACGGCGCTGCTGACGCTCAAGGAAGGCTTCGAAGGGCAGATGACCGAAAAGACGATCGAGATCGGTATCATTGGCGAAAACACGCTCGCCAACGTACCTGGATCAGAGGTGCAGCTGCCGAGCTTCCGGAAGCTGAGCGAGAGCGAGATCAAGGATTAGTGAGTAGGACAGCTGTGGTCTCGTCCGCGCAGGCGTATTGCAAAATGATGCACCGTGCTGATGGGACGCTATACCCTTATTCTGAACTGATTTCTCCTGCTCAACCCGCATATATAGCCTAGCGTTGTAACTTGCTCGTCTTTGGCATCGTCAGAGGAAAACCGAAGATATATGCACGCGCACCAACTCTTTGTCCAGTGGATCCAGCCTCTGGGTATTTTTGTTCCACCCTAGTCTCGACTTATGCACACTGAGACGGATGGGCTGTCGCAAGTTGCGATAACATCACACTTGGTCATTCCATCCAAAGGCGAAGGCGTGCGTAACGAAAGATCGCGTGCGCTAATGCTCCTGCAAACTTGAATTCGTGTAGAATAGCAGATATGGCCTCAGCCTCAAGCTTCGTCTATTCATCGCAGATCGCGCATGATCCTCAATTCCAACTGATTCCCGCTCCTGTCTGTCACGGTGCATATTGTCCCACACCCTTTTCATAGGACAAGCACAAGCAACCTTGCTCATTTTCTCTCTCACAGCCTCACTGCGCACTGTTTTGAATCAAAAGACTGTAACATCGATCTCTTTCAAAGGGCAAAAGACAGGTGCAGCCAGTCTTCTTCTCTACAGGTAGTCGGGTTCAAGCTGATCTCGAAACAAGCTTCAAGTCAACTTCTGTTCGGTTCGGTTGTTTCATTTTGCAGGAGGGTGGTATTTTGATATGCTCGCAGCGCAATCGTCATGCATGGGACGGATTACGACGCTTGCTTGGCAAGCTCGGCCGCTTTCGCAGCGACATCGTCAATGTTGCCGACCATGTAGAAAGCGCCCTCGGGCTTGTCGTCGTGCTGGCCGGTGAGGATCTCCTTGCAGGCCTTGATCGTGTCCTTGAGCGGGACGAGCTTGCCCTCAATACCGGTGAAGACCTGTGCGACGGCGAACGGCTGCGACATGAAGCGCTGCACCTTACGGGCGCGCTCGACGGTAAGCTTGTCTGCTTCCGACAGCTCGTCCATACCCAGAATGGCGATAATGTCCTGCAGCGACTTGTAGTCCTGCAGCAGCTTCTGCACACGCGTCGCAGTGTCGTAGTGCTCCTTGCCGACGATTGCCGGGTCGAGCATACGCGACTTGGAGTCGAGCGGGTCGACGGCCGGGTAGATACCCAGCTCGGCGATCGAACGGGCCAACACAGTGCTGCAGGTAGACAAGGCAACTACATCAGCAACGTCCAAAGAAAAGAGGAAGGCACGGGCAAACTTACGTGGCATCCAAGTGCGCGAAGGTGGTGGCAGGCGCAGGGTCCGTCAAGTCATCGGCCGGGACGTAGACGGCCTGGACGGACGTGATGGAGCCCTTCTTGGTGGTAGTGATACGCTCCTGCATACCACCCATGTCGGTGGCCAGCGTGGGCTGGTAACCGACAGCGGAAGGGATACGACCGAGCAAGGCAGATGTCTCGGAACCGGCCTGGGTGAAGCGGAAAATGTTGTCGATGAACAGAAGCACGTCCTGGCCCCTTTTGGTTCAGGAGGTAGGGAAGCATCAGCAAGAGAATAATCCATCTGCAATGCCCGCGATGGAGGCTGTCTGAACTCACTCCTCGTCACGGAAGTACTCGGCGATGGTAAGACCAGTCAGGGCGACACGGGCACGGGCACCAGGGGGCTCGTTCATCTGACCGAACACGAGTGCGACTTTGGACTCGCCTTCGAGGTTGATGACACCAGTCTCAATCATTTCGTGGTACAAGTCGTTCCCTTCACGCGTGCGCTCTCCGACGCCGGTGAAGACAGAGAAACCACCGTGGGCCTTGGCGATGTTGTTGATCAGCTCCTGAATCAGCACCGTCTTGCCGACACCGGCACCGCCGAACAGGCCAATCTTTCCACCACGGGCGTACGGGGCGAGCAGGTCGACGACCTTGATACCTGTCTCGAGCACCTCGGCGGTGGTCGACTGGTCGACGAATGATGGCGGCTCGACGTGGATGGGGGCGAGCTTCTTTCCCTTGATGGGTCCACGCTCGTCGATGGGGTCACCGACGACGTTGATGATACGGCCCAGGCAGCCGGGGCCGACGGGGATCTGGATGGGCAGACCGGTGTCGACGACCCTTTGGCCACGGACGAGACCCTCAGTACCGTCCATAGCAATCGTGCGGACAGTGTTCTGTGCAAGCGTGTCATAGGAAAAGAATATTCAGATGATGATGCGAAGAGGTGCAGGAACGCCGATGGACGAAGTCATGCTCACCTCTCCCAAGTGCTGGGCGACCTCGAGCACGAGACGGCCCTCCTTGACGTCAACCTCGAGAGCGTTGAGAATTTGGGGGAGGACCTCGCCCTCAAAGTGAACGTCGACTACGGGGCCAATAACCTGGCGAATGGCACCAACCGAACCCTTGGCCTCGGAAGGAGTGGCGAGGTTGCGGGCTTCATAAACGCAGGTGGAAGAACGGATTGGTTAGTACCGAGGTTCGGGTTGTGAAGGAGGGTCATGGACATCCTGCTGTACCTTCCCTGCGATTCCAGGTATCTCTGCCTTCGACTCTAGCTGTCCAGATGTTGATGCGGACGCGAAGATCGATAAAATCGTCTCGTTTGCCCTTCAACCCTGATCCCTACGAGCGTTCTTCCTAGCCAGGCAGGCAGCAACGTGCTTCCTTCTTCATGATTTTCTTTCCCATCCTTCCCCCCAGCGGTCTTCTTCGTGCTTCACTCACCCTGGGCAGCGAAAGCCTTGGGCATCTGCACTGCAGCGGCGCGAGCAGCGCCGGTGGAGGCAATACCGGCCTGGCGAGCAGGTGCGACGGCGGCCTTTGCGACGGTGGAGAAGAGGTTCTTCCTCGAGTTGGCCGCTGCCGACTGGCGGGCAGCTGCCCGGAGGGCCGAAGACCTCGAAGCAATCATGGCTTGTGAGGCGAGGGCGGAGGGGGTGGATCGGATACGGCTGTGCCTTTTCCTGTAATCGTGAGCGTGGAGTACTACGACTGAGGAGCACTTGTAACCAAGCCAGGAAGGATGAGAGGGGATCAGATGGGACAAGAGGACGAGGAGGAAAGCAGAAGGAGTGGAAGGGAGATGCGCAGACGCGGCGGGATGAGCCGGGGCAGGCCGGGCAGCAGCAGCGAACGAACACAGTGAGACAGACGAGGGAAGGAACTTTTGGCTGACTGGCTGGCTGGCGGGCGGGCGGGCGCCGAACATGGAGCACTGGAGCAGTGCGCACGGGCACACGCGCTGGCGCTCTTTCAGTGGAAAGACACTGCTGCAGTGCTCTGATCAATGTTCACACCCACCCACCCATCCACCCGCACGCACTCACACACGCACTGCTCCGCTGCTGCGCAAACTGATGGCATTCTATTCTTTCTTCTCTTCTCCTGGGTTTGATAATAACCCTAACTCAGCGGCGCCAAAGCAAGGTGGGTTCACAGCTCAATGCGTTGGTGGAGACCCCTCACATCCTCGCAGGATCGCATGCAATGGACGAGCGAAGCATACCGTGTCCAAGTGCTTCGCCAAGGCTCAAGGATGAGCGGCAATGGTGCACAGAGATGATGATGATGGACGCTGTGTCCTAATGATGATCTATTTCCATGGCGTCTGCCCTACAGCTACTGGATCTCGCCCTTGTCCCTCGCATCGAGGAAAGCCTGGTGCAGCTTATCCTGCGCCTTGCGCTCTTTCTCCAGCGCCTTCCTCTTTCCTTTGCTCAGCTCCTCCCCTTTGGCATCCTTCATCGGCATGCCGCCGTCGTCGAATGCGCCAAACTGGCCCTGATACATGGGGCTGTCCCGGAACATGGCATCAGGCGCGTAGCGCCCCTTCTCTAGCTGCTCGAGGCGTCGCACACGCTCGCGCTCCTGGTTCTCGCGCTTCCTACGTTCTTTGTCCGCAGCTGCCTTCTCCTTCTCAGCCCGTGCAGCAAGAAGCTGCTCTGCGGGGACGAACTTGACCAGCGATGTCCCGTCTTCCTGGTCCTCGAGTGCGACGCCTCGCTGCGCAAGATCGACGTCGCGCAGCTTGTCCGCCAGCGCCAGGAAGGCCGCGTGCGGCGCTTCTGAGCGCGAAAGCTTGCGCATTTCGTCTCGGAAACCGGCAAGGATCTGGAGGTATGGTGCGAGGATCGTCTCGCGCTGGCGTGTTCCGAGGCAGCGAGAAGCCAAAGGAGCTCGCATTAGTCACAAGCCACTTCAGCGTACTGACAGGCACTCACGTCTTGTGAACCAAAACTCGCCTCGGCACCAGCCGCGTCAGAGCCCCAGCTGATATCGCGTTCATGTTTTGGACCCGCACCGAGCCCGAGCATCCTGAGCATTTCTCCAACCCATCTCGCTGGTGCCTCCAGCACGCTGAATTCCAGATCGCTGCGCTTCGTACTCCGCTCGTAGACATTGACCTTGCTGACGAGGTCGAGCAACACCTGCACGCCCGCCGGCGTGTCAAAATTATCACACATGGCTCTGCGGAACGCATCCTGCGCGTCAATGAACGTTGCCATCAGCTTCGTCTCCGGCTCATGGTAATAGTTCTTGCCATCCGAGTATGCGAGCCCGCGTGAGGCGGCAGCTTGTAGGTGTGCCTTGATCATCGAGAAGAAGTTGTTGAACGTGCTCTCCGCATTCCGCACCTCTGCCATGGCGCTCTCCCTAAAGTCCATCTTGCTGTTCCAGGCCTGGAAGAGAAAGGCGAGACGAAGCTGGCGCGCAGAGTATCTCCGCAGTGCGTCGTCGATCGAGATGAAGTTCTTGAGCGATTTAGACATCTTCAAGCCTTCGATGTGCAGATGACCCGTGTGCAAGAAGTAGTTGATCCACTGTCGGCAGCCATGGTGTGCCTCGCTTTGCGCAATCTCATTATCGTGGTGTGGAAACATCAGGTCGACGCCGCCGCTGTGAATGTCGATCCGCGGGCCCAGCACGGCGGACGCCATGACGGAGCACTCAATGTGCCATCCCGGTCGCCCCGGCCCCCATGGTGACGGCCATGCAGGTTCCCCCGGTTTGCTAGCTTTCCATAGCGCAAAGTCAGCCGGTGATCGCTTGCCTTGTGTCGTGGCTGCACTTGTCGATAGTGAGCCTTCGCCCTCTTCGAGCAGCTCTCTGTTTCCCTTGCTCCAGGGCGCCAGCTTGGCATACGAATGAGCGAAGCCAGAGCGCTCGCCATCCATTAGCCCGCTGGCCGCGCTCCCATCTGCATCTCCAGGTTCCTTTGCACCATCAAAAGCTTTCGTGTCGAACCAGACGTTGCGCTTGCTCTCCTCTCCGCCAACGCCCCCGTCTGCGTAGGCGTAGCCCCGCTTGATGATCTTCTCAACAAAGTCTACAACCTCCGGGAGATACTCGCTGACGCGGGTCAGAGTCGTCGGACGCTCGACATTCAAGCGCGCCATGTCCTTGAAGAACTCAGTCTCCCATTTCGCGGCCAGCTCTCTAAAGATGCCGGGATCTGTGACGCCTGAGCCATATGACGCGTCGAGCCATGGGGCAAGCACATCTGCAGAGGCGGTGATGAGATCTGCTGAGGATTCGTCCGATTTGGCAGCCACCGACATGGCGGCGGCGAGCTGCGCTTGCCGGGAGGTGTTCTGGAGATAACACGAGGTGCAATCAGTGTAAAGCCCTCAAGCTCCATGACCAGCTCGCTCACCAGAGCATTCAGCCACATGCCAAACTTGGGCTCCTTCTCTGCTGCCTCTCTTAGCCACTTCTCATCTTTAGCCAGCCGGCTGACCTCCTCGAATTTCGCCTCTGCCATCGCGAGCGAGCCTTCTTGCAGCTGCTCGTTTTCCAACCGACCTGGTGGCGGAGCCAGCTTGCCAATCGTTTTGTCCAAGAAAATCTGCCATGCTTCTCGGATGTCTAGTAGCAATGGCGAAGAGAGAGTTGGGTGTTGTGATTGGTATTCCTTGAGCAGGTGAAACTGACGTGCACGGAGGATGATCTTGTCATCGATGTCTGTGATATTCATGACGAAATGGATATCATAGCCGAAGTAGTCTCGCAAAATGCGCTTGATGATGTCCTGCGTCACGTAGTTTCTGGCATGCCCCATATGACTCGCGTCGTATACGGTAGGTCCACAATTGTACCACGTCACTTGCTTGGGCCGCATGGACACAAACGGCACCTTGCTCCTGGTCAGCGAATTGTAAACGTGCAGCACTGGCTCTGGCCCGCTGCTTCTCGGCTGGTGCCATGGCGGCTGCATGGCCTTGGTGCTCGCCGCTGCCGTCGAAGTCATCTCGATCGTCACTGGGATGAATGGATGACAAGAAGATGGCAGGGCAGGACCTCTTGGCAAGGAAGATATCGCTGTGCGCACCGTATTCACTTTGAAGGCGCGTCGTATAGAGACTGTGAAGAGTGTTGGAGATCTCGCAGTGAGCATGAAGCTCTCTCTCTCTCTCTTGGCGTTTCCGTCGACCAAGAAGCAAGGCGCTCCTGGTGGGCTTCAGAGAAAATAGACCTTTAAGCGAATGGTAAGAAGAACGATACTCACAGCACTGACTCGTAGTTACCGGCTATTAAGAATAGCTAGTGGTTGAGTCATTCGCCTCGGTCAAAAGCCCCTTCCCAAGTTCCAACACAAGCACATGTTCAACCTGCAGGCGGGCGGGTTATGGAAGTCCGGAGTGCTTCCTAGGGCTTCAGCGTGAGGCTGTGAGGGGAGACGGTATGAGAGGGGAAAGGCTACAGAGTCTGCACATTTTCGCTGGGCTGTCCACAACCCAATGTTGATCTCGGCCGAGAGCAGATTGAGAGCTTCAACTTCTTGATAACGGCAGGACAACCCTGCACTGACAGATGCGACACAGCAGGATACAGTTCACTTCAGGAATTCTTGTCCATGCGCACGCGTCCCTCATGCCCCATGTGTCATGGACATTGGCAGTGAAACGGTGCGGAGATAGAATACGCTCGTCGACCGAAAGCCGTCGGAATGGCGGCAAAGGAGTATCACGAGATCGTTCCTGGCGCCGGCCTGATCCTTTCGTGGCAGCTCAAGGGGAAGAAGGTCCTTCTCGTCGGAGGCGGCCCTGTAGCTGCCGGTGAGTGGACAGAGGCTTGATTGAATTGTGCAATGAGGACCTAGCAGATGCGCCGGACCACCTCCAGCCAAGCTGACGCCTTCGACTACTCTGTGCGAACAGGTCGTCTGGTCAACGTCAAAGATGCAGACGCACACCTGACCGTCATCTGCCCCTCGTCCGGGTTGTGCGGCGAAATGAAGCACCGCATCTACACGGAGAACGTAGTAGATGTCTACCACGATCGCCTCTTTGGTGGCGCATCGGAACTGGACGCACCGGAAGATGGGCGACGGTTCGACATGGTGCTGACGGCGATCGACGACGCCGAGCTCTCGCGTTCGATCTGCCACATGGCGCGTGCGCGCAAGATCCCAGTGAACGTCGCTGACGTGCCACCTGAGTGCGACTTTTACTTTGGTTCGCTCATCCGCCGCGGACCGCTGCAGGTCATGGTCTCGACCGGTGGCAAGGGTCCCAAGATCGCCAGCCAGACGAGGCGCGTCATCGAGCGCGCTTTACCCGAGAATATCGACAACGCGATCGAGAGGGTGGGCAAGCTGCGCGCCAAGCTGCGTGAGGTGGCGCCAGAGCAAAAACAAGGCCCCAAGCGGATGCGCTGGATGATCGACGTCTGCGAGAAGTGGTCCCTAGACCAGCTGTCGGACATGACGGACGATGACATGGAGGAGATCCTCAAAGGCTGGAAGAAGGGAACCGTTCCGACGTACCGACAGGTCAGAGGGATAAAGTGGAAGATTATCCCGTTCATCGCACTGCCAACAGCCAAGCAGATCAACAAATCCCTCTTCGGCACCTGCCCTGTCGTCGGCGCCATCTCGCCTTGGCTCAGTGGTGTCCTGGGCGCAACAGCAGGCGCAGCTGTCGCATCCGCCTTCTTCGTTCTCCGCTCTCAAACTCGTCATTCATTAATGTCGGTTCCCTAGTATGCTTTAGCAAACACTCTACACACGCAATGTACATTAGTCCATACCAGCACTTATTCAAAGCATAGATGTGTACAACATGACTCCCAATTTGCCGCCGACAAGCTATGAGCGATGTGATTCCCGCTTGGCAGCCACTTTGCCTTTCCCTGCAGCGGATGCCGTCCCAACTCCTTCCGTGGGGACTCTCCCACCGTACAGCCACTCCGGCACTGGATTCGCCTTTGGCACCGCCCTCCTCCGCGCTTCCTGGTACTCTTCCTCCTCCCTCTTGAGTTTCTCAGCGCGTGCAACTTGGCGAGCAGCCTCAAGTGCGTCCTCGTTCGCCTTGCGCTTCCGCTCCCACTCCGCCCTTTCTGCGAGGCGCGCATCGATGCTCGAGACAAAAGGCTTAGCGTCCTCAAGACTCGCCTTGCGCGCTGCTTGCTGCCGATGACGATCGTGTTGCTTCCCAGGCCCAGATTTCTTGCCCTCGCCCAGTTCTGCGCGCCGCACACTCTCGATTTCACGTTGCAGTCGCGCCTCCCCCTCGGCCTGCAGCTGCTCTTTTCGCTTTCGGATCCACAAAGGCACATCATTGGCCTTGTACCGCGAGCGCCTCTGCAGTTCTGCCTCTTTTGTTGCCGCGCTGGCGTCCTTGGCGCGCTGTGCATCAAGCATCGCGCGTTGGCGCGCCGTCATGCCATTCGTTGTTACAATCGTTGTGGATGAGCCTGCGGTGGCTGATATTAAAGAGCTACCCGCGTCGAACGAGAATGTCCGTGGAGCCACAGCGGGAACGAGGTGACCGGTGGAGCTGAGACGGAAGCCAGCTGGTGCAGCATCCGGTGCTTGGCATGTTGGGCCAGCCGCAAGACCTTTGCCGATAGCAGAGGCCATCTTGATCGCCTTGCGCTTGTCATTTACCACCTTGGCCTCTAACGACTTCCGACGTAGCTTGCTTTTAGTGCGAGTAGAAGAGACAGCATTGCTCACTGTGTCCTCCTTAGCCGTGGTTGCGGGCGTAACCTTGGCTGCTTCAATGTGTGCAACCTGCTGGACACGCTTAGGCGCAGAAGCAAACGTAAATTCATTGGGAAACGAAATGCCTTCGATCGGTACCGGCGATACCGGTGCTATCCGGGCTTTGGTTCCCCTTTGAGCCTTACCCGGCGAAGACGGTACGTGGGCGCTAGAGATACGAGCGCTCCGGCGCGGCGCACTGACGGCCATCTGCTCCAGTGCCTGCTCTTGCAGATTTGAATGAGTCACCTTCTTCCGAGGAGGTGAAATTGCTTTCGATGACTGCAATTCCTCGTACGTCTCCCGCTTTGGAGAAGGATTACGCCGACCTTTGCGATGGGGCGAGACCGACCGGGGTAATGAAAAATGTGCTGTTAAAATGGGAGACATGGAAATTGGCTCTTGAGCAGCGGTGAGATGCAGTCCTTCTGCGCTGGCACTGGGTCGAAGGTCCGATTCTGACACTTTTTCTGGATGCGACTCGTCTAGATCTGGCACAAGTTGGTGTTTGTCCGCTGCCCTACGTTGCTTCTCTCCACTTCCGCTTTGTGCTCGACCTGCACCATCGTTAGGTTGATGGCTAGATTTCCGGTTTTTGCTACTCATCTCTGCTCTTTGAATAGACGAACCTATGATCTCTTTGCTCTCTATAGGCTGCAGTCCCGGATCTGCGGCTGCAGCATGTATTGGAAGGAGCGGAGCCAAGCCAAGCCTTCGCCTCCTCGCCTCCCTGCTCTCCGCTGCCGCAGCGATGGAAGAGCCGATGCTAATGAAAGGAGCAGAGGAGCCGTCCATAGGGTGAACCGTGGGCTCCTTCGCTGATCCTGCAACACTCTGGTTCAAGCGCGGGATCTTGGACGGAGATTTTGGCGGTGCAGCTGCTCGTAGAAAGTAGGGGCAGACTGGTCAGTTCGGCAGATCCACGATATCTTTACCTTTTTGAACTCACACATCATTGGTTCCGGGGGATGAGGTTTAGATACTTTTGACCTCTTTTCCTCCCGTGACATCTCCTGCCAAGCTAGTCTTTCGAGCTCCTGTTCTGTCATCTCATCCAAGGCAGGATCAGACTGGTTGACAGCTACCTCCTTGAGCGGTAACGACGTCATGATCGAGGGTTTTGCCTTGCTTTTCTCCTTCGCAGCGTTCTTGCCATGGGCTTTGGAAAGTCCCAGTGATGTGTCGATCAACAAGCTGTCCTCCGTCGTGAACTCAAAGGGTGCGCGAGTCGTTCGTCTGCCTCTCACCCTTGCACTGGACAAGGCATTGTCAAGTGCAAAGCCGAGGTCGGGCTTTGGGGATTCGAGCAACCATGCCTTCGTGCTTCTACTCCTGAGTCTTCGGTCGTTCGATGGGCTGATACATGACGCCATGGTGGCTTTGAGTTGGCGAAGCGTGTTGTACTGGACCGTGTTCCCGTGAGCCTCAAAGGGGAAAGCTAGGCATCAACGGCGGGAATGACTTCTGTGAGAACTTCCGCTACTTGGATGGCGCTATTCGAAGCAGATGCAAGCTGGGTTCCTTGCGAGGAATGACGGAAGGAGAGACAGCAAGGACGACACAATGAAAGGCTGCACTATGCAATTCTTTATTCGGTTTCAATTGTCGAATTGAGCTTTCTCCCTTCTAGCTACATATAATACATACATCTGGTGTGTTGGAAAAGAACAACACGACGCGCCGCGCCCCCAGATATAAATTGTTGTCACGTGATAATTTTCTCCCTTTCCCTGGCGAGCCCTCGCTCGTCGCACTCCGCGACCGTTGAGGTCGCCAACTCTCTTCCTCCGAGAACGAGATCCGGAGACGCACTGGAGCTTGACACATCCGCCTTTGTTGATCTCCATTCTATCGTTCGGTGGCCCGAGGCACGCACCTGCACATCAAGATCTACATATCGAGATTTCTGGCAGGATTGTTGCCGTGGATTCTAGGACTCCACTGTGGACTCTTGCACACCGCGCACGTGAGATGCCATGGCTGGCTCATCTCAAGGCGGCGAGCAGAATCTTCATTCTATTCCGATGGGTCTCCATGCCGGCGGCCCCTCTTTGATGTTCGTTGCCGATTGCACTGCTTCCCGTAGGGATAAGTAATTTTTCGAATGCGGGGAATGCTCTGCTCGGGAGGAGAGTCCAGCGTATAGTTTGGCGCTCGCCAAGATTTGCCCGAACTTGCCGCGGTCCTGTGAGGGATGGGGTTCGTTCCGAGGTAGTGGCTGCGTAGACTTGCTCTGGACATTGCCACGAATCTATTCTCGTGTTGCTCTATTAAGATTATCTTGTCCATCTCATCCCTTTCCACCACTTGACGCAAGTAAGCACCTCACACTCATCTTTCTCAAAGAGGCCCTTTCGCGTTACTGCCCGACGAAACACTGCAGGATCGTCCTATCGTCAACGCCGCCATATAACGTCACCTTCATCGTCTCCGATTGTACTGGGCGGTTTGCTTCGCAATTATACCTCCATGATGGCGACGTCGAATGGCCCTCGGCGGGATAGACGGCGGTCTAAGCGAAGTGCAGCCTCCGCGATCATCTTGCTATCAACGCTAGCTAGCATTGGGATTCCTGCTGCCGCTGCTGCCAGGAGCAACAGGCTGCTATCGTCGCAGCCCAAGAGGCCAGGGGTAAACTTCAATGTTGTACCATCTAAAGCTGGAGCTGCGGCAGTCGAATCAGTAGCAGGTGTGCGCGTCGCTCAGCACGCAGTCGAAGGGTCCTCGGTGGTGGACCAACGGAAGGCCCTCAGCCTCTCCGCTCGTGATCTCGAAAGCCAATCTCATTCGCTCAGCGAGCAGGACAGAAGCATCCTCCCGCGAGATAGCTCAATAGCATCGACGACTGGCTTCACCGGGACCGGCATCGCAGCAGCTTCGGCGCTTGGATCGTCATTGGCGACCGTGGTGCAGAGCCTGGGGCTCGATGCAACGGGGTGGGCTTGGACATTTCCAACCGTGAACGCAGCCACGTCAGCAGAATCCAGCAGCAGCAACATCGTCGGCTCAGCCGTAGCCGGCGGAGTATCGACTTCGGCAGTCATCGCCCCTGCCGGGATGACAACGGTCGGAGTGGGTTTGCTGACAGGACAAAACACAGAATCGGAGCCTGGCGCAGAGGTCGATCAGCAATCCGACAGTGCTATGATGCTGCCTGCGAATGTCGAACCCGCGCCATCGCTACAGCAGCGCGATGATGTACATGTCTTCAATGTTCACGGTTTGCTCTTCCCGCGAAAAGACCTGTTGACTGCATCCAGCGCTTTCGAGCCACGGCATAGCAAAGAGCGAAACGACACGGACAAGGTTCTGGATGAGAACGTACCGAACACACCCATCAATGCTACGGACACCACGAACAGAAGTGATAACTTTTCGAACATGGACGCCAAGATATGGCTCAATTCGCACGTGAACTTGTACCGTGCACAAATAGCCAGTGGCAGCGGCGACATTGATTTCGCTGCCGACCCAGCATCATCAACGTCTGACGCGGCGTTACGCATATTTTATTCGAAAGGCTCATATTCGCTGAAGAGCTCTCCCATCGGTGGCGCATCTTTCTACTCGCAACCTTTCCTCAGCACCAATTTGGAGGTACTGGGCAGCCCCGGCGCGACAAATGGAACACCTTATGCGACGGCGTCGGGCGATGTAGCTCACACCGACCCGTCGCGCCCACAGCTGCTGGTGTCTTACTCTGTCTACTTTCCGCCCGGCTTTGACTTTGTGCAAGCTGGGAAGCTTCCGGGGATCTATTCGAGCGTAGGGTCGCAGCAGGCGGATGGCAGCATCGATGCCAACACAGACGGGTGCAGTGGTGGTGCTCAAGGGGAGGCTGGAGCTAGCTGCTGGAGTGTCAGGGTGATGTGGAGGACGGGTGGCGTAGGCGAGAGTACGTCTTTTCGAGCTAGTATTTCAATGCTCAAACTCATTGCTAACTACCCCTGATTTTACTGTCACTCACAGTCTACGCCTACATCCCGACCAAAATATCTGGTGGCTACGATCTTTGTGCGAACGCCCAAACGTCAACGCAGCCCGTATCACCTGGGTCGATCATCTGCAACAGCGACTACGGCACGTCAATCGGCCGCGGCTCTTTTTCGCTGACGCGTGGTCAATGGAACCAGATCGCCTTGTACGTCCAAGTCAACAGCCCACACACCGCGAACGGTGTGCTGCAGATGTACTACAATGGCAATCCGACACCAGCGGTGGAGAAGACCGGCCTGGTCTTCCGCAGCGGGACGACCGCGACGCAGCGAACGGGCCAAGGTGGTGGAAGCGGCAACAGCCGCAGCAGGCGAGGACTGGAGAGGCGGGACCTATGGGACCAAGGAAGTCAGAAATGGGTCGATAAAATCTTCTTCTCCACTTTCTTTGGAGGGTCCACGCCAGACTATGCAGCCACAGCAGACACCTACTCGTACTTCAAGGACTTTTCAGTGAGTTTGCCTGGGTATAGGTGTAAGGAAGTGCCGGGGATAGAAAGGCTGAACGCAGCTCGCGCACCTGCCTCTCCAGATCTTTGCAGGTCAGAGCTTTTCGCAGCAATCAGGGCAGCACTTCAATGCAGCCTCCAGCCTCTCCCGTCCTGCTGCGCTCAGCCTGCTGATCTGCACGACAGTACTTGCATCTACAGCCGTACTAGTATAGCTGGCTCATGACTAGATTTGCCTGCACGAGGTGTAGCATTGTCATAGCCGCATGGACTCTACCTGCTCGACTTTTTCCCAAAGCAGCTGCCTGAACGATACATGCATGGCTCTGGTGTCCTAAGAATGGCAAATGAGGAACGCAGATGAGAAATTGCGTGCGGGTCAGAACGCGTGCTAGCTAGAATACAAGAGGATAGCGGGAGCTAACCTGAAGTTTTTGTCAATGAGTGCAGGCTCAACGAATTGCGGCCCTGGAGCAAGGATGAACGGACAGTGGGTCTCACCGTTGGAGTAGGTGCACACCCGGTGGATAGATCAATAGTCGTCACCTCGGGAGACAACCTCCTTGCAGGTCGGGCGGAGGAGAATGGTGTGCTCGAACTGCGCCGTCATCGAGCCAGGCACGTCGCACAGCGGCGGATAGTCCTGCACAATTCCCTGGTCGACGAGGTGCTTCAGTCCGAGTAGATAAGCCTTCTCCCCGAGCCTGTCGAGGTAGCGTCTGCAGAACGGCAGCGTCCCAAAGTTCTTGTTGATCGTGTACAGCAGCGTGCGAGCACTTTGCACGCGAAGGCTCGCAGCGCTGCCAGGTGCGTTTTTGCGCTTGGCGTAGTGACTGCAGTCTCCCTGGTCTTGCACGTAGCCTCTGCCGGTCGTGCCGAACGTTTCGATGGCAAAGTACTCGCCTTCCTCCATGCGTGTCTTGAGGTCCGGCTGAGCAACGATCGGCACGCTTTTCCCGCCGTGAATTGAGTAGCGTTCGATGTTGTGCCCTTGCAGGTTCCTGACGCACTTAACATTCAGCATCTCCCCGTTGACCTCGTAGGAGCCCGACTCCATCACTTCTTGGATCGCTGCGCCGATTTCACCCAGCCGCGCGTCGATACCCGATTCCCGCACACCTGTGTTGGTCGCCTCGCGAACGATTTCGAGCAATGGGTTGTGCGTGTCTTCCCATGTCAGCGTAAAGGCAGAGTCGCAAATCCTGCCTGCAACGTGTACACCAATGTCAACCTTGAGCACATCGCTCTTTTGCAGGACTGCAACACACAATTCCAGTGAATCAGTATAATGCAAAACACATATGTACAGTCGCAGTTTAAGCACTTACTCCTCTTGTCGCCGGCATTGGGAGTGAAGTGCGCCGCGCACTCGTTGAGCGATAGGCCAGTCGGGAAACCGATGCCGCTGTCGAAACCGTTCGCTTCGACGACTGCACGTGTTCCGTCCTCGATGAGATTCGCAATATCCGTCATGCTCATGCCCGGCTGGATTGCCTTCCTTGCATACGCCCTGACCTGTCTGTGCGTCTCTGCTGCGCGCCGAATGAGATTGTAATCGCAGCCCTCCTCCTCCTGCTGGATCCTCTCCCTCTCCCTGAGTTCCTCGGCAGTGGTGCGTGCGCGGTTCTCATCGAGGAACTTGGATGTGTCGTATTGCTGGATCTCTCCGACCGGGTATTGCCCGTTGGGGAAGAGCGTTGTCAGGCCGATACGCGGCGGTTCAGACTGGTTCTGCGCTGCCGATGCTCGTGCAGCAGCAGCAGCTTTTGCCTTTTTCTTTGCTGCGCCGGACTTGTTCTTCTTCTTCTTTTTGGCCCCAGTGCTCGCTGCAGCCACATCAGCTTCTCCCTCATCATCGTCGTCGTCATCATCCGCGGCAGCGTCTCCGTTGGTGTGATCGTGACCGTTGCGATTGACTTGGCCATTCGTCGGCGCAGGAGCTGCCTCCCTGGACTCGGAGGGAGAGATCTTGGACGTGGCGAGCAGGTCGGTCAGCTCCTTTGCCGCGCCATTGGCGACATGGACTTGTGTAGCAGACATGATGTTGCGTAGGCTGTGTGATATTGCTCCAGCTGCACCCCTTGCTTGGAGCGAACCTCGTCATGCAACGGATGTCGAAGTTGCATCTGGGAAAAAGAAAAAAGCGTGACTGAGATGGCACAGTCGACTGGGCAGTTGCTTCTCTCTATTCTAAGCGCGGAAAGGCCAAGGAATCGAAAGGACGGCACACCATCAGTCAAAGGCCATAACCCAGCGCCCCTCCTCTCCACACCCAACCCCCGTCTGTCTCATACACATACACAAACGCGGTCTCGGCGACTTTCTCTATCGGCGTCTCAAATTTCCACTGTGCCAATTGCCCCCATCTCCAGATTGTTGCCGACCAGCACGTCACAACCTGCGTTGCTGAACGCAGACCACATTTATATAGTCGCTTCATTGCCTCCGCTCCGTCGCTAAGAGGGAGCAGCAACATGCGATCCCGATGACTGTCAGGGACCGACTCTCACCCAATTTACACTGTAAAAGGTTGACCATTTCTTGACAGGCACGCATCGCATACACTCTCGTTCAGGCACCGCTCCCTAAGCCCAAGAGTCGTCATCATCCACCATGGACCCAAGCAGCTCGTCGAAAGACAATGCTAACCCGATTATCCACTCTCCACTCAAGACTAACAACCTCCGCCCCAATGCTGCCGGTGCACTCGGCGACGATACCGAGTGGTGGCGCGATGACGGCATGATCGCTGCCTCGGGTGCAGGGACAGGGACGGGTTTCAGGGAGGAGGAAGAGTGGCACAGATTGCTCGCTGGTGGCGCTGCGGCTGGCGAGGCGGTAGAAGGACCGTCGAGAGAGCAAGACAATGGCAGTGCCCCTCATTCGTATGGAGGTGTTGATCCTGCAGCAGCATCATCAGGGTCAGGTCCAGGGTCAAGGTTAGGCTCTGGGTTAGGATCAGAGTCACCGCCACAGTGGGAGGGCGCAAGTACAGCTGCTACGACCCCGAAGATTTCATCCCTTCCATCAGATGAGCGGGCTATCGAGGAGATCGATCAGCAGGAAGTCTTTGGTGCGTCTCTTTTTCCTCTAGCACAAGGTGATTCAGAGCTGTTTTTACTGACCCTTGCCTGTGCATCTTCGTCGCACTTGCGAATGTTCAACATAGACCTCGTCCGCTCGGTATCGGATCCAGAACATCCTTTAACGCTGGAGCAGCTCGGTGAGCAGAGGCGTTGACGCACATGTCAAGGATGCTTGACGCATTTCACGTTGCCAAGGCTGACCAATCCATTCTCACACGCTTCTGCGGTTGCTTTCCCTGCGTTTGTACCTTCAGCTGTCGGTGAGTGCAGACCAGTCTGACGGGTGTGTTTCGCTTTTCCCGATGTCAAGCTGATACATGCAGCACTTTTTACCCATCTGTTAATCCCCCAGTGAATCCGAACCACATCACAATCACCAAGGCCAACGGCTTCCCGCACATCCTGCTCGAATTCACCCCAACCATCCCGCACTGCTCGATGTCGACGCTGATCGGCCTGTCGTTGCGCGTGCGTCTGATGCGCAGCCTGCCGACTCACTACAAGCTTGATATTCGTGTCCGGCCTGGCTCGCACCAGAGCGAGCGGAGCGTCAACAAGCAGCTGAACGACAAGGAGCGCGTCGCGGCTGCACTGGAGAACCAGCACCTCCTCGAGGTCGTCATGCAGGCGCTCAGCACGGCATACAAGCGTGGGCGCACCGCTGGATCCGGCGATGGCGCTTTGGGAGACGCAGAAGCAGACATTATGGCGGACCTGGGCCTTGCGAAGGATGGCGCGATGGAGCAGGTGGAGATGCTGGCCAGGCAGCTCGGCGTGACTGTATGAGCGCATTCGCTGGCTCAATTCTTGTTGTACTCAAACAAATTGCCCGTCGAGCACCTCCCAGCTTCCACGTCTCGAGAACCAAGACGCTACCAACCGCTCTCGAACGCGATCCTGTGTATGTGTGGCTCCAAGGCCCGACCTTGTTCGCTTCATTGCAGTTCACTCTTCCAAGTATGGAGCAACTATGTAAAAAGTAAGAGAACTTTGGACATGCGCCCTGCGGATGGTACAGTTATGGGGCATCTCGTTCTCCAAGCTGCCTCTACCTGCACAGCGGAGCTCTTCTGCGCTCCTCCCACCCTCATGCTCTCTCCTTGACGAGGAACGGGGAGGAGCAGGAGGGCGCGTGCGACAGAGGCCCTAGCAGTGGATACCGGCGGCCAAAAGTTCAGAATAGCAATGTGCGGGTAGGATGGACGCTTGGAGAAGGACGGTGCTGCGGGACACCTATGGCCGGCCATGTGGTCGCGTCTCTGAGCGATGTAGGAGCCGGAGCACCGTGACGAGGCTTGGAATCAAAGCGCCCATCGATGGCTTGATGAAACGGCTGGCAGGGTCGAGGACAGGACGAAAGACGTTGGGTGACTTCCGCAACGACATCAGGCGGACTCTTCCAGTGGTCCCAGCGCAAACCGCTCGCTTCTGGCTGGCATGGTCACGATGGATCTCGTCGCTCGTTGCTCATGAATGCATGAAGTAATATTGTACAAAGTTTATCTCTCGCATGTCGCGAGTCTGCTATTGCTGAGAAGGTAACAAACAAAGCGGCATCACAATGAGAGAAAATGACCCAAGCAGCAAAGAGAGGAGAAATCAGAGAAGGCCGCATCCAACTCAATTCTCTCTAGCGGCGCACCCAATAGGTACCTGGAAAAGCGAGTGCCAAGCGGCGACGCTTTTTTCTTGCAAGGTTTCCGGTGGGCAAACGCTTTCCCGTGTGCTGGCGAACGATCGGCTAAGCAGTAAATCACGCAAAGCAAATGTTCAACGTAGCGGCTACCCGACAGAACGCTGATGTCGTGGCCGAGTCGATGGCCTTGGCACGTGCGTCTCATCTTCTCTGTTCCGCGGCGTGGTGGCAGCGTCGTCGTCTGCGCTGCATTGCGCCACTGGCGCACTCTCCAGAGAGTGCGCGACGCCTGCCTGTATGTACCATCCATACATACACGCCCCGCCCCACCCACCAGGCATGCTATCTCTCGCATCGCATCGCATCGCATCACAACCCCTCACCCGCACCATCCCCCATGTTCGTCGTAGCTCGCATGGTCGCAGTCGCAGTCGTATCCGCATATCCTCTCATCCTCGCTAACCCCAGACGCCAGACCCGTCTGACCAGAACCCTCCCCCCACGCCGCACTCGTCACAGCGTCGAACGTCCTCCACAGAGAGACGGTCCAGATAGCAACAACGAGCCGCCTTGGCTCTTGCTTGCTCCCACCCCCTTAACCCGACGACGACGACCCTCACGCATTCACTCTCTTGTACACTGCTCGTCAGCACCTCACGCTCTTTCGCATTCCTTGTCACGTCCTTCCGGGCTTTGATCCCTTCCTCTCACATCGACTCCCTTTTCGCAAGCCTGGACTCCGACCGATCTGCGGCTCGCCTATCACACCCTACCTTCTTGCACCAGCGCGGACCCTCATTCTAGAGAATATACGTTTCGACTTGCAAACAAGGGCAGCGTGGCAAAAGCTACTTTTTCAAAGTCGTACGGCTGTGCAGGGAACATCATAGCTTCGTCGTAATCAGCTGTCCATCGTGAGTGCGATGAAGGGAAGATTTTCGTCTCCCACCACCGCGTCGCTGATTCTCATCTCCGTTGCGACGTGGCTGTAGAGCTCGCCTCGATGGGCCACCACTAAGCTACCCAAGCCTTGGCACCTACCAACCCCGCCTCCTGATTCTTACACTCCCACACGAAAATGCCTTTGGAGAAGGGGGCCACATCCGGCCGGGCGGCCGATTGCGATCAGACACGAGATCGCGGCTCAGGTGCATTCTCGCTCGGTCTCGGCATGGCCAACGCACTCATATCCCCTAGCGCCGAGGGCGATAGCGATAGCGACTCAGACGATGACGATTTTGCTCCCAGTCGCGCACGCGCGACCCGCGCCAATTCCAACTCGCCGCTGTCGTCTTCATACCAGCGGCAACCGCAGCAACAACAACAGCAGGTGTCAATGTCATCATCACCGCTGTCTCCCAACTTTGGTGGCGGCGCTGGGCGGCCTGGTGGCCAGGGTACAGGGCAAGGAAAGGGACGCGAGAGCTGGAGCGCAGCCGCTGCCGCCGTCGGCGCCCGGCCACACGACCTGGCCAGCCAGAATCCACCCAGCCTGAAGATGCTCAACCTCAAAAGCGGATCTCTAGGGCCCAACTCGGCGACTGGCGGCAGTGGCAGCGCACAAGTGCAAGTGAACCCTACCGTGCTGCGCAGACCCTCTGCCAGCGAGGTGCTCGCGCAGGTCCAAGCGCAGCAGGCCAGAGCGGCGGCCGCGCAGCAAGGCGGCAAGGGAAGCGCAAGCAACGCAGATGCGCAGAATACGGCGTTCCAGCCGAGCAACTCTGTGCCCGCCGTCCCGCCCTTGCCTTCGCCATTCCGGCAGGCCGTCGAAGCGGGTGCAAGCGCAGGACTGACACAGGCGGCCGCTGCGAGCCACTCGCTCGGTGGGCGCGGCGGCGGATGGCAGCTGCACGACCTACCGTCGCCGTCATCGCGGTCCTTCCCCGCGGACGCACCTGGCCGCGCCAGCGGCCGGGGCGATTTCGAGGCGTCACAACATCCGCAGCAGCAGCAAAAGCCGAAGCGCCCAGTCAGCCCGCGGCGCTCGGCACTAGTCGACAACCTGGGGTTGCGGAGCCCAAATCCCTTCACTGCCGCCGCCGCCGCAGCTGCAGATACTTCACAGCAGCAGCAGCAGCAAGGACAGTCACGGGAGCTCCTTCCAACTTTTGACAATGGCTCGGTGTTGAACAACGGCGGCAAAGGCAGCGGGAGCGGGAGCATAGGCGCGCCAATGCAGAATCCGTTCATCGCGCCGTCGGAACGTGCTGGCGGCGATGGATCTTCGGCGTATCCGAATGGCAATGCCCCCCCTTATTCAATCACGACGGGTCAATCACAACAACAACAACAGCAGAGCGGCGGTGGTCAACGTACAACTCCACCTGGACCGTTGCGCAACCCTTTACCCGCTTCCGCAATGCCTGCGCCCACTTCCGTTGGCCGTGCCGGCTTCTCAGACAGCGGGAACCCATACAATTCGGGATCTGGTGCACTGCTTCCTGCTTCTTCTGGCGGACATGGCGCGCCGCCGAGCTTGCCACAGCCTACGCACCTTGGCCGCCAGCCAAGTCAGAAACGGCGGTCGATCTTCCGCCGCAGCCTGGCTGCTGTTACCGCGTTCGGCGCTGGTGTCGGTGGCAGCGGATACCAGAACCAGCAACAGGAACAGCAGATGCAGCAGGGAAGGTACCCACCCCTATCGCAACAACCTCAGCAGCCTGGCATGGGCGCAGGCGTAGGCGTCGGTTTACGGGCGGCAGCCCCACCACCTGATCGGCGCCGATCTGCGTTCCGCAAGAGCATGGCATGGCTCATCGGCCAGTCCGCTCCGCCGCGCCTGGCAGACGGGATCGGCGACTCGCCGTCGTTGGCAGACGAGAAGCGCGAGGCAATGCAGCGGAAGCAGGAGTACTACCTCGGCGTCGCTGGCGACGGCGAGGAGTGGGACGTGAACGGGTCCGGCGCCAAGTTCTGGCGGCGCTTCTCGGCGATGCAGCGGCATACGCAGGACAAGAGCGACCCCCTCACGCAGTCCAGCGAAGCGTTCCAGCGCAAGATGGCTCGCGGCCGCAAGCGCATGAAGATCGGCATCTCGCTCGCCGGCCTTGCGATCATAGCCGCCATCATCAGCGTCGTCATCTGGCACAACCGAAACGAGATGCCCAGCACGAGCAGCAACCCCAAGGTGTACCAGCAGATCGACGGCAACACAAACACCGGCGTCAGTGCCGGCGCTACGAACGCCGCTGGCAGCGGCAGCGGGTCCGAGGCGCAGGTCGCAGACACCTCCAACGCGGAGGGCAGCACACCGGTTGCGACGACCTCGACGCGGCGGAAACACCACGGAGGCAACGGACACCGCCGTGCGCATGCACTCGGAGTACGCGGCTTGGCCGGCGAGGATGCTGACGAGGATGAAGGTGATATGCCCAACACTTTGCTGTACGTGCATAATCCTGCCACTGCCTCAGTAATAGGCAGGGTGGCGCATGACGGACGCATGGTCCGACGCGTCTCCAAGTCGCATGGAGGGCTCGGCAGGCCCGCATTAGCTGGGCAACCGACCAGCGCGCCGCGCCTGCTTCGATGAGCCAACTTTTTGGCCATCTGGCTCTTGCTCTTCCTTCGTCTTCGTCTGCCGTCACCCATGCCCTCTCGGCTGGATAGGCGTGTTTACATGCGGTCCCGATTGCGGTCTTCCCCCATTTACGCTTCTGATCTTTGTCGGTTTTCTGCGGACGCTTCCGAACAAGTTCATGTTCGCTCGTCTTCACCTCAAAGTTCTCACCAAAGGTTCGGCCTCGGCATCAAGGATCTCGCGCTTCAACAACTTCGTTTCGAATCTCCTTTCCCTGTGTGCTGTATCATCACTCAATGCATCGCTTCCAACATAGCAGAGCAGAGCAACAATACCAGCCCTACTCCGCACGGTAACAGTTTGATGTGACGTCGGCAGTTGTGCAGCATCCGAGCCTCGGGACAGTCACTCGCAGCGGCTTGTACATTGCCAGCTGGCGTGGCTGGGCTTGGCTCGTAACGCTCAAGCTGGCTCTCTGTCGGCAGGCTCAAGGCGCATACAGCGCATGGAAAGGACAGCTCTTTTAAGCTTCTCAGTTCGACTCTCGACGTTCGTTGCACATTTTACTGTCATCCGCTCTGGCATATCTACTACCTTATCCTCGCGCTGCTGCCATCGCTCTTCGCGTCATTACCGCTCTTGGCCTGTTCCATCATTTGTCGTTCCCAGCTTTCTACCACTTCACATCCACACTCGCACGTTCACACTTACGTTGAGGGATCCATTCGATTCATCGTCAACTGCACTCTTTTGTCCGACACCTGTGTACTGTATCCATTACACCAGCAGGCACCCACGCTTACTTTTAAAGAATCTACAACATAAAACACTGTAAGAGGGGGTCGATCGGTGCAGTATAGTGCACCGTATTGCTTCTAGCAGGGTCACGGCGGCGAGCCGTATCAGCGTGAAGTGGGTGAGCTGTGCAAGACAGGGGGTCATTGTGCGGCCAACTTACTGTTCGAACACGAGCGTTGACAGGGCGCAGAGACTACTCGCCTTGTTTCACAATCCCCGCGAGGCGTTCCAGCCGTTTGCGTCGCTCGGCTGCATGTGGTCGTGCTGGGCGATGAAGAACTCGACGACACTTGCCTGTCCGCACCAGTTCCTGCTACGGCGCACGACCGGCGGGCTGGAACTATGGATCGGCGTCTGGAAGATGTGCTGGAAGGGGCAGACGAGCAGCGAGCGCAACGTCGACCCAGTACCCGCACTGTAGGTTAGTGCTGCCTTCGCACAGGTTGGTGTTGTCCGCGTCGACGTGGATCGTGACATACCGATCGGCCGGCTGGGGCGGCAGCCCTTGTAGCCGTGCATGACGGGGTGCATGAGGTTGCGCCCTGCCTGCTAGAGATCTTCACAGCTGCCGCCGTCACCGCCGTGGACGGCGGCGCGCAGCACGCGTGCTAACCCGCCCCGCAGGCCGCTGACGGGCGCGATAGCCGTGAAGCAGTTGCTCGCCTTGGGGGTCGCACGCCAATATGGAGCCCATGCGCGCGCCGCCGCTGTGGCTGGTGGCATAGCTGCGCTGCCTGTCGAAGCAGAGCGTGCGCTGCGCGTAGTGCAGGTCCTCGAGCACGTACGCCATGTCGTCCTTCTGCCGCACGGGGAAGATGCTCGCGGTGATCATCGGGACGTACAGCACGTTACCGCCGAAGGCCTGCGGCCCCATTTGCTGACCCTCCACGGTTGAAAGAGCGAAGCTTCCCGTGGGCAGGGCCATATATCATTGTTATTTTGCTGATTTATGAGAGTAATAATACTACTCAAAGTAGTAGAAAGTTAACAACAGGAAGACTACAACAACCTAGTGCTTCATAAAAGTCTAAGAAACGAGTATTTGATTAATGTTGTATCGGAGCTGACACACCAAAAAGAATCACAGGAGAGCTATAATCCCAGTATTAGAACAATAACAAATCAGTTGTGGGTATTTAGTAATTATTGTTCTCGGGTTTTCTAGGAAATATAAATAGTACGAACAATACTAATATGAAAGGTGCGCATGAAGGACTCTTTGTCGGCGAGGAGGTCGAGGTTCGAGTCGGCGCCGATCAGGCCCATTGGATCGCTCACTCTGCACCGCCGCCCTCGCCTGCTATGCGCTGGTGCCCTTGCTAGTACATACGCGCCGGGCCCGCGGGAGTTGTACCATCCACACTTCACTGCATCGTCGGGAACATTAGATTGTCCTGTCGGTATGCGATACAAAAGCGTCTGCCTATCGAGACTCTCGAAGGAAGGCGGGAGGCAGGAACTGTCCGTGCAGGTGATGATGGAGATTCCGGAGCGGACCACTGTCTGTATGTATGCATATATCTTCTATTGACTCGCCAAGTCTTTCGGCTCGCTGTTCGTCGTCCATTCACGCTCGGCCATGGGCGAGGCGGGTCATGCCTTTCCGCTCTGCTAAGCGTGATGGTTGCACATCGACGGGTATGTGAACTGTCATCATCAGCTCATCCTCCTAACGCAACGTGCTCGGATCCGCCCTTGCTCACATTCGAAAGCTCATGCTCGTAGCCCGAGACTTTCGTCGGAGTTCAGTTTGTTGACGAGGGCTGCGACTCCTCGGCGATCTTCCCTATTGGCTTCGCTGGTCAGTACACCAGCCAGATACCTGTGGCAACGATCAAAGGCACAGTGTCCAGAGCGATCACAAAGCCTAGGGGAGAGCGTGCGTAGGAACGAACATGTTGCATAGCTCGGTAACGAACGCATGAGGAAGGGGACATAGAGGCAAGGTCACTCACCTTCGTTGCTCATCAGCATACCCTCGTAGCCTTCTGCCATCTCGACGATACGGTAGATGGAGCGAACGACGAAGAACACGCTCGAAAAGTAGAGGCAAGCGAGCATGCGCATGGCCGGGTGCGAGCTGAGCATGTAGTCGAGCGAATGCGCCGAGCTCTCCTTCAGGAGCCTGACGTGCGTCGTGACGACGAGCGCGACGAAGACCAAGTAGCTGACCGCTTGCAGCGTGACGCCGAACAAGAAGATCTTGGAGCCGAGCGTAGCGGTGGTGCCGCCGGTAGCCTGCAAACCGCCGCCGGTCGCCTGCACAAGGAACGTGACAACGTCCGACCAGACAAATACGCGTCCGAACAGTTGCGGTGGCAAGGGGCTGTACGCGGACCGAGCGCGGCGTCTAGGTGCAGCATCTTTGCATCCCGCAAGAGCTGGGTCGAGCGCGACGATGGTGCGGCCGAACGCGATGTAGTTGAATGCGAGGAACGCGCAGGGCGAGAGGATAACGAACAGGCTCTGCACCGCGTACAATGGTATGCTCTCCAGGCTCGCGTCGGATCCGCGCGCGGCGCAGCGCAGGACAAACCCGAGGGAAGAGAAGAAGAGCCCGGCGGGCATGCACCAGCCCCAGCGCGGCTTTCGCGTACGCAGGATGTAGGCGACCGCCGCGGTGCACCACACGGCGTAGATCACTGCGAATGCACAGTTCGCGCCCAAGTTGGGGAGGTATCCTGCCGGGTAGGATATCGAAGAGGATCTGCCGCACCGTCAAAATCGCGAGCAAAAGCATGGTGCAAATTGGCCGGAGCAACAAGCTACTCACGCCATGGGCTGCCCACGGGCGGCAGTGTGGTCGGAGCCAATTCGGAAGTCATGCTTGCGGCTGGGCGGTTCTGTGCAATTTCACTCTACAAGCAGGGTAGGAGCACGGTGAGCAAACGCTATTGATCAGGAGAGACGAGAGGATGCAGCATAGACACGATCCGGCGCAGGGTGCCATCTTCTTATATCACTTCCTCGGTCGGCCCTGGGACAAACGCGGGCGAGCCAACATGTTCGTCAATGGCGGTGCAGCGATGCAACGTAGCGAGGCTGAATTGGCGAGGAGTACTATACACAAGCAGCCTCAGGGACGAGCTCCGCCGTCTCGTCTCTCTGTTCCGCACTCTGGCGGAACAGTTCAAAGGAGACTTACGCTGCTTGTGCCCAAAACCAACATGTGGGTTACATAAGCAACCCTAGGGGATCACGCGTGGCCAACAAGCAACAAGCCAGTCCATGCGCACGCACCATCCATCCATACTTGGATTGGCTGGCTCGTCGACGTGCTTTCAAGTCAGAGTGGTGCTCGAAACGTCGCGTCGCGTCGAGTCGCACATTCTCGCTCGATCCCTAACCAGCAGCCTGACCGCAGCAACGCGTGGGCGGGCGCGAGTCTGCTCAGCGTCGGACATCCATGGCCGAGCCATTGCGGTGGGGTCACGCGGCCGAGGACGAGGACGGGCTGCAAGCCTTTGAAGTGTCGCATGACGCCGACGCCAACCTAGGCTACGACGCGCTTGCGCGCCCGGGCCAAAGCGGCAGCAGCGTTGACGCTCTCTACGCAGGAGTCAAGCGGCATGCGGACGCGAACGCGAATGAAGCTGACGATTCGGCAGCATCACAAGCAAAGCGCCTTCGCTCGCTCGCAATGCTCAACTGGCTGCCGCGTGGGGGCAAGAAAAACTCGGTGCGGGACACGTACGCACGCGTATCATGCGAAGCATGCCGCAAGAAGAAGTCGCGATGCGTACTGCAAGAAGGCATCGTACCCTCCCCCGAGCCGCTCATCGGGGACGAGCGCTGCGGGAGATGCGTCAAGCTCAACCTGGTCTGCGTCGTCTGGGCCGAATCCCGACGCAAGGACCTCGAAGCACTCGCAAAGGACGGGATAGACGTGTCGGCCACTGGAACCGGACGAGCGCACTACCTCGACGTGCTTAAGAGGGCTCATGGCCCAGAGGACCCGGTAGCAAGGGGTAACAGTAGGGACCGCGGTTCAGCCGGCGGATCTTGCAATGCTGCCTGTGCCGTTGGCGTCGGCGGCTCCACCGCACCGCAACCACAATGGCCGCCGCCTATGCGGTCCCATGCTGTGCCATCTACAGCAGTCGATGGCGCGCTCGCGAGGAGAACACCTGCTCGCAGCCTCGAAGCGGCAAATGAAGTCTCGATCAGAACCTCCGCTGCAGTGGCCGACCAAGACGCCAACGAAGAGGCAAGAGCCCTGTACCCTGCAGGTACCCTGCAGGTCTTTCGGCCGTTTGATGATGATGGCGGAGCATTCGCAGCCAACAGCCTGGGCCATGCCCCTCCGCCACCTCCGCCACCTGCTCCTGGCGCTCCTGATTCTGATCCGGCACCAGGGGTCAGCGTCAATGGCACAGCGGCGCTGCCTCGTGAGCCGACGATACTGGCGCGCGCCGCTTCGCTCCTCGGAAATCCGTATTCTCTATTCTCCCAATTCTGCTACCAACAACCTGGCTTTGCTAGTAATTTACAGGGACGGAAAAGCGTAGGAGGAATCGGCTCGGGTCAAGTGCAGCTGGACTTGTTGGCATTGGTCGATGACGAGCTGCATGCCAATTTTAAGAGCGCGTGGGTCGAAGTGATGTTCTCAGGAGAATTGCGAAGCCGACGCTGACGGAGGAGCTGCAGGCTGCAACCGTACCTGCTCTTTGTCCCGCATCTGTTTTCAGTCACGCACGTCCGCTCCAAAGTAGCGGAAAACCCGACACCCTCTGCTCGACTGCTGCTGGCGACACTCTACTATCTCGCCATGCGCTCTTCCCTCTCGTCGCGTAACATGCTTCTCTCCCAAGCGCAAGGTGTCCCGTCGCACCGCGCTCCAACAGTACGCACAAAGGCCGCCGCGAAGGAGACCGAGACGCCCTCCTTCGAGCACCGTATGTTGACGCTTCAAAATCACCTGCGCGTTATCATCCGCACCAACGCCGAGGACGTCTTGCTCAGTTTCAACGCAGGCCGCGACGACTATGCCGTGCACGCGCTCGAGCTGCTGGCGTGCTACCATCCCTTGGCGCTGGAGCGCGTCAGCGGCACGACGCCCGATCACGCATACGAGAATGTTCCCACGCTGGGCGAGGAGCTGATCAGCGCCGCCAAAATGACAGCCACACGACTCAGGTATAAGGCACGCAGCACCGCGAGCGTCAGCTTGGTGTATTGGACCCTTTCGCTGGGTAGTGAAAACGCGTTCCTGGGCATGGAAAGCTCCAAATTCCTTGGAATCAGCAGCGAGGACATGGAAGAGGATTCTGGGGCGCTGGAGCAATTTTTTAATAGCCGGCCATCTTCGCAAGCTGAAGCTAGCCCAGTGAGGGTGACAAGAGGGGCGCAGGCCAAGGCCAGGGCCAAGGCTTATGAGGCTACTGACTCCACAATGCCTATAGTGTCGTTCAAGCAGAATCTGCGGATAGCCGGGAGGATCGCTTTAGCGGGGCGGCTTGAGATTATCGGCCTGCAGAACAAGGCGATTCAAGACGTTCGCCAGCTTCAGATTCAGTTCAACAATCCCACACAACCGTTGCAAGAGTTGAGTCGCGAGGTACACAGGGTGATGGACGACATGCTCGAAAGGATCGATAAGGCTCGTGAGAGGACGATGTCGGAACTCAGTAAGTCCCACGCGAGTTGACACGGTTCCGCGGCCAGCAGGGAACACTGACGGCCTGGCTTGGCTGAGCTGCAGGAGATCACGGTGCAAATATAGAAGACCCAGATCGCATTTTCCAGTACAGCGCCCGATCGCTGCTCGTGGCGCTACAACTAGAAGCGCTGCAGGCCGCCCTGACCTTGACCGGCGTGTGCGCGAGCATTGCACTTCGCGTGGACCTCACCGGCGCTGTCCATAGCTCTTCGATGTCCGTGCTCGCAAAAGCCAAGCGCGCCGATGCCGCGCTGAGCGCCATGCTCAGCCGCGTTGGCGCCCTGCGTGGCAAGCAGCTGTACCACATGCTAGCGCTCATCCCTCACCTGATGGAGTCTTCCGCCATTGAAGCCGTGCCGATCCCGCAGATCTGCGCTGCAACCGTCTCGGCAGCAAAAGTGGCGATGGAGGAGGTGGCAGCAAAGATACTCGGATGGAAGCACAAGCCAGACGACATGGACACGCTCATATCATTGCTGAACGAAGCGGCGGCCAAGCTTGCTGGCTTCGACGGACTCTCTGCATCTGGCCGCAAGCAGATGTACACGTTCGGCATCCAAGAAGGCGATCTGCGCGTCACCTCCAGCGCTGTTGTTCTTTCATTCAGCCGCGCTCTGAAGCAATGGCGCAATCGTCTCCTCGATGATCTGCTTCCCATGAAGCCGCCGGTCGCGCAGCATATGCCGCCACAGCATGCCCTTCAACCTCCTCAGCATCTGCCGGATCAACAGCATCTAGCCTGGGGAGAAGCGATGGGTATTCCTCCGCAAATACCAGCTGATCCGCTGTTCGCTGCGGATGGCCGCGATCCGCTGCTCGAGTCTCTTTTTAGCGATGAGCCCGACTGGGCCGCCATTTTCCATGCGCTACAGGCATGAGGCCGCAAAGCGTGACGCCCCCGCACACTTCCTGCAAGCTTTGTATTGGATCACACGCATACCCTAGATTGCATTGTATTGTTCATCATTATGCGTGGCGCCCTAGCCTGTCCAGCGACCGAGCGCCCTGCTCGTACCACTCTGATCTGGAAATCCAGAAACTAGCCCTGTTCTTCATAATGTCAGCGAGGACTGCTCCACCGAGGAAGACCATGTGCTTTCTCCTGGGTGGGTCCTCGATGCGGATCTTGAAGCCGCTGAGCCGGCTGGCGTCGCCTTTGAGGACGCGGGTGAGGTACAGCTGCTTCATCTCCTTCTCCAATCTGCTCGGCAGACCCGGGTACATGCTCGAACCGCCGGATAGGACAATGTGCTTGTAAAGCTCGCCGCGCGTGTCGACTGCGGCAGCTTGTATCGTATTGAAAAGCAATTCACCCATGCCTGGCTGCTCGACGTCTACGAGATGCGGCTGGAACATGCATTCAGGAGCTTCGAAACGCTCGGAGCCGATCTTGATGACTCGCCCGTCTGGGAGGGTGTAGGACTCGACCAGCGTGGTTGTCTCATCCGCAAGCCTCTTGTCGAGATCCACGTCGTAACTATATAGCAGATGCGTTATGAGCTTCCTCCTTTCAATTCGCCCCCCATCCTCAACGGCTCTCACCTGACGTAACACAGCTTCTCCTTAATCTCCCTGACGGTCTCAAAGTCTGCTGTTCTGTTGAAGGCATAGCCACGCAGAAGTAGCAGCTTGATTAGGTAGCGTGTGACATCGCGGCCGGCAACGTCCAACCTTCGCGTTAGGTGAGGCATCGCAAAGCCTTCGTAAACGGGGACAACGTGCGTGACGCCGTCTCCAGAGTCTACGACTACTCCAGTTTGCAGACCTTTAAAACAGACAATAGAGCATCAACGAATGAAAGATCGCAGAGCACTCTGCGATGGACGCACCTTGAGCATATAAGGTAAGGACAGCCTGGATAGCAACGTACACGCCTTCGAACCCATACTCTTCAAACATGATCTGGCACATTTCCTCCCTGTTCCTCTTCGGATTCATCGGTGGTTCGGTGAGCAGGATCTTTCGCCCTCGAGGATCGATTTTGAGCTTCTCGTCAAAAGTGTAGTTCCAGACTGTATGTGTCGCACATCCAGTGGTGTCAGCATGCAAAGCGGCAAATGCAGGAAATGGCAGCCCTCACTGACCATGCCGCATGTCTCCAAAGTCCTTGACGATTCCATGCTCCATCGGCTGCGTCACCTGCAGGTAATTCCGAACGGCAGCCGCCTCGTCTCCGACCATGACATCTTTGATCTCGACGTCAATTGAGTCGCGCTCCTCTACGCGCAGAATCGGTCGGCCGACGATGGAAGGGAAGACATGGGTGGGGAAGTTGGAGCCTGCATAGCCGACTTTTACAAACTTCGCAAAGAATGGTCAAGCATACAGACCCGGTCAGCTTGCTGGATTCAAGGAAGGAGACTGCTACAGCTGTGGCGGCGGAAGACGCACCCCGGTACCGTTGTCGACGACGACTGGCCTCTCGTCCGCCATCTTGCTGCGCCGCTTGGGAAGAAGCCGGAACGTTTGCAGAATACGACAATGGATGCAAGCCAGACAGACAATCGGGAGAACCGCTGAGGCTGCTAGCTTGTGTTTGCAATCACAATGGCGCTTCGATGGTCGGTAGCATCGTTAACTCGTTGTGCGAAGACTGCTTCGAAGTGGATGCTTTGTCGATGATGATGACCGCGCGGATGTGGTCATCGTGCTGCCGCAACGCAACAGAGGCGGCGCATCGCGCACTAGCCCGCACTTTCTTTCATTCGCAACAGCACGCCCCTCAACTGACTCTCACACGATTGCTGAACACCCCCCCAGTGGCACTTATTTTACTCGTCACCCATATGTATCATTCCACTACATCAGGATCTCCATCGTCATTCGCCACGACAGAGCGCTTCCAAGTCGTAGGGACATGTATGCTGAGGGCGGAGCGAAATGGCCTCAGGAAGGGATCGCGACTGGAACGGAAAGTGAGCGACATTCTTGATTGCACCCGTGCTCTTGGATCGCAAGCTGCTGCTTCTGTATGCTCGGCAGGAGCTCGTGGATGTGCTTGTGATTCCTGCTGAATTATTCAGATATATCCGGATACTGTCATGCGCAGTTGACACGGGATGGCCTATGCACAAGCGAAGACAAAGCCGGGAGGTAGCGCGGAGAGATCGTGAGTGAGACCCATCATATGTGAGGCAACCAAGCACACGTCCCGGTGAGCATCGCAGGCCAGATTTTGGCCAACGATGAAGCGATCAAGTACAATATTCGAACCCTTCTGGCCAGGAGAAAATCTTCGTGCTCGCCAACACAGAACAGACGACGTTGTCATCTCCGGCGAGAACGTCTTGTGAGTCAACGCCGATAAGTTATCGAGTTGGTTCGTAGCAGCTTGGAGTGAGATGTCTCATCATTCAGGAATTTCGAAGGGCTTCCAGCCAAATTCAATCCTACATGTACTGAACGGCCTTGTGCTGGGCAATCAAAAGTGATGCTCGTCTCTTTCGTCGTCTGAACGACCCTGCCTATTCTGCGGTGCTGCCGCGTTAAGCCTTTCTTTGTCTAAAGGAAGCTGGATACGCTCATTGGCTGCAATTGCAGCAAGTAGTGCCGAGGCTGCAAGTGCTGATCCCCATCGAAAGGCACGCCAGATGCAGATGAAACTGCTTCCAGATGTATAGAATTGGAGAAGCAAAATGCACGATAGATATTGTAGTAACGCCCGAGGTCTCATATATCAGCATGTTGGCCGTGTGGAAATGAAATGACGCTGTTGCAAGCTTCGAATCGGATGCAACGTCCCCCGGCCTCACAGTGTCTGGCCGTCGTCGACATCGCATCTTTTGCTTTGCTGCTATTCTTTAGTTCGAAGAACATCGTTGCAGTTTCACCTAGCCACGTTTCAACCAAACGGGTACCCTCGTGCTCCACGTCTGCTACCGCTTTCATCGGCCGGCAGTCAAAAATATGTATCGTCCATCCAAGCGAGGTCTTCAACTTGCGAGGGGTGAATATTACGAGTTGCAAGTGAGTCATCCTCTTGTTGATCGCGACTCTCGCACGAGACCGAGTGGTATCGCTTGCTGCACTCCGACCGCACCTTGCGGGTCACTTTTACTGCCAGTCTAGTGGGCCAGAACCCATGTTCATGGGCAGACTTCCAGAGGCGTGCAAGCGAGGGACGATCATGACCCCTTCGTTGCTGTCGTTTACCGCGGAAACGACGGTACTCTATCGGCCGAGAACCACGTACCCGTGTTAGCCGTGAACATCCCTCATCGTTGCGCGCCAACCAACTACTGGCGTCAAGTCAGCAAGGCCAGCGAAATTTCCAAGCTTTGAAGGGGGGGGGGGGTTCGTGGGTTGAACGCCTGATGCACACGCAAGCATACTGCAGTGCAGTACATACGTGTACCATCCCTGCGATTGAATGCCTCGAAGCCACAAACATATATAGAGAACTAGCTTTTGGGGCTCAAACTCGAGAAAGCTATCTCCTGTCGGCCAGCACCTCTCTTGTCCCGCAGAAGCATTTGTAAAACGAACGCACGTACCCTCGAGCCGTTTTCTCTTCCTCCCACTCAAGGCCAGGCAAGATGCCTTCCACGAACACTGGTTCAACTGTCAGCGAACGCCGTGCAGCAGTCATTGAGGAGAGCAAAACCGGCGGCAAACATGCTCATGGCACGCACAACTATCCTGACCCGCTCGTGCACATCGACAAGGTAGCGTGGGACGTCACCATCATTGGTGCCGGCCCGGCTGGCCTCATGCTAGCGGTGGGTCTCAGCAGCTTATGACGCGATTCTATTTAAACATACCTACACACTGACAGTATTATCATTTCTTCGCTACTAGAGCTCTTTGGCGCGCTTTGGCGGACACGACGTGCTTGTCATCGACGAGCGATCGGAGCCAACGACTGCTGGTCGCGCCGATGGCATCCAGCCGAGGGTGCGTCCGCAAGAAAGGCCACAGTCGCTTGGTGTGTGATCGACTTTGCTTATTATGTGCTCATCTGCCCAGACAATCGAAGTGTTCCGCAACATGGAGCCTCTGGGCACTGAATTCGTCGAACGCTCAGCGCCATCATACGAGCGAACTTTCTGGGATCCGCGCTCGGACGGTGAGCGCGGCATTGTGCGTACACGCCGCGTTCAATCCTTCCCGACCAACATGGAGATTCAAGACAATTGCACCCTCGGCCTGCAGCAAGGACTGATCGAAGGTGCATTCTTGCGCGACATGGAGCGGCATGGGCAGCGTGTTACACGGCCTTGGGCTTTCAAAGACTTTGTCATGCGCCCCGAAGTTGACAACGAGCGCCCTGTCGAAGTTACCTTGGTCAAGATGGAACCAGTCGTTGAGACCAAGAACGAGGGTGGCGCGCCGACTTACTCTGTCAAGGCAACGGGAGAGACAAAGACGATCCGCACGAAATACCTGATTGGCTGCGATGGCGGCCGGAGCGCTGTCCGCACCAAGCTCGAAAAGAGTCATGGCTTTGAATTTAAAGGCGACTGGGTCGACACGCTATGGGCTGCACTTGACTGCGTCGTTGATACAAACTTCCCAGACGTGCGCAAGATCGCAGCCATCCACTCTGCCAAGCACGGCGCGCTGTACATCTTCCCGCGCGAGAACAACCAGGCGGGCGACCCGATCATCCGCTGCTACACACAAGTGAACCGACTGAGCGGCGAGAAGAGCAAAGAAAGTGCGCTCGAGGCGAGGAACAAGGTGACAAAAGAGCAAGTCATGCAAGCTATTCAGGAGATCGCGTACCCGTACAAATTTAAGTTCAAATCTGTCGAGTGGTTCACAGTCTATCCTATCGGACAGAGGCTTGTCAGCAGATACTCGTTGCCAGCTGGTCAGGAGAAAGGGTGGAAATTTCCAGCGCATCGCGTCGCGATCTGCGGTGACGCATGTCACACGCATAGCCCTAAGGCCGGTCAAGGTGCGCCATTAAATGCCGCAATTGAATGTGATTGGATTACACCAGTTCTTACACCTTTTTGGCTTTTGATTTGTAGGCATGAACACGGCCGTGATCGATTCTCAAGCACTAGCCTGGCGCATCAACCTCGTCGAGAAGGGGCTGGCGTCACCCGACATTCTCCTTGGCACCTATCATGATGAACGACATGCAACTGGCAAGCAGCTGATCGATTTTGATTCAGAGTACGCAGCGCTGTTCAGCAACGAGATCCCTAAGAATCAACCCGAGTTGGCCAAGCTGTCGGAGGACGAGCTGAAGGAACATTTTATTGGGGTGCAGCGACGCAACGCAGCCTTCACCACTGGCGCAGGTGTCGCGTACGCAGACAGCGTGCTTAACCACCGCGATCTCAGCCGTCTTGGATTCGATCGTGGCTATCGCGTCGGATCGCTGGAAGCAGGCTGGCGCCTGCAGCCAGCATGGGCGACCCGCTGGTCCAACAGTCAGCCGGTTCGCATCATCCATGAGATCCAGTTCGACGCCCCCGGCGGCTTCAGGATTTACGTCTGCGCCGGCGAACTCAAGCGGAATCAACACCATTTGCTGTCCTTTGCTCGTCATTTGCAAAGCCCGCAGTCGTTCCTCGCCAAGTACCGTGCGAATCACAAGGCAGGCCGACTGCTGAAAGGCGCATACAACGCTCTACCCGCTGCGCTCAACACCGGTCTCGATGGCGGCTACTCGGACGAGACCAATCCGTTCTTCCACCTGCTGCTGATCGTCAAGCAAAACCGTTTCGGCTTCGAGCTGGAGGACGTGGCGGAGCTAGGCCCATTGCGCGCGATGGTCTATGCGGACGACGTCGAAGCGGGCGGGAGCCGCACGGGAAACGAAGACGGCGACGAGACGGTCGGCGGGTTGCACAGGAAGTGGGGGCTCGACCCGAACGGAGGCATTGTGGTCTGTCGGCCGGATGGCTACGTCGGCGCTGTCTTCCCTCTCGATCAGGGCGAGAAGGGCTGGGGCGCAATGGAGAAATACTTTGCCGGATTCTTGACTCCTGCATCGGGCTTCCTGCCGCCAAAACTGTAGATTTGCATGCATGAATCCAGATTGCTTTATCACCCTCGTCAATACATCGACGTTCAACCTTGAGCATAATGTTCTCAGTGGACCAAGTTTTCCCTTCTCAACGTAGTCGCAGCAAGGTACCAGCGTTGATCCGCTGCGAGTATCCCATGAACGTTCTACAGATGTATGCGCATGCCGAGTCGCTCGCTGATCCATTCATATCTACATTCGTTCTTTGCAAACACCTCAACTCCCAGCTTGAGATATCTCCTTGCTGTAATGTCGTCCTGCGAACAGCCGTTCAACCCGAACCGGGAAGCGCAGGCGCATCTCATGCACGGCGCATGGATGAAGTTGTGGCCGAGCGCTTGCGCGTCAAGGATCGGCGCATTGACTCGCAGAACTTCCGTTGACCCATCCACGGGTGTGCTGAGGCTAATCTCTCTGTGCTTTGGTGCACTCGTGATGCTGCAATTCAGGCAGGAACGATCGGGGAGGTATGTATGGGTGCATGTGTAGGTGTAGGGACCAAGGGGCTGACAATGGGGTGTGCTCGGCGAACTCCCGTCCCTGGGTAAGACGCCGACTTTCCGCTCAGCTCGCTTCTCTCATGTCTGAGAGCGGAACAACAACGAGAAAGTCTTGAGTTTTCTGCTCATCGAGAGTGCAGACGCCGCCGCTGCCCGGGGTCCAAACTGCCCGCCAGGTGCCAGCGCAGCGAGGGAGAACCCGTGTGCGCGAGCTTCACACAGTAAGACCTCCAAGGAGAAGAGCTCTCTATTCACAGAGCGTGCCTATCATGTGAATCTTTTGCCCACTTGTTCTCCATCTCGGGCAGTTCTGCTTCAAGTGACTGCTTTCCTTCCATCTGGGACGCTTTCCACGCTACGTCCTTTCGGAAAGATGCGGCCGCTTAACGCATCGCTGCGGCGGCAGATCTGCGCTGCGACTCACAGCTCATCTTGCGCTGCTCGCGCAACACTCGTCACGCGAGCATGTATCGGTGGCGCTTCTCACCCGCTGGCTCAGGGAAGGTCAATCTCGACGGCACCAGCGAGAGGAGCTGTGGCCTCTACGCCGTCCATTTCATCGAATAGGGCCGGTCCCTCGCCCAGCACCGCACGGAACCGATTGCTGTCGCCACAGACGGCTGCGCGTGCTCTCTCCGCAGCTGCAGCCAGTGCAAACACCGGTTGTCCTTCTTCGTATTCCCGCCTAAGAGACGGCAATTCATCCCATTCATCGCCGTTAAAGTGTTCAAATCGAGCTCTGTCATCTTCAGCTGCTTCAAGGTCTTCAGAAGCGGCCGGTGGCGCTCCAATCCACTCGGCTTCGTTGATAGAGATCTCCAGTCTCAGTAATGGCGTGCGCGTGGCCACAGAGGCGACGCCGGGGCATTTTAGCGCTGCGGGCATATACATCGATGCTGGCAGCCGCTTCGAACGACCTTGGGTTGATGGAGAGAGCGGTGTCAGTCATCTGCTTGATCGCATGGCTTTCAAGGTGAGCATTCCCACCCCCTTGGCTTCAGTTGCATGTCAGGTCCGCTGACCCTACCCCCCTCTCCTGCAGTCGACAACCAATCGGGCGTCGGAGAAAATGATTTCCGAGATCGAGGCGCTGGGCGGAAATGTGATGTGCTCTTCAGCAAGAGAAACCATCATGTACCAGTCGTCATTCTTCAACAAGGACTTCGAGTCCGTCCTCTCCATCCTCGCGGACACAATTGTCAACCCCTTGCTTGAAGAGGAGGAGCTGGTAATGCAGAAGGAAGCGGCACGCTATGAGATCAGCGAGATCACCCGCAAACCGGAGATGAACCTGCCAGAGTTGATCCATACAATAGCATACCGCGACAACACGCTGGGCAACCCGTTGCTATGTCCCATCGAGAACTTAGACAAGATGACGAGCAAGAATCTGAAAGACTTTATGCGCACCTGGTACACCCCCGAGCGCATCGTTGTCGCCGGAGCAGGCATGCCACACGAAGCGCTGGTTAGGGAGGCTGAAAAGCTGTTTGGTGGGATGAAGCCGCGACCTTTGCTGGACGCTACCAGCTCATCTACCACTCGGCCTAACATGCCTTCCTCTGCTTCGTCCGCTAACTCGACCGCACGAAGCAGCAGCATCTTTTCTTCCCCAAGTTCAAGCGGGTCTTCCGCTTCTGCCAGTTCCTATGGTTCGGCCGACTTCTCGACCACCGCCGCCAGGTCTGCCACGCATGCCGACGCGATCGCGCTCAGCCCTGCCGAGATCGGACAAGCCAAAGCGCGATATACTGGTGGTGAAGCGTACATCGAGCAGGAGGATTCCGAGTTCACGCACGTTTATGTCGCATTCGAGGGCGTCGGGATCCACGACGAGGATGTGTATGCGCTGGCAACGTTGCAGGTGCTCCTCGGTGGCGGAGGCTCCTTCAGTGCGGGTGGACCGGGCAAGGGGATGTACAGCCGGCTCTATACCAATGTCCTCAACCAGTACCATGCCGTCGATCACTGCAGTGCTTTCCACCACTGCTACAACGACTCGGGACTGTTTGGCATCGCTGCTAGCGTCAATCCATCGTTCAATGGCAGCATCGGGCACGTGATCGCGCGCGAGCTCAACCTCTGCACTGGCCCGAATCGGTACGGCGGCGTGACCTTTCAAGAGCTTCTGCGCGCGCGAAACCAGCTAAAAAGCAGCTTGATGATGGCACTGGAGAGCCGGATGGTCGAGGTGGAGGACTTGGGCCGACAGGTGCTGGTGCACGGTAAGAAGATCAGTGTGGAGGAGATGTGTGAAAAGATAGACCAGGTGGATCTGCAGACGCTTTACCGCGTCGCGTCGCGCGTATTCAAAGGGGACAACGCCATCGTGCGCAAGAGCCTCAATTATGGCCTCGGCTCTGGGCAGGCGACGGTCGTCTGCCAGGGCAAGCTGGAGAACCTGCAGGATCTGAGGATGCTGCTCTACCACCAGGGTCTCGGCGCTGATCCCAGGCAACAAGCGTAAAGTCGCGCTCCTTCGCCCCTCCCACCGACATGGTCAACCTCATTATTACTAGGCCGCCACTCGATCTTGCCTCGCCCCCTCTCAGTTTCGTCGTCTTCGCATTTGGCTGTATTCGTAGTCGCTCACAGTATGCTATAAAGGCATAGACCCTGCAGTGCTTTGGCTTGCAGATCTGAAACACCACTCGTTGCAGTGCATATCAATTTTGCAGAGATGTGCATCGCTCGCGCCAACAGAAGAGCTGTCCGCCCAGCGGTTTCGCCAGGTGCAGCCGCAAGGGTGATCTCGCAATTCGCGAAGAAGCGCGAGGCACCAGGCCCAAAAGAAGGGTTGGCGGAGATTATCCCCATTAGAGGCCGTGGTGGAGCATAACAGCTTGGCTCAAATCAGTGCGTCATACAAGTTCCTTCGCATGTCCCACTTTCTGAACCTCGAAGCCGCGATGGCAGACGGCATTGTCATCGAAGACGTCCAGTACGCTTTACTACTCGAGAGTGGCTGAGGATGTATCTCGCGTGCGGCCGCCTGGCCCTCCCCTTTCCTCGCTTTCGATCTGTACGATCGGCTTAGGCAAGTGCTCCTCCCGCGAAATCAACTTGAGTGTATCGTTGCGCCCACATGCATTCATCTCGTGCCTGTCATCTTGATCACACCTACCCTTCCTACCCTTAGTGATCTCGAACGCTTGACAAGGGAGAAGAGCCTCTGTACATCTGGAGCCCTGAGCGAAGGATTGTACGTCAAGCTCGAGTCTCAGATGGAAGCCGGACGCGTGGCAAGGTATTCAGCAACTGGCTCATTGCTGGGAATGAGCATTGGATAGATAGATCACTACAGCATAATTGCGTGGCTTTAAAATCTATAGAGGGGTGATACTATGCTGTTTTGACGTCCCTCGAGATTGTAGTGCAGCGAGTAATGCTCTCGACGTCGCCTCAATTGTCTCCTCCAAACACGTTCCAGAGGACTTGAAACAGACCCCCACCGCCTCCATCGCTTTCGCCGCTACCCCCAAAGCCTGGAGACTCCGACCACGGCTCCTCGCCGCCCCACACCTCTTCCCCACCAATGCCCTCATGAGGGCCTGGCGTCCAGCCGTCCATGCCGCCTTGTGGCGGATGTTGCGCGTCCCAGCCACCTCCATGATACGGTTGTTCTTGCCCGTATGATCCAGGTTCTTGAGGTAGAGGATAAACACCCGAATCAGCGGCAGGCACACCAGAGCCAGCAGCTCCGCTTGGCCCTTCGCCGCCTGTCCTGCCGCCACCCATCATACCATATCCAACGCCAATGTCACCACCGCCAACGAGACCACCTGCATCTTGACCTGGGGCACCGGGTGTCTCTACGATGCCGCGTGAATCCTGGCCACTATTACCAGCACCAGGGGCGGGAGCAGGTTGTCCGCCTTCCACTTCACTAGGAGTCGAGCTGCCCCACCAGAAAAAGGGAAACATGCCACCGGATCCGCCGCGCGAGTGTCGCGAGAAATAGTCGAAATCGATCGACACCGCCGTGGCGAGCGATACGGCACGTTCATCAAGCGTCAAGACGCGAGTCGATTCGTTCGAAGGTACGATCTCCTGCCCTATTCCATCATCACTGCGAGGATGTCCTGAATCGACGGCTTGGGAGATTCGTGCGATAGGTAGCTCATCCTGCGCCACCGAGTCGAAGCGCAGCACATACTGGCCCGTGTCGGTGAAAAGTTCGCGGCCAAATCTATTGAACCACATTGTCAGCGTCGTAAGCTCTAGAGTCCTCATCGTTAGGACCCGAGGGGAAAGCGCAACTCACCCTCTAAAGTTGCGGTTGATCGTTCCTATAAGCCTCTCATCCTGATCTTGCATGACAAAGTCCCAAGCGAGCAGGCCCGAGTCCACTCTGGCGAACTGCTCAAACGCTGACTGTGCAGTTTCTTCGGCGGGCCGATTGACGAAAAGGTCGTACTTTCTGCGCCAAGGGTGCCACACCTGCTGCGACTCTCCGATGAGCTTCATGCCCTCGCCTTCCTGGCCGGCGCGCGATCCGTACCCGGAGCCGTCCCAGGACGGGTCCAAGCGGAAGACCTGGACAGTGCTGTTGACCAGCGTAAAGTTGCGTTTGAAGAGCAACAGCGGCTGGCCCGATGTGGACAGGAGCGTCGCGGTGAAGGGGCGATGTGTTCGCAGGAGCTGCCGCCGGAGACTGCCGCCGAGGATGCCGGGCTCTTCTTCGGCGAGGTATCCGATTGGCTGGCCGGTGGGGGAGAGAAGAGCGTATCGATTTGCCTGCTCAAAGCCGAGAAAGATGCTGCAAGAAATGATGTGCGTTCAGCTGAGTGAATCACTGTAAAATGGTCTCGTTCGCCACCCACTTCAACATTTCGACCTCCCTCGTGACAACCAAAGCCCTCTGTCCGAGGACATCTACCAGATTGGGGTCGTTTTCCTTAGAGAGCACGCCTTCAGGATCATGTGGAATGTTCACCGGTGTGAACAGTTCTTGCGAGACAACCGCGCCGTCCTTGCCAGTGCCTGCACTAGCGCCGGGTGGCTGTACTGGTCCCTCCACTTCTGCAGCACAAGCAGCTCTAGAACTCCTATGGCTCTGAGCACCACCCGGCCTACGTACGAATCGTGGGCCTTCGTTAGGGAATCTCGAAAATGCATAGGTCCGATTAGGTTGCTTTGCGATGAGAGCTTGAGCGCCAACAGATAGCCGTGTTATCGTTAGATCTGCGCCGGGACTTGGGAATGGCATCCTTGGTCTTGCGTGCAAGATTTGCCGTTGCATCGCAAGGGAGCTGAGGCAGCGCTCGCACAGCAGTGGGACCTGCGGCAGCGCAGGCTGCAAACGAGTACGGCGGAGAGCCGCTCGCTGCATGATGATCGACGCTGATCGCAGTTGGCAAGGCGTTGAGTTGCTGCGCTGTTTTGATGCACGGACAAAGGTGGAACCAGTATGTGCGACGTGCCCAGGAGAATACTTCCTTGTATGCTCCTGGAAGTGTCCGCACGATCCATTTTGCACGGCTCCAGGGAGCCCGCCTGCAGAAAATCGGGGCCATCTGGGCAATTAAGCGAAAGAAGCGCGACGATGACGAATCGCACATTTGTGATGCTATACACATCCAACACAGCCGCAGACATAACCTGTCCTGCATCGGCAACTAAAATGTGGGAATTCGCCGAACCCGAGGTACATAATATAGTAGCCTGTTGTTCGATTGACACATTTTAGCTCATCATCCGCCTCGTCGTCCATCACAAGAAGCCTAAGAATATCGCCTGCACTGCAAGTCTGAGACTGGGGAATGAGGTATATTTCGTTTCGCTCAAGCGCCAATGTTGACCTTGAGCTTGGCGTCCTTTTCTGACGGCTCTCCAAAGACATTGATGTCCCAGCGCGGCGTGTAGTGGAAAGGGATGTTGAAGCGTGTGTGTGTGCGCTTCTCGAAGATGCTTGCGATCTCGTTGTAGTCATGTTCACTGAGTGTGATCTGCTCAAAGTTGGCCTTAATCCTGCTCGGAGTCACACTTTTCGGGATGACGCTGTAGCCGCGGTGGATACCGTACGCGATGAGCACCTGCCCTGGGTCCGCGCCGAGGCGCTTGGCTACCTCCTGCACTTCGGGGTAGTCGACGATACGCTGTTCGCCCTTGAGATTGTTGCCCAGAGGGCTGTATGCGGTGATGATGATACCCTGCTCGTCGTGCCACTTCTTCAGCTCGTCTTGCGGCAGGAGAGGGTGCGCCTCGATCTGATTCGTCACGGGCTTCTCGCCTGTGGCCTTGATGATGCCCTCGATCTGCTCGACGGAAAAGTTGCTGACACCGATGCTCTTCGTCTTGCCAGTCTTCTTGACCTCGATCAGCGCCTTCCATGTGTCAACGAGACTGACGTTCTCGACGTCCAGGATGGCGAAGCCATCGTCGGTCTTGGGTACGAGCTCCTCGACTGTAGTGTTCTTGAAGGGGACCGGCCAGTGGATCAGATAAAGATCGAGGTACGACAATCCGAGCTGCTGGAGCGTTTCGTCAAGGGCAGCCTCGACCTTGTCCGGTCGATGGCTGTTGTTCCACAGCTTGGAGGTGATGAACAGATCCTCGCGCTTGGCAAGGCCCGAGTCGAACACCTCCTTCAATGCCTCGCCAACCTCTTGCTGGTTATTGTAGATGCGAGCCAGGCTATTCGAGGTGTGTACGAAAGTGGGGTCATGTCAGGAAAGTGCCCAACGAGGCGCCAGAGGCGTTGCCAAGACTCACTCCAAGCTGGAAGAGCAGGTTGAAGAAGAGAAAGTGACAACAGGGCAAACATGAGCGAGCGATGCTTTGAGCGAAAAAGGAGGCTATGCACTCACTGCCTGTAGCCAATCTTCACAGCCTCGATCACCGCTGCTTTGACCTCGCCTGGCTGGGACAACCAGGTTCCGAGGCCGAGAGCTGGGATGGTTTTGCCGTCGACAAAGGTGAGCAGCTTGCTGTGTGACATTTTATTTAGTGTTCTTGAGCGCCTGGAAGATGCTATGAAGTACTGTCGCTAGATGAGGCAAAGGGGCAAGCACGGAAAATGATGTTGTCCGCTTTCAAGCAAGTAGTGGAAGAACTAGGGAGAGGATGATGGAGACGATGCTAGGACAAAGAAGGCGTTACTGTTATATATGACAACGCAAGTGCGAACAACATGGACCCCCTAGAAGGCTCGTAGGCATCGGCGTTTAAGCAGATGCCGAACAAGGATGATGACGACGCTAACAGCCGGTTCTTCTTATTCTTCGTTCGCTCGCAATTTGCAATCTGCGATTCCGAATTCGCCATTTCGCAGTTCAACTTCTCTTCTTTGTCCACGTGGACAAAACTAGAAACTGTAATTGATTGTTCCGTTCTTTTCAGGTGCGATCACGCGAGGCATAAAAGCCTACCTGAGCGTCAGCGTGGGGAGTGTGACCTAGTCAGGCGCCTTCCGTGTCCGTGGGCAGTCGCCAAAACAGAGTGGCCCGTGCGCTGACTCGTCATCGCGCAATCGCACAGCCACAGTGCCCACAGCTGAATCACCCACGAGCGACATTTGCAACGTTGGAAACTGTCGACGTTGCAAGCGCGACAATCGGATCGAGCCTAGATGCCATTCCAGGACGCCGTTCAGGCTCCACACCAGGCACTGCGCCTCGCTGTCCACATCCGTCCGCTCGTATAGAATGCGGGATACAAGTGCTACCAAAAGAGAAGTACATGTGTAGAATGGAAAATCTCCAGATCACCTCCATTCGTCGGTTTCAGGTTCAGGTCCATACCGCAGCACCCGCTCGGGACTCGAGGCGAGTGACGGCAGCTCCAGCTCCAGCACCAGCGTCGGCCCCTGGCTGCGGCTGAGCTACATTCAACGAGACACGTCGCGCTTGTGCGCCGCCGCTAGCGATACCACGCGTGGTAGCAGCGACGCGTCGCGCGACACCCCGCTTGGTGCTCGGACTGCTGGGCGGAGCGGCAATGGTAGATGTTGAAGCCGAAGATGAGGAAGAGTCCGCATTGACGTTACCAGCTGTCGCAGCAGCGGCCGCGGCCGCGGCTCGCGCTGCCGTGTTGCCAGGTGGTCCCCTGGCAAGCGGCTTTGGCTTCGCGGGGGCAGACTCCCCGCCAGGTCCTGGTGCAGCAGCAGCAGAGGCCGAAGCGAGCGCATCTCGTTCCTTGGCGATAGCTGCAAAGACAGGAGGAAGCGCCAGCGCACCAGGGGAAGCGAGGGCCCCGGCCGCGGGTACCTTGCTACCACTACCAAGCTTCAGTGCCCCACTGGAGTTTGCGGCCAAAGAAGAGGAGGAGAGACTGCCGCGAGCACGTCGGACAGGTCCAACGCGGCTGCCGCTCCCGCCGCTACTCTCGCGCCGCTTATACGGCGTCCCTCGCGTCTCGCTGCCGTGTACTAGAGGACACTGCTGGTTGCCTTGATGCTCGAAAGCATTCTCGTCGTTGTTCGCGAACGCCGAATTGGACGGGGCATTACATGCGCTACCAGAGATATTGCGAACGTCGGAGAATGCGACACGAGTCGATGGCAGTGAAGGGGCACTACCCATGTTGTTGTTGCTGTTGCCGCTGAGAGAGAGCCGGACGCGCTCGCTGGGGCGCGATGCGTCCCCGCCTTCCGCTTCTGCTGCGGGTCTCGACTTGCCGGCTACCTCGAACGATCGGCACGCAGCGGCTCGCTGGTCGGATGGCGCGGCCCCCGCTGTAGATGATGACAATGAGATGGAAGCGACGAGATCGTCGCTAGACTTATCATGCTCGATCGAGCTGGTGGACGCCGAGCGCTTGGCGGGTGCTGTAACAGCGCCGCTACCGTTCTTGCTGCCAGCATTCAGTGGCCCGCTTCGTGAGCTCGGCAGTCGCTTGGCCGCTATTGATTGACGTGCAGTACTAGCAGATGGAGGCTTGGCGGGCTGATCCCCAAGCATAACATCTTCCCACTCGCTGTTCGCTTTTATGCGCAAGTGATGGGCGCCATCGAGCAATGTCGTTGTCGGCGGCTCCATGTCGTCACCTCTTGAAGTAATATGTTGCCGCAGTGGATGCACTGAGGCTGCAGATTTCATCTTGAGCGGAGAACCAGCATCGTCGATCTTGCCCTCCCCGGCTTCGTCTGCCCATCTAAAAGCCTTCTTCTTATCAGCAACCGCTGCTGCGGGCTTGGCTCCCGCAGCATTGGTCGCGCTGACTGAGCTTGTTCGCCGTATCGCCATCAGGCTCTGTCGGCGCGTCATGCGACGGGGACTGTTCATGACCCTGATGCGCGGGCTGCCGACTACATGCGCACGGCTTGCAGCTGTCGGAGCCGCATAGCCCGTGCTGACCCGCTGAGCGCACGCTGGGGAGGCTGTGATGGGCGAAAGAGGTGTAGGAGCGAGAAAGCCGTGCGATGCGCCGCCGGACGTCTGCAGCGACTGACGATGCGCCATACGAGCGGGTGCGGGCGCAGGTACGGGCGCGGGCGCTGTCACCGCGACGCGCTTGGCTGGTGATGGGCTCGGAAGCGCCGCCTGCGAAAGCGATTGTCGTGCACGCCGGATGGCAGAATTTCGCGTCGGTGCGCCAGCGGGGGCGGCAACAGTAGCAGTTCGGGCTCCCGTCGCAGAGAGTAACGTTGAATCGTTCACAGCAGCGACATCCCTGAATTGACCGGCGAGCGACGAGATTGCACTCTGCAAGCCGTCGATCGTGTCGCCCGCTTTCATCCTACCTGCGTAGTAATCGAGCTCTCCGGCCGCCTCTTTGGCAGCGACGGTGCAGCGTGTAGCAAGGGTGGTCATCACTTGTGCCGTCAGGTTGCTCTCGCGCACCGCTTCCAGCATCGCTTCGAGCTTCACCGTGCAGCGCAGAGCGTTGATCTCCGCCTGGAACGTCGTCCCGAGGTTCTTGATCGTCTCGCTGGCGTCGGCGTCGAAGCGAGTGTTGTGTGAAGCAGCAATGATGATTGCTTGCTGCATTTGCAGCGAGTTGTTAAGACTGCGGATCGAAGCGAGAAGAGCTGGGTCGGTTGCGATGGCGTCCGCCTGAGCGATCATCTGTTCGAGGATATCTTGCTCACTCTCGAGGTCGGATGGTGCAGCGTTCCCTGAAGCAATGGTGGTCTGGATTTCTGATGCCACGGTCTGCTGCCTTGCGCGCAAGATTGTGCTTCTGAGTCGTGCAGCATCGAGCACAGCCTCACAGCTAGACTTTTCGCAGACGAGGTTCTTTACGCGCTCTGTGCTGTCGCGCATCTTGTGCTTTGCCTCTTCCACTTCCTTTGCCACTTCGGCCTTGCGGCGCTTCTCGGCGGCTGAGTCCAGTTGGCCCTTCTCGGCGAGCTTGGCTTTGAGCTGCGCGACTTCCTCGTTGAGTTCGTGGATCGCCTGTACGTACTGCGCCACGTGTCGGTCGACGTTCATCAGGTTGCGCGTGACCTTGGTGCGGATGTTCTTGGCTTGATTGGCATATTTGAGCGTGTTGTGCGTCTCTTCGTAGTGAGCAGAGGATGGACTTGCGCAGACGATCATCACCGTCTTGCAGTTGCCACCAAGGGAGAACTTGAGCAGTCGCGTTAACTTAGAATTGCGGTACGGGACATGACGGCCTTTCTGCCCGCCAGACTGACATAGCGCGTTGATGCAATTACCAAGTGCGAGAAGCGACTTGTTAATGTTTGCTCCTTCTTTCATTCGCTGGCCGTTGTTACGCGTCGCTGCCGCTCTCTCGCTACCAGCGAGATCGATGATGTTCAGACTGGCGCTCGTCATCTCTTCAATCAAGCCGGCGGTGCGTGGCCGCTGGGTGACGTTAATCTGGAGAACGGCATGGCTGCGTGAAGAAACGGCGTTCGCCTCTGTCGGTGACATGGTTCTCCTCTTGTTGCCTTCTGTGATCATATCTAGCACCTCCACCGGGCTCTGTGGAGAATGCTCCGAGATGCCGACGACGGAGATTTTGTTCGCCGAATCCTCCCGCAGGGCCAGCCCTTGGCCTGGTGGGGTCGGCTCATTGGACAGGAGGTCACGGATAGTCTCGTTGTAGATTTCCAGATAGGACAGTCGGATATTGACATCCATCTCATCGTTGCAGTCCGCTACGCGCTGGTAGAGCTCCCGCATGGTCAGAAAGATGATGCCTGGATCCTCTGCCGTGCCCGAGATGGTATGTGTTTTGCCGCATCCTGTTGCCTGTGTAGCATAAATGAAAGTTGTCAGCCTGAGGCTTAAGCCTTGACGGCATCGGCATACCCACTCCATAGGCAAAAACACTGGCATTGTAGCCTCGGAGAATGCCGTCAAGCAACGGCTTGGTCGTATTCTCAAAGACATCCTGCTGTGTGCTGTGATCGGGAAAGACTCGATCGAAAGCGTACCGCACGTCTTTATATCTTCTTGCACCGTGAGCAAACGTGTTGGCAGTTGAAGCATACAGCCGAGTGAGCGGGTTAGTATCTGGAGGATCAAAAATGAGCACCTTGTCGTCTACGGGGCTGACAATGGAGCGCAGGTATTTAGTTCGCAAAGAGCCAGGGCCAGGACCGGCGGCTGCATTGCTGCCACCAGACGCCGCTGCACCGGTTGCCAAGTTCGTGGAGGCCGCCGCCGAGCTAGGGAATGCGCCGAGCTGTTGAGCTTTGAAGGGCGAGCCGCCCAGCCCGCCGTCACCAAGGAAAGGTTGATAGGTGTCGACGGGAGCGAGAAGGGCCGCCTCTTTGGCACTAAAGGGGCGCACACGAACTGCGACTGTAATGCTGGATTCTGCCATGGTGGTTCAAAGTGCTTTTTTCAGATGCTTCGTTGGCCAGGTTGTTGCAAGCCTCCAGGACTGGCGTCTCGCACTCGAGGCGAAGACCTCAAATGGACGACTGGAGGGTAAGCAGGATGCTGCGATGGTATGCGTAGGAACAGTGCTTGCGAACAGCACTCGACGGGTGTTGGAGGCCTCTTTTCGTACCTACTGATCACATACTGAACTTAGACCTACGCTTGCACCCGGGATCGCGTGCGGGGGCGATGGAAATGCCGAAAGAGCATCTACAGGCTGAGAGTCATAAGTTTTGTGAATCCAACACTAGACCACAGGCCAAAGGAGTGATGCAACGCGACACGCTGCGGCGCGCAGTTCACAATTTAGTCACGTGCATACGACGCCAAAGCAAGTAGGGTTGCACCGAATCGCATAACCTGCCCTCTGTTTCCACCTGATATTTCCTGCAAGCTCACTTCGCGTCCATATTACAGACATCACCAGCTTTTTGATTTTGCGTCGAGCTGGCGTCGCACTCCGGGACGAAGGCCATACCCTCGTCGATCGCCCAATCCAGTGCACTGCATAACTACTGAGCGAAAGAACAATGAGCGCCACAGTAGACGAGCTCCATGTCCCGGCTCCGGCTGACTACCATGTTCACGTGCGGCAAGGCGCCATGTCCGCGCTGATCGCGCCCCACGTATCCGCGGGCGGCTTCCAGCTGGCGTACGTTATGCCCAACACGCTGCCGCCGATCAGCTCGACAGAGCAGGCGCTGCAGTACCAGGCGGATCTGCAGCGAATCGCACCGCAGACGCAATGGATCATGACGCTCTATCTCTCGCCTGCGCTGACACCCGAGGAGATCAGACAAGCGAGCAAGGCTGGTGTCCGTGGTGTCAAGAGCTACCCGCGTGGTGTCACAACTAATAGCGATGGTGGAATCGAGGACTACGAGGCTTACTATCCCGTATTCGAGGCGATGGAGCAGGAAAATATGGTGCTCAATCTGCATGGCGAAGTGCCTAGCGATGCGGACAAAGTGAGTGTGCCCCCAAGGCGATACCCACTGCACATGAGCCGGGCTAATGCTTTGCCTCTTGGTGCTCGCGTACGCAGGGCATTTGCGTTTTGAACGCCGAGGCTGCATTTTTATCGCATTTGCACAAGCTGCACGCGCGTTTCCCAAAACTGCGCATCGTACTCGAGCATGCTACGACTGCGGCCGCTGTAGAAGCCGTCCAAGGGTGCAGCGAGACGGTTGCTTGTACGATCACCGCTCACCATCTGGCGCTCACTGTGGACGACTGGGCTGGCCGCCCAATCAACTTTTGCAAACCCGTCGCCAAGTATCCTAGTGATCGCGAGGCGTTGCGACGCGTGATCAAGGAAGGTGAGCTTCTCGTCCGTCGTGGCAAGTAAGAGGGTTGCAGAAGGGAGATCTGACAGTTGCATCCCTGCATTTAATCTCTTAGGCCACCCTCGATTCTTCCTCGGCTCTGATTCGGCCCCGCATCCGTTCGCATCCAAGCTCCCCTCGGCCACGACGCATGGCAGCGTCCCGGCGGCAGCGCAGAGCGCGTGCGCAGCTGGCGTGTATACGTCCGCCATCTTGCTGCCGCTCTGCGCGACCTTGTTGGAGAGTTTCGGCGCTCTGGACAAGCTGAACGGGTTTGTCAGCACGAACGGGCGGCGGTTCTACGGTGATGCACTGGGAAAGAATACAGCTGCACCTGGCGAGACGCAACCGGCAAAGGATGTCGTTGTGCTGAGGAGGGTAAAAAGTGAGGGTGAGGAGGGTAAAGTACCGGGTGCTTATGTGCTCGAAGGGCATCAAGACATGCAGGATTCAGACAAGGAGAAGGTTTCAGTCGTGCCGTTCTGGGCCGGGAAGCAACTTGGCTGGGCTATAGTATGACCGAAAAGCACTAAACCACAACGTCATTCAAATAGAAGAAGTGGACGACGCAGCCTTCTTCACTGTTCCATTTAATTGCGCTATGAGAACGGCAACGACGACGCAGTAGCATCGTGTTCGATGATCTTGTCGCAGAAACGCAGAGCGAGCGCTTCGAGCACGGCGCGCGCGTCTGCCACCCTGGCAGGCCGTTCATCCTTGCTGCCGCTGCTACCGGTTCCTGCACCTTGCTCTGCTCCATCGTTGTACGCTGGCAGTGATGAAGATTCGACGGGCGCGTCAAGCACGACGAGCGACGGGCCCGGTGGCGGTAGTGACGACGGCTGCGACGCATCCTGCTGCCCCCTCTGCTTTGAGGCTAGCCCCAACTCGGACATGCGCTCGTTGCAGAAAAAGAGTGCATGCGAGAGGCACGCAGCTAGCTCGCCCAGCCCTACACCATCCCACACCAGCCACTTGCTGAGCCCATGCAGGATAACAAGGTTCGGCGGTGAGGAGAGGGAGAGTGTGGTCTGAGGAGTTGCTCGTGTGAGAAGAGGAGGGCTGTGAAGAGATGATTGCGGCAGCTGTTGCTTCCTGGTACAGATTCGAAGATTCGCAAGCGCAACAGCAGCAGTAGCGGTAGAGTTTCCTTGCGCCACGGTCGGCTCAAGACAGGCGAGCAGGGCAAAGAGGTGCTGTGGACGCGGCACGTGTCTCCGTGAAGCAGCACTATTGTCAGTAATAGCAATTGGCCCCGAAGCAGGAGCAGGAGCAGGAGCATGACGCATCTTTATTGCCACGCTACACGGCAGAACAAGGCTGCTCACTTAATGTCCACATTTCTGAATAGCCGCAGCAGAGGTGCACCATGAAAATTATCTTCATGCATTTCACGTCGACTTGCGTCGAATAAGCTCTGCCAGCGCGCCTTGTCCTGCCGCACATCTGCCCGCCATTCTTCTTGGCTGTACGTCGTAAGGAAGAGCACGCCGCCGTGAAGCGAGTCCTCCTGCGACTGCTGCTGAAGTTCGATGTCGAGGTGGCGGCGGATCATCGCAAAGGCGTCGGAGAGTGCTACACCAAAAAAAGCCGCGCATGTTGGCACTGCCGAGCCAATTGGACCTGGCTGCTCATGTTCATGCTCGTCGCCGCCGGCAGGGTTGTCACCACCACCATTTCCATCACCGACGCGGGCAGCGGCGAAGAGGCAATCGTGCAGTACTCGCCCGATGTTGTCGCTGCGCACTGCGTGGGTGGTGCCTGTCGACGGCACAAAAACGCGACACACATATGACATGCTTTTGCTGATCGATGTGTGAGCATGATAGTTGCGTGTGTGAAGCACAGTACAGAAGATCGTTGAGTGTTGAGATCTTATAAATGGTGACCAAGCCCTTGGGCAGCACTTCAAGGAGAGGGTAGGAGAGAGCATCGGGACGTGCGGAAGGGGCGCAACGGCGCAGGTCGACCATCGATGTACCTGAATTCACAGCCCTCTTGTACATCTCTCTGCTGTATTCTATGATCCGTGTCTTTGTACGCACGTGCGCAAGCATCAAGTACTCTTTACAGGGTCCGTGCGCTTATCCATACCAATATATGATGATGCCCGAAGGACTCGGCCCTCGGCGCTGGACGACTAGAGGCTCATTCTCTTTCCTACACGGGCCAATGCCGGATGCCACAGCCTGTAGGCGCTCCGCAGACTCGGGTACTTCGGAAGCGTCAAACTGGAATCTTTGGGTCTGCTGCGTCGAAATTCGCGTTCTACAGTCGTCATCAAGTACTGGCAGGTAGATGCATACAGTGGTCTCGATCCTACGAGCTGAGAACCCAAGGAGTCTTTTGGAAAGAAACGTTGAAACACACCTTCATGTACAAGTTTGCGCACACCAAGGATAGTTGGTCTCTCTCGGAATTCGATCACATATAGATCACACTCGGAGTTAGTAGTCAAGAGTGAAAGCAGAGCAGTGTAAGGCAAAAATCCATTGGCTTCTGATTCTGGCGTAATGTATAGGATGACACGACGGACACGAAGAGCCTCCTCATCTTCCCATCGAAGAGCCAATTGATAATTCTAACCCAACAGACGAGCCTGCCCTCACCTTGGGCCCATGTTTGAAAGCAAGGATGGAAGAATTGGCTCGTCCAGCTGCGAGAATGAAGGCCTGCTCTTATCAAAAAGCTTGCGCTGCCCCCCCCCCAGGCGCCTAGTGCCTGGCGCGTCTTTTGTTCATCGCTTCATCGTCCTACAGCCGCGCCGGCGGCCAGAAATGTCAGATGCCAGACTTCAGACGCTCAATCGCCAATCACTCGTCGACTGTCCAGAGCCCAGCGTCCAGACACACGATACACACGATAGTCCTCGACTCGAGCCGATTCCCTCGAGCAAAGATTGTGGCCGTGACTCCCAGTCTCTAGCCTGGCTCTGATCAGGGAAAGAGAGTCTCTCGGGTGGTGTTCAGACAGAGCTTAGACCTTAGTCTGGTCCCAAAACGAGTCTGTGAGCTTGGTTTGGCGGCCCTCTGCCAGCCCGTGCGGCCTGCAGGCTGTCGATACTATGCAGCGCGCCTTCGGGTCCAGAACCCTACAAAAGTTCGGCAGGAAGGGGTTGCCGAGTGCCTGCTGCTGCCCAGCTGGATGCTATTGCTTTGGCTCGCGAGACTTCAGCTTGACCCCAGTCCCCGAAAGACCCAAATTTCCTCGGGAACAAAAAGGTGGGGTAAGCAAATGATGACTGTTAGAGCACTGCGCCAGTGTCTCATTTGCCTTCCATGCGAGTGCCTACTGCGCCCTGATCTGCCTACCCCACCCGAGCTAACAAGAACGAGGGAGACTAGCCTCAATCTGTCCTTTCGTACGCCTGCCCGTGCGCTCAGCCCTGGCACTGCAGCGGTCACACTATGGGCAGTGGCAGTCTCCCCCGTCATCGCAGCCGTCTGATTCCAAATGTTCGCTTGGACGGCATATCTACAGAGGCACAACGAGGCAGATGGAAAGGATGAGGATCATTGATCCCCCCGGCAACCGGCACCCATTCTGATTGGAGAAAGTTGGAGTGGCTAGTCTTTCACGTTCTGGTTGGGCCCCGCTCTCGACTTTCCCACTTCCTCTTGGTCGTACCCTTTCACCTCCTTCACACTTGCTTTCCACCATCCATCCCTGCCCAGCAAACAGCCGACCGACGTCCAACCTCGTCCGCAAGCCTGTTCTCCGGCCGATTCGTGCCATTCTTCAGTACCGCCGCACCCCTGAGACGACCAGCGCCAAAGGAAGGATTCGCAACGCTGCACCCACCTCGCTCCTCATCCCCTCGCATCTATCCCCGCCCTGACAGGATCGTCGTCTCTGGTCGCCGCTCGAAAGTTTCGACCAGTTGCACAGCAACCCGACCCAGTTCACAGCGCAGATCACGGCACAGGGTCATAGGGTAAATTAACCGCTGCAAGCCGTAAGGAGCACCAGTCGCGATATCAGCTGGCCTCGGCCTGTTCCGTCCCTGACGCGCACACTCGCCCGCCATGTCAACCAAGAAAAACTTTGATGGCGAGGATGTCCTCGAGGGCCACATGGGTCAGTCACTCATCTTGCAGATCTTGCACCCAATTCCCTGTCCGAGACGAAAGGCACTGACCCCACACTTTGGCTACGCTTGTACCCCGCATTGCCCCTTTTGACTTCTCCTGGTTTCACTGTCCTGGTCTTGTGCAGGTAACCTGACGGCCGACCAGCAAGTCAAGATCCGCGAGTTCTATCACAAATTTTTTGAGCTATTCGATCGCAACAAGCACGTCTCGGAGGACCTCGACAAGCGCGGCGGCCCTAACGCGGCGAACAAGGGGGGCAAGGAAGTCCAGTCCAACGTCAAGGACAATAAGTCGGGCAAGGACATCCCCAAGGATGACAAGGCCAAGGAGGAGGCCAAGAAGGCAGAAGAGATGAAGGAGATGAATAAGTTCCTCGACACGTACGGCGGCCCGTACCTTCGTCGTGCATCGTGGGACTTTGCCAAAGTGCGTGCCGCCGCATACAATCACCCCACTTATCCCTTCTGGAGTGTCTAAACCCTAGAGGAATACCTCGCTGACTGTACTGCTTCCCTCCCATGCACCTAGGCCGACTTCATGGATGCAGCGGTTCTGCGCTTTTTGCGTGCGCGCAAGTGGGATGTGGATCGCGCCATGGCCATGCTCTGCGCCGCCCTGTGCTTCCGTCTGGAAGTCGATATTGAAGGCATGATCCTCAAGGGCGAAAACGGCATGAAGGACGTCCCCGGATTCCTCAACCAGTTCCGTAGAGGTATTTCGTACATTCGCGGCAACTCGGAAAAGCCTGGCGAGTACCCTATCTACTTTATTCGTGAGTATCCTAGCGCTGCTTTCTGTGTAGCGAATCATTGTGCTGTTCCCGCTCCCGATCGTTTGAGCTTCTACTAACGCTTTGTCCTTTGGATATTGGTCTTTTATTTGGTCGCGCGTCTTTGCAGACGTCGCACGCCACTTCACTAATGCACAGAAGCACGAGGCGCTCCAGCAGTTTGTCCTGCTCGCCATGGAGAACGCTCGGCAGCTCACCACGCCGCCATACGAGAAGGCTATCATTGTGTTCGATTTACAGGGGTTTGGACTGAAAAATATGTGAGTGCTCGATTTGGGAGCGATTTCTGCATCATTTGGCGCAGGTTTGAGCGAAAATGGACCGGACCTGACCAGCCTATGACCAATTTATGCAGGGACTGGCAATGCGTTCTCTTCCTCGTGCGCTGCCTGGAGGCGTACTATCCTGAGTCACTGCAGCGCATCTATGTCCACGGCGCACCATGGATCTTCCGCGGAATCTGGCAAGTTCTCCAGCCGATGCTCGACCCCGTCGTGCGCGACAAAATCAAGTTCAGCAGCAAGGCCAAGGATCTCGAGGAGTACATCCCTCCTTCCAAGCTGCGAGAAGGCATGGGTGGCACTATGGACTGGGACTGGGACTACACAGAGCCAGACCCGCATGAGAACGACCTGCAGAAGCGAACCGACATTAGCGACGAGATCAAGATGGAGTTGAGAGACTTGCAAAACAAATTCGAGCAGCTGACTAAGGAATGGATCGAAAAGACCGAGCACGACGACGATGACCCGGACCTGGCGTTCAAGCGCCTCGTGGTGCAAAAGCAGATCCGTCTCAAGCAGCTGCAGCTGAACCCATACGTCCGCGCCGTCAACGTGTACCAGCGCCAGGGAATCCTCACGGAGGATAACAGCCACGAGTGGGAGTACCCGCAGAAGGACGGAAAGAAGCCGCGGCAGCGCATCGGCGAGCGGCACAGCATCCCTGCACTCCTCAAATGGCTCAAGGACAATGGCCAGGACACAATGGAGGACTCGTACGGGCACAAGTACGGTGCGTGCGGCGTAGCGCGCTCGCACGACCTCATCCCGCCCTTTGCGCGCACCAAGGATGATAAGAACACGCCCCTCAGCTCTGCGCTTGCCAAGTCAGAAAAAATGCGCACCAACAGGAACGAGGAGCAGACCTCAGAAGGTGCGACTGGCGCTGCCTTTCGACATGAGCGTTCACACTCCGCACGCGCGCCGCCCAATGAGGAAAAGTCTCATCAGAAGTTTACCGAGACGCAGGAGGGGCCCCAGCGGCAAACTTACACCGGTGCCATCGTTGGCGCTGCCACGGGCGCAGCTGCCGCTGGCGCAACGTCTTACGCCAACGGCCGTGACAATGGCGAGCAGCATTTGCACCCGCAAAACGGCCACGATGGGGAGGAGTACGATGAAACCGAGGAGTACGAGGAGACTGAGGAATACGACGAGGACGAGGATACCAGCTACAACGACGAAGTCGGCTCGGACATCTCGGACGAGTCGATTACGCCGGAGACATCTGTCATTCCGAGCTACATTCCTGCCAAGCCGCCGAAGGCGGCGGATGTCAAGATCAGCGACAACGACTGCAGAGAGGACCTAGGGCACGTGCGCGAGGCCATGTCGCTCTTCCTCAACTCGCGCATGAAGGAGGCGGAGGAGGTTTGCCTGCAAGGTGCCGGCCACCGCATGTATAAGGCCGAGGGCATGGCATTGATCAACACGGTCAAGTCGATCATGACATTCGAGCCTGAGGACCTCGAGACGGCGATCCACTCGTGCAAGCACGCGATGAACGTCGCATCCGTCCTGCGCAAGAAAAAGGGCGCCGTCGGAAAGCTGCTCACAGGCAAGAAGAACAGCTTCAAAGACTTGTCGCTCGTCCAGCTGCACGCCGAGCTCGTCCTTGCCGAGTCGCAGCTGCTTAAATGTATCCTCGGCATCTTCTATGCTGGCGACGCCATTGCATTCATCAAGCAGGCCTTCAGCCTGCGCAGCGCCTACTTCCTCATGCGCGAGCTGTACAAGTTTGTTGAGTACGCCGACGCGGCCGCCGAGGAGGCCTCCATCTCAGGCAAGAAGTCGTCCCTCTTGCTCGACCAGGACTTCCGCTCCGGCGTCTACGTTGGCAACGGTCTCTGCTCGCTTATCCTCTCCATGCTGCCGCACAGGGCGCTAAAGATGATGGAGGGCTTCGGATTCGTCGGCGACAGGCGCTGGGCGCTCGAGTTGTTCGCGCGCGCTGGTGGCTGGTCCAAGAACAAGCCTCTGCCGTCCATCTCGGCTGATGAAGAGGGCGTGCGCAGGCCGCTGTGCGACATTGCCATTTGCCTCTACCACCTGATCATCTCGGCGTACATTCCCGTCACCGACGTCGACTTCGAGTTTGCCGACAAGGTGCTCTCGTGGGATCTCGACCGCTTCCCTCAGGGCATTTTCTTCCTCTACTTTTCCGCGCGCCTCTATGCCTCGCAGGCGCTGCCCGAGAAGGCGATTGAGTACTTCCGCAACGCGATCGAGTCACAGAGGGAGTACAAACAACTGCACCACCTCTGCTTCTGGGATCTCTCCCTCACGTACCTCTCTACGTGCGACTTTGCTCGCGCTTACGAGTGTTACGACGTCCTCTCTCGCGAGTCCAACTGGTCCAAGGCAATCTACCAGTACGCCAAGGCTGTCATGCTCTACGAGACCGGCATGGACGACCGCGCCAAGAGCGCGACGGTCATGCGCACTGTCCCCAAGCTGACAAAGAAGATCGCAGGCAAGCAGATCCCGTTTGAGAAGTTCGTCACGCTCAAGGCCAAAAAGTACGTCGAGCATAACAACAGGCTGCCTTTGCCCGGCATCGAGTTCTCGTACATCTGGCACTGCATGCAGCAGACGCCTGTCTTTCTCCTTGTAGAGAACACCTTGACGCGCATCGATGAGTTTATCGACGACCTGGAGAGGTACGCGGACCCCAAGGCGTACGGCACTGGCGAGTCGGAGTACTGGAGCGCCTACTGCCTGGCCTTCTTCCTGCGCGGTGTCGCACTCCGCTTTGTCGCCTATCCAAGCGAGCACACAGTCGTCCGCTCGCCTCCCGAGGATGCCGTCGGAAGTCACGACGAAGTGGTCCAGGACGCAGTCCAGTCGTTCCAGAAGGTCTTACAGCACGGCGGCCAGCTCGATGAAGTCGACCGCTACCTCGTCTACTTTGCCCACTACGAGCTCGGCAGGCTCAAAGACTGCATGGGTGACGAGGCGGGCGCAAGGAAAGAATTCAAGCTTGTCATGTCCGGCAAGCCGCTCGAGGCCAAGGGCAAGAGCACGCTCGCAGGCGGTGCTCAAGCTTCCTATCTGCTCAACAACATGTGTCAGATCCGGACGCATGCAGCGCTCGAGACTTTGCGCATCCAAAGGTGGGATTTTGCTGCTCGTCGAAAAAAATATAGCAGGCATCCTTCGCTGACCTTATCCGCCCTTTTCTACTATGCAGGGGTCCTTCCAAAGGCTCTTTCTTTAGTGACTCGGGCTCCCTTACCCACGGCTCTAGCATAGGAGGCTCCATCTCTTCTCGCTCCATCTCGAGAGGCAGTCGCAGCTCGATGACGCCAGCCTCCTCTGCCACTACCCGGTCGCGGGGAGAGTCGTTTGCCAGCTCCAAGCGCGCATCCTCTATCCGCGAAAACGGTCTACCACCCCGCGCTCGGGGTGCCGCCGATGCGTCCTGCTACTGAGTGCGGAGACGAAAAAATGCTTCAGGTGCCACTCAAGAACTGCTACCAGCAGCAGGAGCTCCCTTGCATCTCAACATTTCAAAGTATAAAATATCTCGCTTTGATGACCTATTTTCAAGATCTTAATTGGGGAAAATCTGTCTATGTCTCTAGCGCTTCGTCAGTGGAGTGGCTTCCCTTCCTCTCATATACATTTTATTCAAAATGATTTTCATGTAGTTACTCCGACAGTCATTCCATGCAGTTCCAGCTGACCGACTACAGTGCCATTGTGGCCGACTTTTCGATTAGGTACTCCGACAGACCCGCACCGATTCCTGCCTCTTTGCCAAAGCCAGATTGATCTAAGCCGCCAAAAGGGATCTCTGCACTGGTGGTGTTGCCCACGTTCAGCCCAACATTCCCTGCCTTGAGACTCTCGTAGCATCTCCACAGACGTGAGGCATCCTTTGTAAAGACATACGACGTCAGGCCCATGTCCGTGTCATTTGCCATTTGGATAGCCTGGGGAAGAGAAAGGAGCGGCTCAGTGACTGTATGTGCATTCTCAGCAGTGGTGGCGACGTACCTCTTCCTCAGCGTCGAAAAGTGTTAGGTTGATAATTGGTGCAAAGGACTCTTCCTGGAAGACGAGCATGTCCTTGGTGCATCCTAGGACCACCGTCGGCGTCACAAAGAACCCTTGTGTCGGCGTCTCGACGGCCGCTGTCAAGATCTGAGCGCCTTTTCTGCGTGCGTCTTCAATGTGCTTAATCGCCTTTTCCTTGCCACTTAGTGTCTCGAGTGGTCCCAAAGTCGTGGACGGATCTAGACCGTGACCGAGCTTGACCTGGCTCAACAACGCGAGGAGTCCTTGTGCGAACACGTCTGATATGCTGCGATGCACGAATACTCGCTGAGCTGCAATGCATGTCTGACCTGCGTGGCGCGTCTTGTTTGCCACGAGAGCTAAGTAGCACAGTTCATGATCCCATTTCTTCGAGCGGAAGATGATCAAATCCACGTCCATGTCAGTAGCTCACCTACACATGCCTTGTCCACATCTGCATCGTTGAAAACAAGGTAAGCACCCAGGCCACCCAGCTCGAGGGTGAGTTTTTTGAGGCTCAATGCGCACTGCCGCATCACGATTCGCCCTACCCGCGTCGATCCCGTGAAAGACACTTTCTTGATCCTGCGGTCAGAGCAGAGTAGCTCACCAATCGCCGGCGTAGTTTTGTTAGACGCCAAAATCACATTCACAATGCCATTGCCGAAGCCTGCCTGCTCTAGAAGGCGCGCGACTGCGAGCGTCGAAAGGGGTGCCTCTGGTGAGGGCTTTGCAACAACCGTACAGCCCGCAGCGAGCGCGGTCACTACCTTGCGGACAAAGAGCGCAACAGGAACTGGAAAGCATGCGTGGTCAGCGTTGTTTGCAGGGTGGTCTTTTGGTGTGTAGCTCACAGTTCCAAGGTGTCAAAAGTGCCACCTGTAGATTTGAGCCCTTCAGCAATGGTGATAACATGTATACATGAAGTGTGGCGACGCACCGGTCCAATTGGCTGCTTGATGGTAAAGAATCGGATGGCTGCATTGGCAGCGCCTTTGACCGTCTGGCCTTGCACCCTCTCCACTTCACCGATGTACCACCAGCTAAAGGTGAGCGCATACTCGACTTCGCCTTTTGCCTCGTCAAAAGGCTTGCCCGTCTCCCAAACGAGGAGTGTGGCAATGTCGTCGAGATTCTCACGAAGCAAGCGGTCGAAGTCGAGCAGCTTGCGCGCGCGCTCGCGAGCGGGGACCTGAGAGTACGTGGGGAAGGCGGCGTGTGCAGCGTTAATGGCAGCGTCCACATCCTTGAGGCTTGACGACTTGACTTTCACCCACGGTGAGGCGGTACCGGGGTCTGGAAAGCTGATTCAAGTTGGTCACTTGCAACTATGTGGCGCAGCTATGCATGGGAGAGCTCACCAATAACTTCAAAGAGGTCCTCGTCATTCGGTTCGGACCAGGCACCACCGATGAACTGGTGCGTGCCGAACAGGTCCGCATTGTTGAGCTGTGGCACAGATGAAGTCTGCATGTTGAATAATGCTGAAACGCTTGTTTAAAGGCCTGATCATTGGTGAATGCTGACTGGCTGCAATGTATGAACAACGTACAGCTGAATAGCTTGCTCTGGACTTCGCAGGCATCGAGTTTATGTGGCTCACCGATCAATTCGGAATCGCCGGATGTACGAGTTTGGCGGAAATTGCATATCACGCGTCTGATTCGAATTAACGCGGAAATGGTATTGCTAAAGATTAATACATACCTTCCCCTTGGACAGTATCGGCATTCTGGCCGAGTGGTCTAAGGCGTCAGACTTGAATTTTGCCGTTTACGGCGCGAGATCTGATGGGCTCTGCCCGCACAGGTTCGAACCCTGTGAATGTCGAATTTCTTTTTGCTTCTCTTCGGCTTGATCTTCGTACCTTTTTTCAATTCCCAAAGTGGCTCGCTGCATGACAGCGTGAGCGTAACAAACACGAGGCTTAATACGCCTGGTGAAAACATAATGCAACCAACAGTACGGCGCGGCGACGATGGTTGCACGTCTCATGCACAGCAGATGACGGCGTGATCTAGCAGAAGTGCGAAGCTCTGAACCCAATTGCATGTACTACATCATTTTATACACTCTCCCGACAATACACCTGGGCATGCTCGCAGAAGAGAGCACGCAGATTTCGAGGAAACCCCCGCTTGCTTGAATCCCTCCGAGTCCCGTCCAGTCTGTACTTGGGTCTGTTGCCATGTCTACCCATGCTCGTCCACGTGACAGGCCTCCTGTTGCACTTCCCATTTCGCAAGCTTCTTGACTTGGCAGCTCCAGGCTCTCATCGGCGGCTGGGCCGGCTGGTAGGTGCGCAGGCCTGCGCGGGAGCGCTATTAAAGTCGCCAATGGCAGCCGGCGGCCCCACAAGTTCTGATGACGACATGTTCATATGGTGTGTGTATCAGCAACAGAGCAGTGCGCCTTTGAATGTAGAGCAATGAACAGAGTTCGCCGAAAAAGCCGCAGTGGAAATGATGAGCGACTCATATTCGAACTCATATCGTAGATGCGTAAGAGCTTGGTCCTCCCCTGAAACGTGTTCTCATCGCCGCCCTGTAGTTTTGGTGGCAGACTTCCCTTGAAACGTGATAACGACAATCGAGACAGGTGTTTGGCCGGCATGAGTTTGTGCGTTGGCCACGGATCAATCCGCGACGAGCGCCGTCACGCCGGCTGCGGTCCCGCCTCTCATATGTGTGGTATATAGATCATGTTGGATGAACTCGCTGAGTGGGGCAACCGCCTGGCCCCGGACTCGGCCGGATTATACTCAGTCTCGGGCATCGCCCATCGGCACCCTGATGCATACACTGTATCCTCGCGTCCTTCCGCACTGACTAAGCTGGCTGGCAGGCAGGCAATAGTCAGTGGCAAATGCCAACACTCAAATGGGCACTGCGGGCGCCTTTGCCCTGTGCGCACTGCCTCAAGTTCATTTTTACACATGCAGCACCGGCACCGGCTGGGGTAGCCGCGAGCCCGCTGATCTTCTCCCTGGCAAACGAAGAACAAATCACTCAAAGCGACAAGCTGAGGACAAGAAGAAAATATCCAATGTGCCGTACATCAATGCCTAGCAGTGTTCAAAATACCCGATTTGTGTCTTTGTGTCATGCAGTGCTGGTCCCAAAACGGACCCTTCCAAAGCCCTGCCAAGATAATTGCACCGGCCTGAACGGCACCCTTTCTATCACCTTTGGTAATCCAGCACCTGAGCAGTCGAGCTATGCGGAGCGAGCACAGTGGGGGCTATCACATTGCCTCATCCAAAAGACAGCAGGTCGGGGTAGTGACGCAATGTGTTGCCGTGAATTATTTATTTTCGAAAAGCCTGCGGAAAGGCGCAGAGAATATGCCCGTGATGATTCAAGTTGAACCACCTTGACTGCAATCATTTTTAAATTAGTAAAGCTTTGAGGGGATGTGGTTCTGGGGTGCGCTGCCGAGTGCGAAAAGTGGACCACACCGTGCACACGGCCCGGGCGACACGGCACAGAAATTTATATATTACACAACCTCTCTACTCAGCAATCACCAGAAGCGTGAGTGTGAGAGGCTGGCACCCGTCCTCAACGGGTGTACACCATCAGCAACTTGGGCTCCTCGCTCTTGCCTCCCAGGCGTTTTACCACATCCTGGATGAAACCCGCTAGACTAGCTGAAAGCAGCATCTTATGCACCTCCTTGCAAGGACCAAGCGTGAGACGAAGCGTCGAGAACCTTGTAGGAGCAGGCAGGTAGGCTACGCTAGTCGCTTGCTGGCCTCTCATTGGGCTATCTTGGCCCCTCCCAAGCAAATCCTACTCCATTAAAAGGCAGCCAAGGACGACGTCATGGCTTCGCGCAGGGTGACAACTACGCTACTCGTCCTGCTCACGCTCCTCCTGGCGGGTACAGTCATCGTGCTTGGCTCGGTATGGGGCTACTTTCACGTCGACCGACAGGCGATGATCCACCCGGAGGAGCTGCTGCTCATCTCGAACCTCCGTGCAGATTTCGCGAAAACGGCATGGACATCTGCGAACGCAAATGGTCACGCAGACAGCTCAGGGAGACAGAAACAGGAGCAGGATGGACTGCTAGCGCCCTATTCGCCCATATCGAGCTGGCTGCCGAGCTGGCTCCTCAACTCTATCCCAGGCGACGCGGGGTCAGATTCTGAACCGTCTGCCCCGCATACACCCACATTAGCAGGCTCCTCGGCAGTGCAGGCCGCGGAGCCAGCAACAATAACTTCCGCACAGGAAAATGTCACATTAGCGGGCTTGGGCGACCCGTCTCTGTCCTTGCATGCCTACGGGTCAATCCCAGAAGGCGATTTTCATGCTGGCCAAAGCTTCAATTCCAAAGCCACACAGGGCCTGTCATCCATGCGGCTACCGCCTGGGCCAGATGAACAGATTCCTCGCCTTATTCATCAGACCTGGAAGTCAAGTGTTCTGCCGGAGCGATGGCAGGCGATTCGCGCCGAATGCAAAGACATGCACCCTGATTAGTGAGTTGTCTCCTGCTCGAAGACATATGTTTCCCAGGCATCATACTGAATGTGCACGACTCTCTCTAGCGACTATGTTCTGTGGACCGACGCAGACTCTCGGGCGTTTATCAAAAAGCACTACAACTGGTTCCTGGAAACCTTCGACTCGTATCCCTTTCCCATCCAAAGAGCCGACGTGATCCGCTACTTTGTCTTGTACCATTACGGAGGCGTGTACATGGATCTCGACATTGGCTGCCTTCGGCCGATGGACCCGCTTCTCGCGTTCGAATTGATCTTGCCCGAGACCATACCAGTTGGAGTATCGAACGATCTGATGATGTCGGTGCCGCAGCATCCATTCATGAAAAAGCTGATTCAGCAGTTGCCAGCCTTCAACCACGACTATATGCTGCCCTACCCAACAGTCATGTTCAGCACCGGTCCCATGTTCGTCAGTGCAAGCTACAGCATGTGGGCCGACGCAAACGGCATCGCGATGCCCTCTGCTTTGCGGAAACCGAAGCGTGGGCTGCGCGGTATCCGCATATTGGCCAAGTCGCTCTACGGGAAGAATCTGGATATGGAGATTGCCAAGCAGCAGGCGTTCTTCAAGCACTTTTACGGCTCGTCGTGGCATACGAACGATGCTGGGTTCATCATTCTGCTGCGAGACGTCGGCAAGTACCTCTTCCTCATCGGTGTCGGCGTCATCGTGTACGGCATAGTGCGCAAGGTTGGCTTAAGGCCCCGGGGTCGGCTCCGCGGGCTCCGCGCGGTCATCACCAAGACGCAGGTAAAATTCGCTGGCTCCTCGATCCGCAGCGGCAACAGCTCTCGCAGCCATAGTGTCAGCCCAACGCCTTTTAGCAGTTGGTCTCGCAACCACTCGCAGGATGGGTTATGGGGCCATTCGCCCAGCGCTTGCGCGGCCGTTAAGGAGAAGGAGATGCTCCAGCATCAGCTGTGGCTGCAGGGCACGAAAATAGGCGGCGAGCCGTTCCTGCTGCGTCCGCAGCCGCGGAAGGATCTCACCATCTTCCTCGGCAACAAAGGCAGCTCGGGCAACGGAGACGAGTTCGGCCTCAGCGGATCAGGGTCAGGGTCAGAAGTCTCGGCATACGAGTTCGACGATGAACAAGGTGCCGCGCAGTACTTGCTCCGGTTTGGCGATACGCTCGATGGGTCTTTTCAGCGACTGCGAAGAGCCATCTTCCACGGCGGCCGAACACCCTCACCAACGCAAAGTTTCCACCCTGATCCTGAGTCGAACCCCAGCCTCGCGACGGCCATAACTGCCAATGACGAGCACGAGCTGCAGGACTTCCCAGTATCCACCACATCGCCCGACCGGCGGCTGTTCCGATCGTTCTGGTGACGGCGCCAGGGGCTTTTCCGCTTTATAGACATCCCAGACTTTGTTCCATCCCCATTTGTACTAGTACACAAGCTGCAAAATCTTTGTCCGCGGGCCAGAGGTTCCACATACCCTCATCATTTGCATTCTGACAGCCGCTTCTGCTGAGATTGCCACAAGAGTACGGCGCGCATTGGAGAGTGCTACTCGACTCTACAGGCTATTTGATCTGTCTAGCCGCAAGCGCTGCATTGGGCGCACTTTCCGAGCTCGAGTCGTGCTCTGCGCTACCGCCGGCGACCGCTTCGCTCGGAAGGATGAGCAGGATGACGATCGGCAAAACGAACATCCAATACTTCCGCAGGAAACTTGTCTCGACTGGTGGAACTTCCGCCGTGCCGTCTTCGCGCACGGGCACCGGCTGCTGCAGTGGTGGGCTGAGCATTAGATAGTGAAATGCAAGCCGATGGGTCAGCTCGGGTTGCGTGTCGACTGTGGCCAAAGCATCGAGGTGGAGGAAAGGATGAGTCAGGCAGGCATACCACACTCACACTGGTGGCTTTTGGGGCGTAGAGATTCGCACGTGCAGACTATCCTCTGCTCGTTCCACTGCATACGTACCCGCCTCAGAAGCGAAAGGGCAGCCATTCGCATCGAGCATAAGATCAGGCACGGCGTACTTGATCGCGTATGGCTTGAGTGTTAGCGACTCGGCTTTGGATAAGAGCGGCGGCAACGTTGGTGATAGGTTCACTGTCAGTGCATGCGCTCGTGGTGTGCTCAACTGGCACTGAGAGAGCATTCATGAAGGTGCACCTGTCAGTATCTCGTGACGCTGGGGCTGTCGTAAGATGAAAAACTCACGAGTTTCGCTGCTGCAATGGGCCCTTCGCTGCCCGCGACCGGTTTCTTCGCTGCCGATGGTTCCCCTTCCACAAGTGTGACCTGATACCAGCTGAGGGTACCATCAGTGGATTCATTCTCCTTGATTAAAACGTCCCATTCCGACTGGCTGATGAGATTTTCGAGATGATGCACATAAGTCGGCGCAGCTTGCAACGCGGGTGCGGACTGGGGTTCATGCGCGTACCCGCGACTGAGACTGCTATCGCCCTTCGGCGCTGCTGACCTGTCGTAATGCTTGATTTCGAGCTTTGCACGAGGGAACCATGCTGAACCTTGCGCTTTGGGGCTCACCACTCGATGCAACAGCGTGTATATCGAGGAGCTTGGTGCTGGTGGATCCGCTTGGCTGGGTCCTTCTTGCTGGGCTCGTGTCAATTGCACGCCGAGCAGTGCCAGGCAGACGGTCTCAATCCTCATTTTGCTCTCCCTGGCCCAGGATTCCTTTCAGACCTTACGGTCAGCTTTGGGGTGTGGCTCAGGTATCAATTGAACGAACAGCAATACTGCATTTCATGAGGTCGACTATACGCATACGGCTCATAATACCTCAGGGCGTCGTGTACTAAGGGTTCCTTATTCCTTTTGTTGCAACTTCTCGATCGCGCCGTTCCGCTGCAAAAGCGATGCGTCTGACAGAGTCACGCGTCGGGCGTTGAGGGACGCCATCTCTATTGTCGACCACCATTGGAACTTGGGCTTCAACAAGATGCGTAGCTGAGGACGGGGACAGATCGAATGTGCAGGCCGAGACCACGTTTGCGTGGCAAAGCCCGCTGTTGCTTACCGTACCATCGTGGTGCAGCATGAAGCCCCACCGCCGGTTCTCGACTGGACGTAGACGAAGGGTACGTATCGTCGCCGCACTTGCTGCCGCCGTGTCTCTGGTCGTCAGCCCTATCCTTGCCGACCCAGCAACCTCGAACGGAGAGTCATTCACAGAGACCCTTACGCTTCGGCCGCTCGTCGATGGGCGCGTACACGCCTTTTTCGAGTTTCTCATCAAGTCGACCGCCACCCCCGCTTCCAGTGACGACACTGGAGGATGGGACGGTGCAAAGAGCACACCTAGCGATCATTTTCGGCTTCTCCCCCGCTCCCTGATCCAAATAGCTCGCGCTACGGGCGTTGAAGATCTTTCATTGTCGCTGCACCGCGGCACCTGGGACTATGAACGATGGGGAAGCCCGCTCTTTTGGGATGAGCGAAGCGCGAGCGTCCAAGGGGACGATGCAGTCGGCGCTGGTGCCGAAATTTGGGCGACCATCAGTGCTCCTGCAACGACCAAATCGAAAAAAAGGACATCAACTACGAATATGGGCATGGAAGGGATGGCGCAATACATTTCGCAGACCGCGGCGGCAGACCTAAGTCCTGTCCCGATCATCGACTCGGTCATGGCAAGATGGAGGACACTCACCGCGTCTTTAGCGGGCATATTCTGTGCCTCATTAGACGCAGCGGACGACAAAGTCGCCGTGAGACCTTTGCGTGATGGCGAAATTTATTCTGCAGACTGGACCACATCCTCGGGCGCCGCTACCGAACGCCTCTATGCCGCATTACCCTCGGAGAACATATGCACCGAGAACCTCGCTCCATTGCTGAAACTGCTGCCGTGCAAGTCCAGCGCCGGGCTTGCTCAATTGCTCAGTCCACATGCTGTCTTGAGCTCTGGCTTTCACGGTCTATATGTCCGTGTCTTCAAAAAGGGCAGTGGCTGGGAGGTCAAGCTGAATTTCCAAGCAGTCTTCAGCCCAATGATTGACCACGAACGGCGTGCGATTCTCAGGCGAGGTGAGAAAGTTACATCTTGTGAGCCAATTTGGCTCTCAGCTGACCTCTTTATTCTCCTCAGATTGGTCCATGATGACACTTTTTGGGCGTGAAGTCACGCGCTCGTGCCCGCTCGCCGACACCTCGACAGTGACTGTCATGCGGCCTCCGACGCTCAAAAGCGGTATTCAAGACAATATCGTGCTGAGTCCGCAACCCATGATGTGGGAACAGCTTCTACTCTCGGATGCCGACTTTTCGGCGGAGATGGACGCTCAAAAGGACGCTGCGGATGACATTGAGGACTCCGTCGAGGCCAAAAAACATCGCAGCAAGACGCGCTTCGCCACGATTTTCCAACGACAACAATCGGTCGCATACAACGCTAAGGAGCTCTGGCGGTATCCAGAAGCACATCTCAATGTTGGCCTCAGCTGGCCAGACGAGCAGGCATTCCGTTTTCGTGAGTCGTCCATATACGACATCTGCCTAGTGCATCGCTGATGTTTTCGACCAACCGCTTTCGACAGCTACGCTCGGGTCGCTGCCAGCACCGCCATCACTGACAGCATCGCGTTCATTGATCAGCTCGGGACAAGAAGCGGGCCAGGTCGTCTTGAGAATAAGCAATAAGGACATCCTGCATGAGCGTCGAGTGTTATATACCGAGTCGCTGCCATGGCTTTTGAAGCCATATATGCATACCATACGTATCGACGTACGCACTGACCAAGCGAGTTTGAAGGGGCACACACCTTCCGAGGACGAATCCCGAAGGGTCTACTTCCGAGACGAGCTCGAACCTCCCTTCCTACTCTCACTCGCACACCAACCTCCTGTGCCTCGCGAGCGAAGCTTTCTTCTTGAGGCGGAGCTGCGTATTCCACCGTCCAGTACACTCATTCTTACCTATGATGTTGCGAAGGCCTACCTTCGATACACCGAGCACCTTCCAGATGCGCACAGAGGATTCGACCTCCCCAGTGCCGTCATCACACCGCTGTTGGACAGCTCAAGTCGACAAGGTCTGGCGGTACTGCAGCAAGCACGCATTTACACGCAGCCCGCGCTGCTCGAAGTCGCCGTACCCGACTTCAGCATGCCGTACAATGTGATTATCATGACCTCAACGATCATCGCACTCTTCTTTGGCAGCGTCTTCAACAATCTTACCCGAAAGTATTCGGACATTTTCGTGAAATGAAGCACCATCATACTGTTCTGAGAGTAATCCTTACTGCCGGAAGGCCAATAATACAATCTGCCTTTGTCCTTTCGGGTATGTATGCCTGCACTGAAGTGAGAAGATGTTGGATTAGAACGAGAGTGATGCGTGGACTTGCGATGCAAGAACACACACGGACATGGCGGATCGTGAACGAGGCGCAAGGTGTACAACGAGAGACAGACCGAGTTGTTAGCGGTACATCACAAAAACCCGCTTTCCTGAAGCAGACGAGCAATTTTCTCGTCGTCTCGTTCTCTTGGCTCGAGCAACAGAGACTGTTGATACAGATCATTGTCGCTGCGGGTGTCCACCAGGTTGTCATTGATGAACTTCTGAATGCCTGGCACTGTCGTCAAATTGAATCTACGCGGGGGAAGGGAGAGGGGAAGATCAGAACATGAAACACACGTGCAGACCATGAGCCCACCTACGGAGTGCTCTGGTAGATCATGATCTCCTTGACGACCTCTGCAGTCTTCTGACGCTTGCCAAAGTTGATGAGCCGCTCATCCGTCTTGAGCCGATCAGGATTACCGTCCTCAATGAATGTCAAGTCGGTTAGGTACACGCCTGTGTAAAGTACAGAGTCAGCACGGCGGCTTTCCATTTGATTATCCGACACTCACCGAGGAAAGGAACACAAGGTGGGTTGAGTTTGTGGATCATCTCCCGATAGTCGGCAAAGTTTTTGCTCGACTGCATGACCTTGTTCAGAGATTCAAGAACTGTGACGTGCTTTTGATTCACCTGATCCCACGTTCGGCGCAGACGATAGACTGGCGCAGAATTGAGACCAGAAACGATCGCTGTCATTGTTGAAAAGTTCTGTAGTGCTCGACATCGGTCTGCGATGGCAATGAACTGCCTAACCCATAGTGCTCTCTTCTTTAGGTCTTCTTGCATCAAGATGGCCTCAGCGACCCAGCCGGTAATCTGTCCGATGGCAAGAGAGTCAGCGGCACGTCTGATCCGGTTCATGTCCAAGGCGTACCCTGTTGCTGGTGTTGATGGTGTCTTTGATGCCCGGTGCTAGCTTGTCTGCATCCTTCTTGGACCAACTCTTGTCCAAACACTCAAAAGGTTTGATGCGACAAAATAAGGTGCTGTCGAGGAGTGTGAGCTGACGCGCCATCTCCAGGGGATCTATGTCTAAAAACTTGATCTTTCGCAAGTTCTTTGGTAGCACCGGCGGTGGTGCTGAATTTGGCATGACCATCTTCCGCACCTGCATCTCCCCATCACCTCGCCTCCTCTCGATCAGTCGCACGAGTTGCTTAGACGCGAGCGCCATCGACGGCGTTGCTGCCATCTCGTTCTCGGCAAACCTTCGAATGCGTTCAAGGTACTTCTCGTCCTCTCCTTCGTAGAGATACGTCTCAAGCCAAGACTTGAGGACGTTGAACACTCGAAGCTGAATAGGTTGCTGCTTCTTTTCAACCCACATCTCCTGCTCCAGCGCCGAGAGGCTTGAAGGTATGGCAATGCGAAAGCGAGCGAATAGTAGGTCGAGGAGCTCGTGCGTTGTGGTGAACGAGCGATAGGTCAGCAGAAAGGTATTGTTGAAGTTGGCATCTAACAGGGCAAGCGATCAGGTACAGTCCCACTTCTCGAGAAGATTGCTCTCGCTCACCGAAATTCTTGTGCATGGTCAAACGCTCCATCAAAGCACCTAACGTGGCACCCTTGACTTGACCATCGCTGTTCATGACAATATCATCGGGCGAGTAGTCGACTTCGAGGAACCAGGGATCCGCCTCGACGCGTTTTGCCGTAGCCGTCGCTTCGAGTTCCTTGGAGCTGGGCTCGTCGCCAAAGAATTTCTTAATCTTGTCAGATAGTGGCGACTTGAAGTCCCCGTCCTTGTCGAGGCCCTGCGAATCTTTTCGTCGATTCGCCAATGCTGACGCAGCTGTCGAGGATGAACGGCCTCGGTTGGCAAGGCTAGGTCGTGAAGCCAAATATCGATTGTCACCGGGTGATTTGTCGGGCCCAGCAACCCCAGGCCCGGAGTAGAGCACGCCGCCGCGTCCATCATCTCCAGCTGCCCCGTCATCGACTGAGGCTTCTGTGAGTTGCTCGGTGGACGCTGCGGCTGAGAGAGCGGGCGCTGGAAGATCAACGACGCCGTACACCTTGGCTCTCGCCCCAATCTTTGCATGCCCGCATGACTGCTGCTCAGTAGCAACTTGCAGCAGCTGCTGAAGTAGATCCTGCACATCGCCGCTTGACAGCAAGAGCGCATCGACGCGATTGAGGATGCCCTGTGCAGTCTCTTGCTCGATTGTTGCTTTGAAGGTTGAGGAGACAGCGTCCTGTGCATCCACTAGAATCTCAGACGCGGCGTCGAACAGATCTTGCTTGGCCTGTGCAAACTCTTGCGCGAGAGTTCTTGCTTTGAGGACCAGATTGTCAGAGAGATCTGATGGATCGAGGCCTGTCTTGCCAGGTCCGTCAAAGTCGAGCGTGCTCGCGAGATCGATATCTTCCAGCAGACCGAGGTAGGTACCTACGCGCTGAAGCACCACTTCGGCCTGCCCGAGCAAATCGCTCGAAAGCGGCGGCGAGTCAATGCGATTGTCAGCCAAGCTCTGCTCATGATTGAGAGGCTTCGGCGTCTCGGATCGTTCCGGTGTGGATGCAGTCAGTGAGCCTGTGCGCAGGAGATTTCGAAGGCCGAGAAATTGGAGGCGCAAGTCATCGTGCTGGGGCTGCAGCACTTCGGCAACATTGCGCGGCGAGAGTTGCTGGTTCGGCCGTCGACGAAGCGCTGTCCGACCCGATTGAAGCAGCGACCTTGTTTCGGGTGTGAGATCGAAAGGATTGGTGAAGTGCCCTATTGCATCCGCTCGCAGCGCTGCTGTCTCCCTTGCCGAAGGCAGTACAAAACCGCTTCCTCGCCACGATGCGGCTGATCCGCCGCTCAAAGATTCGGGACCCACGCCGGCTGCGCCTTCCCCGCTCTTGAGGATCCCATCAAGCCGTCGTGGCCAGTTCAGGCTCGACCCAGTTTGCGCGGCCGCGCCTCTGTGCTTGTCCAGTTCTGCAGAGAGTGTGCTTGCAGCTCGCAGCAGATCCGTTGCGTCTTCTCTCACGCGCTGCCTCCGCTGCTCCATCCTGTACACCAAGATCTGCGCCGACTCAAGGTCGACAGGGGTGTGCGCCGCGTCAAGTTTGTTGAACTCGATGAGGGTTCGCGAAGAGAGAATCAGCTTGGAGAGCGACTGGATCACCTTTCGACTGGTTCCCTTGAGCGAAGGCTGGATGAGCTTCGGAGACTGCGTCTTGGTATCAGCGCTGTTGTTTAGCGCGGAGATCTGGGGGCCGACAATGTACTGCGCCAACGCGAGGTCTGGGGCTGGGAAACAATGCGCATAGGTGGTATTGCTAATGTCATAATCGGTAACGTTCTCCAGATCTTCAGGCGTCAAGGCCATGCCGCCAGCCGAGTACAGTAGCGCTCGGACAGACTGCAACGTAGAAGCGACGGCGCTGGACAGTTCCGCGCCGACAAGGTCGCCTTCTGTCTTGGACCGAGTGCCGAATTCGGAGATTATGGACATGACCTTGCTCATGCTTTCCGCCATCGACTCCTGCAGCCCGGCAAGCAGTACGACGAGGTTCTCCCGCGGCTGGAGCGCGTATTGCAAACTCGCAGCCTGCTCCGCCTCCTTGAGCAGAGCCGGCGGCGCATCCAGCAGGGCCTTGGGCTCGGCAAGCCGCTTGCCGGCGCTTCCGATAGCAGCGTATGGCGCAGCGGCCATCCCACTGCGCGCGCCCTGCGCGGCCAAAAGCTTGTGCGGCGACTTACCTGGTGCACGCAAATTGTGCAGGAGCGAATCCGCGTCCGAATCGTCTGATTCGAACGACCCCAGCGTGATGGCGCTCGGACGGCGGATGGAATCGCGGAAACTTGCCGTCGTCGCATCAAACTTTTTCGCGTCCGAGCCTGTAGCAGAAGCAGACGGCAAGTCCCATCGGGTTTCTTTTGTATCGATGTTGTAGTAGAAGAACGTCTGCTCGTCATCTGTGAGGCGAACGAGCCAGGGATATTTGATGTCACCTGCATCTGCTGGCAAGTAGTCGATAGCATTGCCGGGCGGGACATCCAGCATTGAGGGAAGCGTGCCCGTTGTGGAACTGGTCGCCTTGCTGCCAATGCTGATCAGCCCAGAAGAGAGCTTGGACGTGTTTGATTCGGTTGTGTTGGAGCGAGATTGACGAGTGCAGAGAGAATCGGGCGGATGCGTGAGATTTGGCGAGGCGTGTCGATCATCGTCTGGCAAACGCCGCGTCACCTTGAGCGGCCGTACGAGCGAGGCGGACAGCCCGGCTGCCGAGGGTGGAGAGGCGACCGCGGAGGTACCAGCCGCCGTCCAGGCTCCATCTTCGTCGCTGCTGGAGACGTGCGTGTTGGGCGTGCCGTACTCTTCCACGGGTTGATCGCGAGAAGTTGCCTATCCCGGCGGAGGTCGAAAAGAGTCAGCAACTACATTCTGTCACGAAGGTCGAATTGTCTCAACAGCCTTAACCCACCCCTGGCATGCCAAGTCGCGTTCCCAAGTCTGTCGCCGCTCTGGGCCGATGTTGCACCGAAGACGCACGACTGTTCAATGCTTCCTGTGATATCGACTGGCGCCTGGACTCGCCATTGCGCGCGTTCCCACGCTTGCTGAGCGAGCCGTTGCGGCTCTGCACACGGCTCCTTTCGCCCGCACTGAGCCGATCTTCGATCGTCGTCGTGCTGGAGCTGTCCTGCTCTCCTTCGCTGCTACCCGCGCCATTGGCGTCGTCGCCACTTCCACCGCCACCGCGGCCGTTCTCTCGCCGCGTCCTGCTGCCGTTGCGGCTGCGCCTGCCGGAGTGGTGCTTGCCCGAGGACATGGCAGCTTCCGCCAGCTCCTCGAACGCGTCCCCGTGCCCGGACGAAGAGAGGCCTTCCCCAGACATGAGGGCGCGCAGAGTATCGAGGTCGCGTCCGAGGCCGAGACCATCAAAACCGGACGTGCTGATCGCGCTAAGCGAGCTGTAGTCGAGCGTGCCGCTAGACCCTCCGCTGCCCTGATGGTTCAGCATGTTGGCCTCCGACGATGCCGATAGTGAAGAGGAAGTTGCAGTTGAAGCGCTAGCAGACTTGGCAGTGCCTTGCGCCTCTGCGCTCTTCTGCATCAGGTGCTGAGCGCGCGCACGAAGCTCCCGCTCTGCCTCTTCGTCGCTAATGATCTCAACATAATTGCTGGGGAACCAGCCCCGGACATCGTTCCCAAGCAGGCCGTCCCACCATCCGCTCTCGAGCTGCGTCAGAACTTCGATCAGAGCGCCCTTGCGAAAGGAGAGCGATGACGAGTCTTCGGATGAAAAGTCGTACAGAGCGCGCACGAAGAAGGAGACGCTCTCCTCGCCATCGACGTCCATCCTGCTGACGTCTTCGCTGCCGGCGCCGCTGTATTCATTCGCGTCTGTTATGACTGTCATCCCTCTGCGTCCCATGCGCGAGCTATCAAATGCGCGCTAGTAGTTCGTATCGCAAGGCCGGTTGTGCTCGCTGCTGCTCGGTGTGCTGTGGTAAGTCCATTAGCAAGCCACAAGCCACCGCGTTACGTGTATGCGGTGGATGCAGGAGTGATTGCCTGTGCCTTGGTCAGTCCATTAGATCCAGAGGGAAGATGCGCGTCCGCAAGAAGTTGTTTTCCGACTTTCGAAAGAAGCCCCAACGCCGTTTTGTTTCACTTAGCGTTGGTTGCTCTGGGCATCATGTGAATCTTTTCCCCTCCAAATGTGCACGCGTTTGCTGTCCGCTGCGCTTCTCCTTGTGTTCGTTTGTGGCGAATATCCTTATTTGGCGCCTGGTCTGGTCAACGCTGCTCGTCGACGAACGCGAGGGATGTGAAGACCGGTCAAGTAAGCCATGTAAGGGGGTAGGACGATCACCTGCTCGTCAGGCGGCGGTTCACGAGATTCCGTGGTCCTGTCCGGACTTCAGGACCAGCGAGTGCTTCCTACGCAGTGATCCAAAAGCCTGTCCTGTGATGGTCCGTCTGCAGGACCGTTTGAGAGGAGACCGTGAGTGGGATGTGTCGTTCCATATGACAAAAGGGTGGATGACTGAAAGACTTGATCGCAACCTCGCGGCTGGTGATTGGTTTCGGTTCACAAACCCCAATCTCTCACCAGCGGCGGCTGCCACTTTTTGTTCTGCCCACCAACCACGTCCTCAATTGTCAATCTCGACTCGATCCTTCCAAGGCCTTTCATCCTCACATCTCCACCCTCTCGGGCACGTGCATGTATGTGATACAAGCCTTTCATCACAATCCAATATACAAGGGTAGCTAGACACACCGAGCGCGCAGACGCCGTGCGCCGCAGCGTAGGTTGATTACCCAAGGACTCGTGGGCGACCATCAAGGTCCAAGACCTGAATCAAATGGACGCGCACTCAATGTATAGACAAGCCTGGTGCACCCATAGCCTCGAACAGCAGACAGGCAATTGAATTGCAGACCGCGGACAGCGGCTACCTCACGCTCCATTGCTCCTACACCCTCGCACTCATCCTAGTAGATCTTGTCAGCCGGAGGAAAGGTTGGAGGCGTCACTGGAAGGCTGGTCTATGTTGGCTTTTGTTACCTGTGTACATACTCTCCGCGTGTGCGCCAAACTGGAGGAAAAAAAGAATTGCGGCGCGCCTTTGAACCAGCCGCGCCACACGTAGCAGTGCGCGGCTGGTTGCCCAGTGCCCTCCCCCTTTTGAGTGAGACTCTCCTCACTACGTAGAATTCTTGTGAGACATCCTTGTTATGCTCTCGAAACGGTGACAAAGGAAAGATTAACCAATTTGCACCCTCTCCAACAGGCTCCAACATTCATATAGCCCTTCTACGGATACTCCCATCTATCGAGCTGTCTGCATGACTGTGAGGAGTAGTTTGAGCCGTAAATTGTGAGATGTCCATTCGCGTGGTCGGGCTGGTACGCAGCAATCAGTCACGTGCAGACTACTTGCGCCAACAGCTGTCTGATCAGGCTTGTCATACTGGTATCTGGATTGTGTTCAAACACACACACGCCCACATCTTCGTGAAACCGTCCGATACGATCGGAACAAGGGGCGTGTTACATTTGTGGCGGTGTCCGCATTTCCTTCTTGGCATCTCCATGCTCGTTTCGCAATATTCGGGCCATGATCACCGCCCTCTTCACATATTCACAAGAGTTCTCCAGTCAAGTTTTACTTAGAGAACTACCCACGAGTGTATATATACCCGGAGAGGGGGAAATCCCCTCCAAGGCTCGAGCGATGCGTTTGTAGGTCTGCTTGTTGCTTTCTTGCTGTGGGGTGAAGAGCTTTATGATGGAACGACGTAAATGAGTTCGTCCAACGCGATGAGGGGTGCAGACCGTCTACAAGTGACTGAGGATAAGCCATGGAGTGGCGAGGAAGAGAGGGCGATTACCATCAATAGCAGTGCGCACCATTGACGAAAGCATAAAGAATGTAACAAACAACACCACTCGGCCATCACCTTGACGGAGACGGGAGTTGCGCTCGCTTCTCTGCCTTCACCTCATGCCCCATCTCAACGCTGTCCTCACAGCTATAACCCACATCGATCAAGACGGACCATCTTCAGGCACCCCGTATCCCACTGCCAGCCTCCACGACAACGTCCTGAGATTAGAGGATCAATATGAAGGAGACCGATGCAAGCAAGATCCCCGCCATGCCCCCGGCTGGCGTCTCAAACAGTCTTGCCGCAAGCAGCGTAGCCAGCACGTTTGACGATGCTGCAGGCGGCCCATTTCGCAGCGCTCGCACCTCCGCCCTGGCTGGACGCAAGTTGGCCCGTGTCGAGAGCGAGAGTGGTAACGAGGCAAACATTACCAACCTGCATCAACAGCGCTCGACGCTGATCCACCACGAGAAGCCAGCCAGTTTGCCGCTGCCGTGCGGCGACGATGGAGACGGTGACGACGCGCCAACGGCAGGGCTGGGTTACCCGCTCTTCGACAACGACCTGCTGTGGTCGCAGCGCTCGTGGCTCTACCAGCTGATGCCATTTCGAGGGATGTATTACGATGTGCGTAGGCGCTTGCCCTTCTACGTCTCGGATTGGTCTGCAGCGCTGTATCCGCGCAACTGGTTCACGATCGCTGACTCGATCGTAAGAATGTACTTCATCAAGTGAGTCCAGATCGCTTGATCTTGCTTCCCGGGCTCCGATGGAGGAGCCTTGAATGACGGGGCATCAAGGTTGTCCCTCATGTGCTTGGGCTGACACCACCACCACCGCCACGACGGTCCTGCTGCTGTTGTACTTCCTTTGCCTGCAGCCTCATGCCGGCGATCGCGTACGTGTTGGATATGAACTACCGCACCGGCGGGTCATACGGAATTAATGAGGTAATCCTAGCTTCGGCACTCGCCGCCGTCGTCTTCCCACTCTTTTCGGTCCAGCCGCTTACCTTTGTCGGTGTCACGGGTATGTTGGCGGCCGAGCAGGCGCGATTTCACCGAGGTCCTCGGCATTGGAACCGAGCGCTTCTGACAAGACTCACTGTTGCTCCAAACGCTTTGTATGGCTCCCACAGGTCTGATCAATCTCGTCAACTACACGCAATACAACCTCGTCACCAGGTATTATGGCTTTGACAATATGGACTACCTCCGCTTCCAAACGTGGACCCTCGTCTGGGCAGCTGGCTTCCATTTCGTTGTCGCCATCTTCAACATTTGCGACTTCACCAGGTTCATCACGGATGTGAGTTGACACTTCCGCAGATCACTACGGGTGGTGTCCGTGCTGATTTACGTGGGCATCGTTGCTAACCCTTTTTCACATCAGATGACGAGCTCCACCTTTGGCTTCTACGTCGGCATCGTCTATATCCAAAAGGGCATCGAGCTGCTGATCGAAGAGTTCGAGCCGCTGCCACTGAATAACACCACCGGCTGGCTGAGCGTGACGATCGCGATCCTGTTCACCGTCTCAGTCTACCTGGTCGGCAAAATGGGCAAGACGTCCTTCCTGCCGTTCCGCGTGCGCCAACTCGTCGCCAGCTATGCCTTCCCCGCTGGTATCCTCTTCTGGACCGGCTTCAGCCACTTCCCCGAGAACTCTCTGCGGCAGGTGCCCATCGAGGGCCTCCCGATCACGCGCGCGTTCTACCCCACGCTCGACCGCTCGTGGTTCGTTGACTTTTGGCAGATCGAGCTCAAGTGGGTCTTCATCGCCGCGCCGTTCGGCTTCCTCATCATGTTGCTGTTCTACTTTGACCACAACGTAAGTTCCGTCATGGCGCAGGCGCGCCAGTTCCCAGTCAAGACCCCCGCCGGCTTCCACTGGGACTTCTTCCTGCTCGGCATCACCACACTTGTCTCGGGCTTCCTCGGCTTGCCTGCGCCGAACGGTCTCGTCCCGCAGGCGCCCGTGCATACCGATACACTGTCCATCTACAAGCAGGTGGACCACCAGGACCAGAAGCACATCCGTGAATGTGCGCCCACAGGCGCTGTGGTTGCTGGAGCCAAGTACCGCAGACAGGTGGTGACTAACACACGCGTGGTCGAACAGCGCTTCTCTCACTTCTGCATCGGTCTCCTAACTATCGCGACGCTCAGCCCGCCGTTCCTCAAAGCGCTCGGGACTATGCCGCGAGCTGTCTTTGCTGGCGTTTTCCTCCTCGTCGGATGGGGCAGCATTGAAAGCAACCCCATCGTCGCTAGGACGCTCGCTCTCGTCCAGGATAGGAAGATGGCCAACCCGGACGACCCGCTGCTGCAGCTGCGCCGTAGCAAGATCTTCCTATTTGTTGCCGTCCAGTGGATCTTCTTTGGCATGACCATGGGCATCAGTCAGACGATCGGTGAGTGTACGCGAGATATACAGAGCGAGACAGCAGCAGAGAGTCTGACCCTGCATCCTTTCATTTAACAGCCGGCGTCGGCTTCCCTGTCATCATCACTCTGCTGATCCCCTTTAGGTACTTCATCATCCCCCGCTGGTTCTCTCCCAAAGAGCTCGCCACCCTTGATGCGCCCACAGCCGACGCCGCTGCCGTCTTATCCAGCATCGGCCATGAGTCGGAGCGCGTCACCGGTGTCGGCGTGCGGCTTGCGCAAGACACCAAGATCGCGGGTACAAAATGGGATGCCGAGGCCGAGAAGGCCCTCTAATTTGGTCATGGCCTCGACCAGAAGTTGCAGTGCGGGGGCCCGGATCGCGCGGAGGAGCAGCACAACGACGGCGATGACGCAAGATCACTCCGCAACCGCGCCTTCCTCCCTGTGTACGCTTCGCAAATCCCGGACAGCCTGGCGTCGCAGTCCTCTCTGAAAGGGCAAGCCGGGGCGGAGGCCATCACCTGTGCGGCCTTGGTGCGCACAAATGATGCAAAGGCGTACACCATCGAAGCCGCCGCTGAGACAGACGCTCTGGACGAGGGTGCGCGCAGGGCCGCCGCGGCAGTTGAGGCTGTCAAGGCTTTGCAAGGCGATAACAGAGCTGCGATGAGGGACTTGAATGGCGCATCTACTTCCTTCATCGTCAGTGAGGTCAAGAGCCCACCGGCGCATGTTGTTTCGATGGCACCTGTGGCTGAGGGCAAGGATGACAAGGCCATAGCCTCTGCTGTGCAAGCTTCGAACGAGGAGCCGACAGCCAACTCGATGGACCAAAAGCTTGCGGACGTTAAGGATGCGAGCAAGGATGGCAACGAGGATGTCCCCGCTGCAGCTGCACTCACTGCTGCTGAGACCAAATCCAAGACGAAACCGGAGGACGCGAAAGCAGCAAAGGTCGCCGAGAAGCTGCGTAAATGCAAGGTGAAGGAAGCCGAGAAGAAGCGCCACGCCGAAGAGAAGCGTGCCGCCAAGGAGGACGCGAAGCGACGCAAGCAGAACGCAATAGACGAGACACAACGGAAGATGCAGTTCGCCAAGGCGGAAGCGACACGCAAGAAGCAGCTTGCCAAGGAAGAAGTTGACAGAAAGAAGGAAGAGGTGCGCAAGGTCAAAGATAAGAAGCGCGCGGAGGCCAAGCGCGCAAAGTCGATGAAGAATGACAAGCGCGAGTCGGCGGCGGCGATTGTTACGCCGGCCGAACACAAGGACACACCCGACACCGACGCCGATACCGACAGCAAGACCGCAGAGGCTGTCGCCTTTAATGCTTCCGGAGATGCCGCGGCCGCTAGAGCCGCCCAAAAAGATGCGCAAAGGACAATAGGTACCCCTGCCGCAGGAGAAAATGCTCAGACGATACCAACTGCGAAGTTCGTCAGCGAGCCTCGCAAGGATGAGAAGGCGGCTGAATCGGCCAATGCCCCCGCTGTGCTTGCCGTACCACCTAACACAGAAAATTCCGTTCAGGCGCCAGCGCCTGTCAATCACACAGATCCCTACGCCTCTCTGGATGCCCACAAGGTCGCAAAAGAGCCATCCTCCGAGGCGGAAGACGAAGCTGCCGATGCCTCTAGTGCAGCGACCGCAACTGCAGCTGCAGCGGGCACGGTTCATGAGCATGAGAAGGAGGCCGAGCCTGAAGCCTCCACCAAGGCTGCTGAAGAAGGGAAAGCCAACGATACAATCCTGGATGGTGCTACCCTGGCTGTTGGTGCGAAGATTTGGCACAAGGTCGCCGAGAACTTGGGGAAAAAGACAGAAATGCCGGCTGCTGATGAGGCAGCAGACCAGGAGCGCACCGCAGATATGCTCGATTTTGCTGCAGGCAACGTCAAGCATATTCTGGAGAAGGCCGAAGACCAGGAGGCTAAAGAGTGTGAACCGCCCCGTGGTATCTTAAGGGAAATTGCCGACCATCTCAAGAAGGATGCGGAAAAGTTGACTGAGGACGCAAAGGACAAGGCGCGCACAACCAGCGTCCTGCAAATTGCAGCGACCCTCGTCAAGCATGGCAAGGGGGATTCGGAAGCAATGGAAGCAAAGCCCCGCAATCGTGCAGCCGATGCGCTTGAGGCTCTTGCAGCCAACGTCAAGAAAGGGACACGGAAGGGCAACCCCAAAGAGACAGGGAGTCTCCAACGGACTGCGAGGGTCCTTGCGCTTGCCGCTAGTCAAGTCAAGGAGGAGAAAGAAATGTCGGAGGTGGAAGTGGCTAAGGCACGCAAAGAAGCTGCTAACGCATACTCTGCTATTGCTAGCAACGTCAAGAAGGAGTCCGAGAAGCAGAAGGCCGACGATGCTGAAGGCCGAGAACGCGCTACGAGCGTGCTTGAAGTTGCTGCTGACACTGCCAAGAAGGAAGCGAAGCAAGTAAAAGCGGAGGATACTGAAGCCAAGGACTGTGCCGCAGGCGTTCTGGCTCTTGTCGCCAGTCACATCAAGCAAGGTCAAGCGAAGGCTGCGCAGGAAGAAGGCGACAGGCGTGAGCGGACCGCTAAATTCCTGGCAGCAGCTGCAGCGAGAGTCGAAGAGGAGCAAGAAAAAGCTTCTCGCGAAGCACACAAGAAGTCCGAGCGGGAAGCCAAAGCAAAGCGCGATGCAGAGACGTTTGCCGCAAAGGTGTGTTCGATTGACTGAGCCGGTCGGAATGGTTCTTGCTGACATCACGATGCGGTCGCAGGAGGAAAAGCGGAAGAAGAAAGAGCAGGAGATGGCCGCAAATGCGGCAGCCAAGGCTGCAAAGGCCGTACAGAAGGCTCGTGCGAAAGTGGCGAAGCGTAAGGAGGCCGAAGACAAGAATGCGGCAGCGCAATTAGCAGCTGCAGAGAAGGAGCGCGCAAAGTAAGAAACCCGGGCGCTTGAGCAGAAAGTTGCAATAGAAACGGCCGTCAAGGCGGCAGAAAAAGACTCGATGAAGACCACAGCTATGCCAGCCCCCATGACAAAGAAAGCCATATCCACGCCTCTGCCCAAGAAACGCGAAACTACGTCGGCATCGCAGTCGGTTGCCGCGACAAAGGGTTGGGAAGCATCGCCCGACATAATTGACACTTCTCAGGCAAGCGCTGAAGGCAAGCTCGAGGTTACCACGTATGCGGAGGCGAGTGCTGTCGACCCGTCGAAGAACAAAGCTGCTCCTGAGGGCACTGCTTCGGAAGATGCAGAGCTAGGCGCAGCCGCAGCGAGTGGTGATGCAGTGCTTGGGACGTCGAAAGGGGACGAGCTGGAGGACCCAGAAGCTACGGCATGTGAGAAGATCAAAGTGCTGAAGCAACAAAAAGCCGAACGCCCAAAAAAGGACACTGCTGTCGAAAAGCGCAAGACAAAAGAGAAAAGGGCCGAGCTTAAGCGTGTTGCTACGCGGCAGAAGCAGCAAGAGAAGCAAGAACGAAAAGCAAAGGAGCGGAAGCAAAAGGAGGAGCTCATAGCGAAACTGAAGACCGAAAAGCAGAGAGCGTGGGTGGAGAAAGAAGCCGCCAAGTCGGCTGCAGCTGCTAAGAAGCGTGCAGAAGGCCAGCGCAAAAAGCAAGAAATTGAAGAGAGGCGTAAAATCCAAGCCGAAAAGGATGCCGAGCGCAAAGCCAGAAAGGAGCAGCACGATCGCGAAAAGCGAGTAGCGGCTGAAAAAGCCAAAGGGCAAAAGAAGCAGCTCAAAGACATTCGAAAGATGGCCACGGCTGCCGCTTTGGTTGAAGTCGCCGCATGGCACGCCAAGGAGGTGGCCGAAGCGAACGAGGACTTGCAAGCTGTCAAAGCACAAAAGGCGCGCATCTCAAGCGATTTCAGGCCTGTGCGCGCCGCTATCACCGTGGAGCGATCTTCTACAAAATTCAAGTCCAAATCTGCTCGTATATCCGTGGACGCCACACGCCCCTCCCCAAAAACAGACGCAGATAAAGTCAGACGCAGAAAGTCGGTCAAGTCGCAGTGCTCTGCCGCGGAAAAGGGCAAAGGCCGCGCGCTGGACGTCCAATCTGTCGACAACTCTGTGGCAGACCCCAACAACGCCGAAAAGGCAGCTGTACTCGTCGAAGCTGAAATTGCCGGTGCCAAGAAAGAGAACAATGCGCACCCGCAGTTCAGCCCGAGCAAGACGTCCATCTCGCGTGAGTCTACAGGTACCGCGAGGAGCTCCACAGTCACGGTTATCAACCCATCCCGCGGGGGTCGCAAGCCTGCACCTGCCGTGCAGTGGCGCAAGCCTGAAGACTATTGATCGGGGCATAAATTTGGAACTCATCCCCCAACAAGCCTTCACTCATCCGACATCGCACACTCACTTTCGATCTCGTTTCTCTATTTGATATCATGTACACACTCTAAATACTATCGTGATCGGTGTGCGTTGTAATACAGAAGACTTGAAGATTTCACTTGCGTGAAAGACGTGCTCGCGGTCTCAATTTTCCCTCCACCCAACTCCAGCGCCGCGTCCGCCACCTCTTGCCATCGCAGGCAAGATGCCCATCGCCCTTGCCCTGCGAACAGCCTTACCGACGTTGCGCTGGCTCTTACGCGTCAGTCCGCTCTCGGCACGAGAGAAGATTTTACCCATCTCGGAGATGTAGCTGGTGAGCAGAGCGCCATTCTTGTAACTGTCATCTGCAAGCGACGGCTTGCCAGGGTTGAGGCGGAGCTTGTGCAGGATGTCTTGTGCTTCTGCTTCCTTCCGGCCGGGCCCAAGGAGAGGAGGAGCACGCCTCCGCCTTTGGAACTGCTCTTCTCCCGGCGCGTGCTCGAAGGTGGAAGGATTGTAGTACTAGATGTGACAGATGCAAGGAACCTGTTCAGCCTTGGGCATGACTCTTGCGACGACGAATGACTTACAGATCCCCAAATGAGACTTTGATACGGAGCAGGTTGAGATTTGAGCGATGGAGAATCCGCAGCTCCTGGCGTCCGCACCCAATTTCTCGAAATGGCATTTCTTGCTTGCCTCCTTGTATCGAACAAATTGGCAAACATTGGCCTTGAGCTCGCTGCTGTCGAGGAAGAAGTGCCTGTGCTGGACCGTTGAGGAACAAAAGGCGACGCCTGCCGGTTGGCGGTCCTCACGTCTTGCGCGAGTGATTCCATATTAGCCAACGGATCCTTCCTGATGGACGAGCCGCTGCTGCTGCGGGTTTTATCACTGCTAGTACCAGCACTACTCCTCGTGCGATTCGGCGAAGATGAGGATTCGTTGCTCTGCCATCTTCGAAAGGATGATGCGAAGATCACCCGGGGAAGATGTTGCCTTGCTTGCGGGGAGAGCTGCTGGCGCGATAGCGAGAGGAGCTGGCAGGTTCCTGTTTTCGCCGTCATTGCGGACTTTGCGTCAAACTTCAAATGCTCCTCGGAAGCGTCTTTAAGTGGGCTTTGTTTGACCTGACGAACATAAGATAGCAGCGATCAGGGCTTTGACAGCTTGACAATCTCAACTTGGGAACCATGCGAAGGGTGTAAAATGAATGTCTCGACGAGAGCGGATAGAATCAAAATGACACTTCTCTCGGCCGAGAGGGAAACATATGCGTTCTAAGTTCTGTTCCAGGATTGACCTCAAATACCACGGGCGGTGGGCCATCATCGATGCGTTCAAGCTGGACTTGTTGGTTCAAACCAACCATGTTCTGATGCAAAGAACAGTACTACGATCTGCGGCTGCCATCAAGAAAGTTAAAGTTTGTCAAGGTCAAGGGAGCAGAGTGCTGGGATTATAGCTCACTGATTGCTCACCGAAAAGCAGCAAAATGTCTGTCGCGCCTGGTGCTTCGTCGGGGGCATTGCCGTCGGCGGCCATTACGGGACCCATCGAGGCTCCCAGGAGCGTGGAGGCTGTCCCTCTGATACCCACAGCGTCCAGCACGAGCCTCGCAGCCAAGTACCGCGGTGCCACCGTCGAAGATCTTCAGCTCAGTCCGGCCGTCTGCGTCTCGCGGAGCGCATCGATCGAAAAGGCGCTCAACGTCGCGCATGACCACGACTACAGCCAGCTGCCGCTTGTGGGAGATAACAGAAAGATGCTCGGTTATGTGGATGTAGCAAGCCTCCGAGAGCGGTTGGAGAAAGGTACCAGCCAACCGTCTGATCGGGTGGACAGTGCGATGGTGGCATTCTGGAAGCGAGAGGCGGCAACCAACGGCGAGAAAAGAAAGTTTACCATTATCACTCCACAAACAGATCTTGCGGATCTCGAAGGTGGGTGCAATATCCTCGTCTCTCTCTGGGCTTTAGCTGAAACTCGCTTCAAAATTTGGGTTCGTTTTCCAGTTTTCTTGCAAAGCGAGCCATTCGCCATCGTCACTGATCTAAGCCGCGCATTCGTGCTTGGGGTCGTGACACGCGATGACTTAGAAAAGTTTGTTGTACGCAGAGGCGGTGCCAGCAACGGCAACGCAGCACAGCCAGTGGCAGGAGGTTCCAGCATTCTCCCAACCGCCGCGCAGTCGCAAATGATGGCGAGAAGGGCAGAAGAGGAGGCGAGGAAAAATCGCACATTGTCTGAGTTCTTGCTCATGCTTGACGGCTACACTCCGTTGGTACGTCTCACGTGGACTATCTCTTTACGCAGCGCAACAATCTCGGAAGCTGACACCGGCCCTTCTGCATGTGTCATGCAGATTCCAGACGAAGTCACAGACTTTTATCTCGAACGCGCCGGGTTCGAATGCCAGGATGTGCGATTGAAGCGGCTCGTGTCGCTCGCAGCGGAAAAGTTCGTGTCAGACATTGCGTCCGATGCGTTTCAATATGCACGCATCCGAAGCAATGCTGGGCCTGGTGGTCGCAGCAAAGGAGGCGCGGCAGCAGGTGGAGCGGCAGGCCAAGGTGCCAAGGTACGTTTGCGCTCTCACGCATAGCGTGCCTAACGAGAGGGATGCTGATCAAAGAGCTTCCTACACAGGATCGCTCCAGGACGGTGCTCACGATGGACGACCTCAGCGCTGCGTTGAGCGAGTATGGCATCAATGCCAGGCGGTCAGAGTTCTTCCGCTGATGGAATGCGTTTGCGCCAGAGATGTATGCGTGTCTGAGCTCTGTTGAGAAGGTATCATAATTGAGGATCTTCACCACGCTATGGGAGAGGCTCGGTGTGCATAATGGTTGATGCGGGGCTACAGGTCAATTGAGATCCTCTCGCTCGCTGCCTTTTCAAGCCGATTCATAATGGCGAGCCCGATACGATCGGCTTTCATCGTCTCGACAAAGATGACCTGGCACTTCTGCGGTGCTTCATCCAGCACTCGCAAGCCGGCAAAAAGCCGCTGCGCTCCTTCACCGGGGGATTCAGGCGCGCCAAGGTCGTAGAGGAAGAGGGCCGCCGTGCGCGCATGATTCCCATCGAGATGCATCGAGAATTTTTTGACGCGAGATGCTCCCTCTGACTCCGATGCTGAACGCGAGGCGAGCGACGCGACAGCTTGGGCGAGATTTGAGCCAGCAGGAGCCATGAAGCCTATATGTGCTGCCTCAGCTCCTGCCGTCTCCGCCAAGGGGCCCAATTCGGCCTGCAGCATATCTTTGAGTGTGCATACCGCGCCATTCGCCCGAGCTGAAGAAGATCCGACATCGACTAGTACCACTCGCGCATTAGGCGAATAGTGCTTGTACTTCATTCCGGGTGTAGTGGGGTTCGCTTCTTGCGCCGCGCTACGCTCCATGTCCTTGCCATACACGCGTACACGGACCTTGCCGGTTGAATCTGCATGATTCTCCCCATTTTCATCGACGAGAAGATTACGCGAAGCCAGCGCAAAAGAAATCTCTTCTACCGTCACCCCTCCTGGCCGGAGAATTCTAATTTCCCCCGGGTCCGTAATCCCATCGATGACGGTGCTTTCCAACCCAACGTAGCACGGCCCGCCATCGAGGATGTATCGTATTCGTCCACGGGGTGTTTGAAGTGCATTTCCATTGATTCCGCCGTTCGTTTCAGACCTTTCACCTTTGATTAGGTCTGCGTCCAGCGGCCCGCCGAGATCGTAGAAGACATGCTGCGCGGTGGTCGGTGAAGGGCGACCGCTCGCGTTACTCGAAGGCGCCGCGATCGGCCTGCCTACTTGAGCGATGAGAGACCGTGCGAGCGGATGAGAGGGCATGCGCAGGCCGACAGTCTGTAGACCAGACGTAACGATGTCTGGAAGGACGGCTCGTTGCTTGCCTTTGTCCTTTGAGGACGGGTGTAGGCGTCGGACAGGAAAGAGTAGCGTGAGGCTACCTGGCCAAAATGCGTCGATGAGGCATTGGTAAGCGGCACTGATATTGCTCTCCTTCGGAGACACATCTGATTTTTCGACAAGCTCATCAAGCATGCTTGTGTCCGAGATGTGTACGATCAGCGGATTGTCTGAAGGCCGACCTTTCGCTCTGTAGATTTTGGATACGGCCAACGCGTTTGTGGCATCTGCGCCGAGTCCATAAACTGTTTCTGTCGGGAATGCAACAACGTTTCCATTTCTGAGTTCTGTTGCTGCAATATTAAGCGAACGTTGTGTTGAAGCGAACAGATCACTCCTGTCGGATTCCGAAGCTGGGACGATGCTTGGGAGCTGTGGCCGGGAGGAGGAGGCTTCCTCGAAGCGGATCAATGACGGTTCTGCACGCAAAATTTGAGTGTCAAAGCACTCATATGGCCAGCCTTTCGAGCTGCTGGAACGGATAATATCGGACATTGTGGATGGCCAGACTGTGAAGGGTCGAGCTCGAGGAGGGGAGCCGAGTGCGACTCTGAGAGGCAAGCACAATGTTGAAAGGCGGGAGTTGATGAGTAGGCAGCACCGCGGCATCTATGACCGAGCAGATCGAGGCGCACTGTGAATTCGACTAGAGATCAGCACCAGCGGTACTAGATCAAGACAGCCAGAGCGAGTTCCGAGGCCTCAAGACGATGAAGGCACGAGCCGTTTATAGGTTGACGTTAGGTACAACAGCAAGTCATCTGGCCGAGGTTCGACCAAATCCTGGCGGAACGGGAGTGAGAAAAAAGTGACGACAGAGGCGCGAGAATTCGCCGAAGAAACAAGGTCACCGACGATTCTCCCATATGTATGGTTGACCTCGTCATCATCCCATCAATGCGAGTCCTATGATCGAAGGTCTCTACAGTACACAGCATCATAGACATATTGACGTCAACGATTGAAAATAAAAACTGAAAAGCCAGCACTTGCGAATGGACCTACGCCATCGCATTTATACGTGAAAAGATCACGCGACAGCGAGAGGTGTCGCGTGCTCTAGAGGTTGGTCAATGCGCGAAAACCCGAACACATAAGAAACCAACATGGGCTGGTTCACCTCCTCCGCCTCTTCCACCTCTTCCCAAGCATCAACGCAGCCGAATGCACCGAATCGCCAAGAAAGAAGAGCCTGCTGGACCTCCCGAGATGCGTACTTTAACTGCCTGACGTCCCACGACATCACCGTCCCGCCGGGGACGGACATGTCCAACGGTCGCGGCCTGGTCGGCAAGGCTGCTGCTGAAGAGCAGAAGAGGCTCGAGAGAGAGAAAGGCGAGAGTCAAGAGAAGGCTCTCCGAGAGGACCCGTGCGTCAGGGAGAGAGGGGTGTATGAAGAGCATTGCGCCAGGAGCTGGGTGAGTGTACGCTGTTGGCGGCACTACGATGATGACCCCCTTGCTGTGCTGACCATGTGGCTCTATCGAAGATCGATTACTTTAACAAACGCCGAGTTCTAGAAGAGCGACAGAAGCTCATGTATGCTCAAGCAGAAGAAGGCAACGCGGCGCGAGCCCCTTCATCCTCACGGTAGACTGCATTGTGAGCGCTTGGGCAGCGGCCAGCCAGAAAGCCATCGCAAGCGTTGGAAGCGATCTCCTCGGAAAACTTTTTTGTATCATATCTCATTGACGAAGAGACAAATTCTAACGCGACAGATAGCAGATTAAAGGTGGCACCCCGATCCATGCAGTCATTAAGGAAGGCACTCGTAAAGTAAGGTAGTAGGGATGTGGATCCGCGACGTGGTGAGGAAGTAACTAGGGTATGGCGAAAGGTCGGACGGCGCTGACAATGCTAGCTAGAAGCCAAACAAGAGTGAAGATGTACTCCTGCACTTAGATGAGAGCAGCTGATGGATAGGACGACGTGACGCGCAGGAGGGGCAATGCATCATGTATCCTTTACGGATGGGCTTGCAGGAATGCTTAGCGCACGTTGCCGAGGTCCATGGCGTCCAGGACATCACGGCCGACGGCTGCAGGCAGGAGCGGGGACGTGATCAGTGTGATGGCTCGTCTTTCTGTATCTCTCTCTAATTCATTCCTGCCTCCAAAGACTCACCCGGCCCTGCGTTGATGCGTGGGTCAACGTGCCCGGCTTCGAGCGCGCGGCTGTACTCCTCGACGCTCCGTACGAGGTTAAGGAACCTGGTATCCTTGATGAAGCGCGGTACCGAGTCAGTCGCCATGAGTCGGAAGATGTGGTCCTGGATGCGCTGGTACAGGCGGACCATAGTCTGCACTTGACTCGCGTGCATCGGGATCTTGGGTCTGCCCGCCAGCTGCTTGCGGTCCTCTAGAGAGGTGGGGGTGACCTGGGCGCCATTCGCCATTCCGGCTGGTAGTTCGAGTTCTGCAGCTGAGTGTGGGACCAGGGAAAGATCTGACGCGGTTGGCGAGGTGACGTTCCGGCTACCGCTACTGCTGTTCTTGCCGCCGTTGTTTGGGTTGTTTGCAGATGCATCCGAGACGATCTTGGTGACGTACGTGACGAGCTCGGTGCGCAGGTTGTGCTCGATGTTCAGCTCACACGGCGACCCAGGGGCAAGGTAGGTATTGTAGATGACAAATGTCATCGTGATCAGGTCTTGCTGGTGGCGCTCCGTGGCCGACATGCAGGACGGATTGGAGGCATCGCTCACGTCACTGCCGCCGCCGCGCAGCTTGGACGCCATTTTGGTCGCCATGCTTGAGCTGCTCGCCTTGCTCTCCGCCAGAACAGAGCGCATGGCGACGGCGCTGGAGGTGGTATGAAAGCGCCGCTTGAAGTCCTGCACGTCGAGCCAGAAGGAGAGGTTTTCCTCGCAAAAGTTGCGCTTGAGGAACTCGCGGAAGAGCGAGCGCAGCGCCGGCTCCTCGAGGATCTGGCGCAGACGCGTCGCGTTGGAGTCCTTGCTGACGCTTATGCCGCCCGATGCGCCAGGGTCGGCCAGTTCCGCCCGTGAGCCCATCTCAGAGCCGAAGCGCGTTGAGTCTGCATCCGAGTGCACCGTCGCAGCATCGTTGCCGCCACTGATGCTCCTTGGCCCGGGGTGATGCCGCATCGAATCTGAGGGGATGGAGCGGGTCTCTTCGTCGTAGTTTGACCGGCTGTCGATGGGGTGAATATCGGCTGCGGCGTTTGCGCTGCCGGGCCGCGATGTGCCTGTTCCGCCAGCGCCACCGTCGACACTCATGCTCGCGCCTACGTCTCGTAGATGATGCTCGGCGGGCTCGGGAGGCGGGCGGTAGTAGCCCTCCCAGCGCGCGACCTCTCTCCCGCGTGCGGTCATGCCGTAGATGGCCTTCGGGTGGCACCTGAACTCGCCCTCTATGATCATCCCGCCGATGTCTTCGCCACGGACGACAACATTGTTGGGATCGGGCTTGCTGGCCTCGCGCGCGCTGCGAGGCTTGTCCGCGATAAGCTCGATGAGGTCGAGGCGCTCAAAGTGTGCGCACACCTCGCCGGCCTCGTCGCGCCCCGCGAGCGTCGAGAAATCGAGGAGCCACTCCAGCGCGGTGACTGCAGAAAATGTGTGCTTGATGGCGCGCAGCTGCCCGTTCCTGCTGCGCTCAGCGACGTCCATCATCTCGACACCGAGCGTGCGGTCAAACTCGGCGTTGGTCCCGTTCGCCGACTCAACCGCGGCGCTCGAGCCAGAGCCCTCGGAAGAGGACGAGCGCAGCCCGCTGGCTCCTGCCAAGCTGGGCAGTTGCGGCGTGCCGTCGTACATGACGACCTTGGATGGATAGTTGGGCTGACGCCCGACAAAGCGACGGAAGATGACCTCAACGACCATGGTGTTGATGACTAGCTCATCGTCGTGCCTGTGGCGCTCGAGGTGGAGGAGCTTCATGCAGATGGGTTGCGAGGAGAAGACCTTAAGCAGGTGTTCGCCGTTGATCCCATTCTTGGTGATGAAGCGCTCGAGGATGTGCAGGCCCTTGGGCGTGAGCATCCAGATGCCCTTGTCCTTGAAGACGGTCCCGGAGGGGTCCTGCGCATTCTCGATCAGGCGCGCGTCCATAAAGTGCTGGCAGATGCCTTTGGCCATCTCACGGTTCATGGTAAACGTCGTCGTCGTCGTCGTCGTGATGACGCGGTTCGGTTCGTTGGGGTCCGGCACACGGTTCGACTGCGAGAACTTGAGCGCGGCCAGGTTCTCAGCCGCCTCGTCGGTCGTAAATGAGTTTGGGTACGACTTGAACAACACGCGATGCGTCGGCAGCTCGAGTGACACAATCAGCGTAGCGAATAGGTCGTGCGTATCCTGTTCCCCCCATCCGCAAAAAGGGGCACCCACGGCACGTGAGTCAGCATGTAGGGCATACGAACAGGGAGGCCTCGCGTGCGATGAATGGCGTGACGTGGCAGGTCGTGTGTCCGCTCCCCTCTCCTCGTGCTCACCTTGGTGAAAGGCCGCCCGCGGCGGGACGTCTTCATCATGCGGCTGCTGACCTGCCGGCGCGTCTGCGCCGGCTTGGGCAAGTTGTCGTCCGACATTTCCTTTTCTTGCGACTCTGGCTCTGGAAGGCAGCGATGACACACAGCGTGGGTGCGTGCGTGTCAGCTCTACGGCGTTGCTCTGGCGGCCGCGAGCGGAACGCGCATCCACAATCTCAAGGTGCCAGTCGAAACCCTCTGACCCGCACAAGCCCTGGCGCCTTTATCTCCAGGACCCAAGTGTGAGATCGAGTTCGGGGTCGTTCTAAGCGGGCAGTCTATAGGGGGCGGCGCCGAATAACTTCCTCCGTCGATGCTCGCCGACCAGGGCCCTGTTGCAGCCTTTTATACGTCTCCGCAGCTAGCTAGCTAACCCGCTCCAATAAAAAATGTCAAGTGTGCGCCGGTCGCCCCAATGGAACTCCGACAGAGCGTCGGCGAAGGGAGGATCTCCGTCGCTGGGAGCTGCTTGGTGTTACTTGCTTGACCGATTACGTGCTAGAAGCAAGAGCAGCCAGGCGTTGGGCCTTTGCTTTCCTCCGCTATGGCAAGGCGACAAAACCTTTGCACTACTTTAGGGGGCAGCGAATCTCAGAGAGCACAGGTGCAAATGGATGTCAGGGCGGGCGCCGGCCACTGATTGATGTGACGGGACGCAGAGGACTGATGTCCTTCGAGGTGCAGCAGTGTCTGCCGTCTCTTGCTTCTTTTCTCCTTCCCGCGCGCGAGCCAAGCGGGCTCGGTATCGGCACCAGTTCTCCTTCACCTGTCGGCCGAGCGTCTGAAATTGTTCCTGCGCGATGAAGAGCCAGATGCCCCAAAGGCAAATGCTGAGATGAGAGGAGGCGTCGTTCGCACCCGACAAGGCCTCTATTGCACGCAAGGCCCAGGTCTAGGAAGGTGACAAAAGTGTCGCGCGGGTCGCCGAGATGAGACGAGAAAAAAGCCACAGGCGACATGCAAACGGGCGCGGGTTGCTGGTGCTTGCAGACACGAACGATAAAGCAGCTCTACTGCACCCGGCCGGAGCGCTGTCGATCTCACAGAGAGCCGCTGGGTGGCGACGACCAGCGGGCGGTGGTTCTTCTCCTGCTCAGACGGACGTGCGAGTGTCCTGGGTTCTCTTACTCCCACTCCTCTGTGCTAGGGAGTTACCAGGTTGGCGGGGTAGAATGCTGGTAGTACCAGCGATGGTACGGTGCGAGCAGGAGGAAGGATGGGTGGATGGTGGATGGATCCCGCGAGCACAGCAGAGCAGATAGTGTCTGGCCCGCTTGGTTGGCTGGTGGGGCTCGTGGACACTGGATTAGTCTCTCCAGCGGACACACCGAGCACAATGGGTGGCGGCCAGTGCTCTGGCAGCTGGCAAGTCTCCATTGTGTTGGTAGACTTGACTGCTGCAGTGCCGTCTGATATCCGCAGGCCGCATCCATGCGATACAGCAAGTGGTCTCCGCGCGCGAGCACAGGTAGAGTATCGTCTCGTCTCTAGGTTCGTCGTGAGTGGCCACAACGTGTGTCCTCGACAAACTCTAGCTTCCTGGCTCAACTTTGGCCAGTGAATACAGAATACAGATCTGTACAGACTGGGCAAGTTAGTAGACAGGGGAGGCGAGATGTGGCACAACATGCTCGACAGGACGCGGTGCAGGGCTGTTGATTACACGACCAAGTGGAGCCTTCCCCGCTCCCACTCGACGTGATCTCCTCAGTCAGGAGTGGTGTGGTGACTGGCCTTATGGCCACGAGATGAGCGAGAGAGGTTGCGGAGGGTCTCGGTACAGATCGGGAAGCCATCCAGCTGCAATGTACAATGGTACATACGTACATAAGGTCACCACCCTCTAGATCTCCCTGGGCTCCAGCTACGTACCGCGTATATATATTTTCTACTATGGACCATGCTTGTGGGTTTTGTCTCTAGAGCATGATGAGTGCTTTGTGCTGTTGCGACCCGCCGGCGGTCACAGTAGACGAATGGGCAGAGTTGCTGCAGAGGCACTATACGAAGGGAGGCAAAGGGCAAAGGGCAAAGGCTAGATTCACACAAGACTGAGGAGCAAATAGATACATAGACCATTGACCAGCATGAGTGATAACAAAGGACGGGCCATGCCGCGACACGGCTGCATGTATATGATCACGTGATCGTTCCTGGCTTTCAGAGTACCCCCAAATTGTCACCTTGCAAGGTAACAAGGTAACAGGTGTAACCAGCGGGAGTGCGTGTACTCCGAGACCGTAGTCCTGTGCCCATCGGCCAGAGCGTACCCGGTGTCACGCACTTGGCAATGAATGGACGCGTTCGCGCGGAGCAGATTCAGTCCCAGCGGCCACGCCTGCCAGCTTGACTTCATGACCTGCTGCCGATTGAAATGAACATGCCGGCGCCCGGCGCAGTAGCGTCGCCGGTCCATGGCAGCATCGCCGAACAGGCTCGCCCTTTGCAGCGGTGAGAGACCATTCTCGGGATGCAAGTGCGAGCGTGGGAGAGTGTCGGCAGGCGTGCCGAGCGCGAGGGCTAGGACAGGGTCGCATGTTGTGTTCCTGCTGCCGCCGGATAGGTGTTATTCAATGCATGCACGATTACTTCAAGCAGACTCGGCCAGCCGCCTTCCTGCAGCAGGGCCGTGAGGCGCGGATTCGCCATGCAGGCCCGTAAGGTCTCCTTCACCATTATAACAGCCGTCTCATCGATATTAGCGGGCAGATCGCGGGGAGTCGTGCTCCCACACACCGCTTCACCACTCTTCAAATGTAGGGAGGGTGTGGCAACCCATTCGGCATCTGCTTCCGGACTCGCTGCAATTATGTAGAACCCAAAGTCCGCCCCACGGCCCGGCTTGGCCCGGCACCAAGGCACGATGGATGGACGAGCACAGCTTTATGTGCTTGCTTGCATGTTCTGCAGTCTGCCGTCAATGCGCTGCCCTCCCCGCCTTGAGAGGTCAAGAAGGACATGCTGAATGAACAGAACGTCATGCAGGTGTGAGCCGACCGACGGTTTGACGCTATTCGTAATATAGCTGCGCACTCTTCTGCTCTACAATGTCTCTTTGCCATTTGCCGGCGTGGCTTTCGTCTCCAGTCTTGGCGCAGGGCGCAGTCAAAAAGATGCAAACGTAAATGCGCATATGGGAGGCCGATAGCGATTGTAGTGTTCGTGATTGTTTTGATCTTATCGTCCGGCACACCATTTGCTTCGAGTTCTCCTGAAGCGCGCCTACATGGTATATAATCGAGCCTGGCAGAAGCCAACGCACATTCTTTACACATATGCTTCATCTTTTCGCCTGACTCTGAACAGGGATTGCTTCCAACATTACGTCGGCAGCCACCGCATCGATTGCGCGTTAGCAAGATGGCCCGCAGCAGCAGCTCCGCCGCTGATCCGGAGGCCCAGCAGACGCCTCTGCTCATCCACATCGATCGCCTAAGCGAAGAGAAAGACGACGACGCTTCCGACTGCAGCCGCTCGAGCGACGATTGTCGTCGCTCGGCGCCTGCCCCTCCTAGCGACCCCGAGAAGGCCGCCCTCCTCGCCCACGAATACGGCCATGTGCACCCACATGCACATACACGCGGTCGCGGTCACGAGCACACTTGCCGCCACGCGCACGGCCACGGTCATGTCCATGGCTGCGGTCTTAGGGGCCACTTCTTTCGCCTCTTTGGCCGTCGCGGCGCACCGCATTTGGACAACAACAACGACGATTGCGCTGGTCTCGACGGGAAGGCAGCGTGGGGAAAGCGCAGCAGGAGCGGCAAGCTGAGGGCGTTCGCCGCGCTCCTCGCCTTTCTCACAGCCAGTGTCTTTGCGCTGCGCTACATGGTGAGTAAGAGAGCCGTGAGGACGGGAACATCGAACGCTGACGCTCACCGCATCGGGCCATCTTTCGCAGCCGCTTTTTTCCGCGTTGGCTTTCGGCGGCGCACGACACGGCTTTCCTCGTTACTACCAGCACGATCCGCCCTACTACGCGGCAGGACGCCACCCGTGGGATCCTCCGCACCCGCACGGACCACCCCCTCAGCCATATATCAAAGAATGCCATCAGCTCGCGTCCGGTGCCGAAGTCAATATCACAGTCGCCGCGTGGCCTGGCACGGGTACGTTCGTCGACCCGGGCCTGACGGCGGCCAGCATCAGTTTCGTCCGCGACGGCCCGGCCGGCCTACCGTTTCCTCCGCCGGTGCATCACCGCCACAAATTCGAGGGCGCACCGCCTGGCGATACGCAACGCATTTCTGATGACGAAGACGGCGATGACGATGGCAACAGCAAGGAGGGCAAGAAGGAGAAGTGGAGAATGCAAGGCCCCGCATACCACTCCAAGCCGCCGCTGATTTCTGTCACAGTCTCGCGCGCCAAATTGGAGCTTACCGGGCTGATCGACAAGGAGCCCATCTTGAATATTTGCATCCTCTCGGCCGGCCCGGCGGGCGAAGGTATTGGCCTCTACGTGAGTGGGCCTCATCGCTGCGAGTGAGAGAATACAAGAAGTATTTGTGCTGATCTGGCTTCACAGGACGAGCTCGTGTGCCCCATCTTCCCAAAGGACATTGCCGGTATCGTCTCGCTGCTCTCCGTTTCGTTTCACCTCCCAGAGCGCTTCCCCCTCGCGCTCGTAGGCATGCATGCATCTCCGTTTGGCGGGCCGCCAAACCACGGTTGCGGGCGCGGAGGTCCTCCTCACGGCCCTCCTCACGGCGGCCCCCCTCTGTGTTCCTGACGGATTTCCTGTGGACTGCAGAGAAAGGAGCGTCTTTTGGCCGAGCGCAAGTCCGCGGAGGCAGACCCCACAGAGGCCTGAATTAACAACGCCACCTTGTTTCCGAATCGGCAGAATTTGCTTGCTCTGGACAATTACTTGTACCCGCACACACAGCGCTGCCCATCAGTTGCTCTAGCACACAACGGTATACTCTCGTTTTCATCAACTTGTAACATCATCCTCTTGACCGGTTGGCACCGGCGGCAGATCCGCCGCGCTCGAGAAATACATGATCTCCAATCCAACGCTGGTAACGGGCTTGACTCGATTGTTAAAGTTTGCGCGGCAGCCGGCGCTGACGAGCGAGTTGCGCATGCGCCCCTGCCACATGAGAGAAATCTCGGTGGTCGAGCTGACGCGCGCTTTGATCAAGCCGATGAGGTCTGACGAGGGCCGCTGCGAAGCCGTCACGGCCGTCGACACTTGCTCGTCGCCTTGAGACGATGCCGACGATTGTAGTGACCCATCTTTCACACATTCATCCGCAAGTTCGAAGCCGGCAACCACACTCGAATCCGGCTCGCGCAACGAGCTACTGCTGACCGGCGCAGCTGTGCTTGATGCCGAAACTTGATCTGGGCGCTCACGCAAGGACCACCCCGGCAAAGCAGCGACGAGGGGCCTTGCAGGTGCTGAAGCAGGGGCGATCTCGGTTGCTATGTTCTGCGCGGCTGCGCGACTGAGCGAGACGGGCAAAGACGGCGCCGGACTACTACGCAGCCAGTACTCAAAGCCCAGCGTGAGCTCCGAGTCGTACGAATACACGTTAAAATCAAAGCGTGAGCAAGCTGCCACGTCGCGCGCCATGCGCGCTGCATAGGCCATGCTAAGGTGGCCCATCATTGGATTCAACGTCGCGGTGATGATCGTTGGTGCCTGCGAAGGCATATCATCGTTGTTCTCTGCGCCATCAGGGATCGTCGCAAAGCGCACGCCTGTCGAAACTGTATATCACAGCGTCAGCAACGTCAGCAACATGGCGTCCGGTGAGGCAATGGCATTTACTTACGCCCTGCGCTCTTTTCTAATGAGCTAAAGAAAAATTCGGCGCCCGCACTGAACCGGCCCTGTAGGCCACCGCCTGCCGACCATCCGGTCGAGTCTTCGGCGACAGATTTGATGTCTTTAGCGGTGACGCCATTCTCATCCGTAGCTCTGACAGTTTGCTCCCGACTTGCGAAGTTGTGCAGAAAGCGAAACCCCCACAGCGCATCGTCGAGCGAATAGCTGTATTCGGTAGACCATTTACCAGTGTCCCGCTGAAGGAGTATCTGCAGATTCGTGGGCGTCGGCTTGAAGTTCGAAGTGCTGTAGCCTGTATTTTGCTCGCTCGCAAGCCCGGACAGCTGTGAGAGCTGCTGCGATAAAGGCACGCGAGGCGGCGTCGAGGACGCTGAGAGGATTGCTTGCCATGTAGGCGCCAGACGCGTCGTCCAAAGTGCATCAACCCGGGACGAAGGAATGTGCATGCATCCGTACAGCAGGTAGTCTGCAGAAAACCAGTTCTTAGCCCTTGCTGTCCGTCCGTCGACTCGACATGACCCACCTCTTTTGACCGCGCGTCGGCTGGCTAGCCAAGTCTCTGTCTTCCCTTGGGGTCTGGTGGGTAAGCCTGGCGCTCGGAAGCGCTCGATCATGCGCTTCAAGCCAACCCTTCCGCTGCTGTGCCCGATATTGAGCGTGACACCGTGCTCGACATCGGTTGAGGAGAAAATGTATCCGACATTGCCCTGCAGTGAAGGGAGAGCCCGCAGGCGGTACGTTGTAAAAAAGGGCGGAGACGGAGAGGCAGAGATCGAGAATGCCACGCCGGGAGGGGTGGGAAAATCGAGGATCGCTGCGAAAGGAGCAATCAGCGCGCACTCAACAGTGATTCAAGGCAATAGACTCACCAGCGCTGGCAGCGTTGAGATTCAGATAGGAATTGTGTTCGTTCCAGCCAGTCGCCTCGAAGTAGCGTCGAAGCACATGGCTGACAAAGTCGTACATGACTGATACCACATGTCGCGAGGCAGGCAGTCCACGACAGACGTTTGCCAGATGCCCCACTTTTGGTAGTAACAATGGATTTACTTCGAGGGCTCAGCGGTCGGAAAAGAAAATGCGACAAAGTATGGAGTAAAAGGATAACGTTTGCCCAAGCACGACAGGTTCGAACGGCAGCAAAAAAATTGGTCGCGTGTGGGAGTTGAACCCACGACCACCTCTAAGGCGTGTGCCTACGCAAACTGGACAAGATATCCCGAAAGAGGCATGCTACCACTACACTAACGCGACCCTGTTGTTATTTGGAACCAAGATATGATTATAACCTTGTAAATGTATTTTCTGATTCAATTTCTCAACCTATTCATTGGTTTCCCTCAGTAGGTTTGTTACGTAGCACCACTCTATAATACGACGTGCGCGAAGGTCTGGGAGAACTGCAGGGAGCACTCCAGCAGCAGCGTCCGCCAATTCTACCCTTACTCTCACTTTCACGGATATATCCCGCCCTGAATTATCTGATATCTGAATTTAGATCCCTCGTTGCGTTGCGTGATGCCGAGGGGTTTCCGAGAGCCAGCATCGGAATGAGGAATGAGGGTGGGATTGTTTGGGGCACGCCACCAGACAACTTACCTGTTCAAGACTTAGCACAGGAATTCCGGGGGCGTGGCTCGCCGCCGGGCCTGCCCAGGCCAACTGGCCAGTGCCTTGTTCTTATTATTTTCTTTTTTGTTTCTTTTATAAAGAAAGTGTGTTACACAGTGGGCAGCACGCAGCTTCCAGGAAAGTTGGAATTCAGTATACAACGTGCAAGCTCAACCAACCACTTCACACCATCTCCGCCGAATGGATGTTGCACCTCGTATGGGTTGACTTGCAGCTCCGGTGACTTTGGACGATCTTTTTTGTATTAGCCTTCGTGGGCTGCGAGAAGCAACATACATCATGGAGACTAACGGGCCGCCAATACACGCCCGAGCGGCACTGCTTTCGGCGCTCATCAAGTCGACCTCATCAGTCCCGCATCATCTAGAAGAAGCCCGGAAGCAGCTCGACGAATGGGAGAGCGATACGTCATTTTGGCGCATACTGCTGGATATTTGCTTCAACCAATATTTAACAGTGCCAATAGACCAACTTGAGCGCCCGGTGAGCACACAAGGAGAATACGATGCGCGAAGAACCGCGATTCGGACAGCAGGCATCATTCGCTTCAAGAATGGGGTGGACAAATTCTGGCGCCTTAGAGTTGTCCGTCGAGTTGGAGTGGCAATCCCAACGGAAGAAAAGACAGTGCTGCGTAGTGCACTCCTCCGCGCGATCGATGAACCCGAGAGAGTTATTGCGCTGCAGGCCTCCGTCGCCATTGCTAGGATTGCGAGGCACGACTACCCCAATGCGTGGCCGGATCTATTCACCAATCTCCAACAGGCAATTGTGGAGGCCCATACACATCTGGCCCAACTCGGGCCGGAAACTATTGGAGAACCCTCCGACAAGGGCGCCGAGCGTCAACGACAGACGCTGCGGCTCATGCGCGCTGTCGACATTGTCCAGCGCACCCTCAAAGAGCTGGATAGCATGAGAATGCTCGCGGGGAAAATCCGCATGACCGAGGTTAGTTTCCCTGACAGCTGACTTGTGGTGCATATATGCTGACTACTGACTTCTGCAGCTCGCAGACACGCTCTTGCCAACATTGCAGCCAATGTTTGCGCAATACTTTGACGAGACATTTCCCGCCTCGGCCATATCCGAAGACTCCGGCGCGAGTCTCCAAGGTTGGGCTCGATCCCCCGTTCGCTCTGCGCAGGTGCGGACCTCTCATTTATTTCTCAAAGCGCTCCAACGGCTGGTCGTCTCGGACGCTGGTGCCTTGAGCCAGAATGCCACAGGACCCAGGGGCGACCGCGCAGACTCAGTCAACCTCGCACAAGCATTCTTTCGATCAACCCCTAAGCTCTTGCAGACGATAGCGACCTTTAGGCGCGCATATATTCAGTGCCTGACTCCCAGCGAGGTGTCTGAAGCATCCGCCCTCATAGTGGCCGGCATAACCAAGCATTTGCTTGCATTTGGTAAGATCTTCCTCGCTCTGCTCAATCGTGACAAGAGCAAAGCAGCGACATGGGACGGGTGGCCAGAAGTCGTGGAGTGGTACTGGCAGCAAGCGCAAAAACATGCATTGCAATCTGCAGAGCCATCAGCCACCAACAACGATCCTTCCGCCCTCGTACACACACCATCTCGGTTTGTCATTCAGACCCTGCTCCTCCTCAAGAGTAGTCTTTCAGCATGGAAAGATGCAGCGCCTGCACAGTTCACGAGCCCCGAATTCGCGCAAAGTGCTGCAGATACCCTGGTTGGCAAGCTGATGAGACTGAGCAAAGATGAGCTCGCAGACTGGGAGGCGGACTCAGAGCAGTGGAGCGTTGCAGAGAGTCAAAAGCAAGAACAGTTTGAGCTGGAGATCAGGACAGCCGCAGAGAGGACATTGATGGTCTTGGCGGACGCGATCAAGCCCAAATGGTCGGTTGGCCATCTGGTGTGGAGACTTTTTGAGCAATCCACACAGCTCAGCCATACGAATCTTGAAGATGTCCTCACGCGAGATGCAATCTACGCAGCTGTCGGCCGCTTGCGCGACCGCCTGCCCGTCATTTCCCCCGGTCACGTCCCGGAAGAAGATGAAGAACCTGAGGAACAGTTTGACTTGTCGACCGTTATAGGAACGCGCCTGGCACAGGAGGCTGCTGTCGGAGCGGAGGCCGGGTCGTCGTGGGTCATCATCCGGCGACGCATCGCGTGGCTTATGTGGGAGTGGTCAGAGCACGTCGCACCGCAGCACCGACCTGCGACGTACACGGTACTCGTTGATCTTATCGCCGACATGCCAGGCGTGACGGACGTCGCTGTCCGACTTTCTGCAGCTCGCTCACTCGGTGCACTGGCCGACGCTGTAGAATTTGACGCCGAGGCTTTTACGCCATTTTTGGCACCAGCTTTGACGCGCCTCATCTCACTAGCAACCTCCACCGATCTGCAAGAGATGAACTCGATAAAGGTCTGCACGGACGCGCTGTCGATGCTCATCGAGCGGCTCGGCCCGAGGGTCGCACCGTTCCTGGAGCAGCTTGTCTCCCTCGTACCGCCTCTATGGAACAACCCTGACCCGGAGTTCAAAGCCAAGCCGAGCATCCTTTCCTTCGTGTCCAAGCTGGTACGCGCGGTTGAATTGCTCAGTGGCGGCGGCAGCGAGGCATTGTTGCAGCCCATGCATCAGATCGTTGATTCGCTTGTTCGCAGCAGCTTTTCCAATGTGGGTCCTACTGCTTTGATCGTCAGAAACATTCCGCTGAAACTCGCATTTAAACAGGACTGCGCACCGCACCTTGGACAGGACGCGCTCGCGCTTTGGGCGCGTTCAGTGCACAGCACGACGGCGATGACCACACCACTTTTCGAGCTGTTAGAATTGGCGCCGGTATTGCTGCAGCAAGCCGAAGAGACGCCAGAAGTTTGTCGCATCGTGGAAGAAACGGCACTGTTGGTACCCAAGGAGCTTGTGCAACACCATGGCCGCGCCATCTTTAGTGCCTTTTCAACCATCCTTGCGGATCCACTGTCGCCCGTAGTACTCGCACCGCTCGGCACACTCGATTTTATCCTGCAGGCGCTGCAAGCAGCCGGAGCAGGTGTAGCAGTTTGGCCGCAGCTCCTCCAGGAAACACGTCTCTTGGGCCTGCTCGTGGGCTCGTCTCTGCAGATCAAAGTGAGCTTTCCTCATCGGTGAATGTGAGCTGACCTGCTGACCTGGGGCCGATCTTGCAGGAAAGCGCCATTATCACCTCCTCCTTCGTGTCTGCCCTGGCACGCATCACCATCATGGCACCTCCGGAGCAGGTACTGAGCATGTTTGCTTCTATTGCTCCGCTTCTCGATGTCCAACCAGCAGCGGCCGGCTCAGACATCATCGCGCCTTTGCTCTCGCTTTGGGCCAAAACCTTTGAAAACATGCACTCGCCTCGGAAACGCAAGGCTACCGCCATGGCACTGGCCGCGGTCGTCAGCAGCTGCGGGCAAGCTGCTGATGCGACCGAAGCGTCCGTTCAGGCAATTTGCACTAAATTGCCTGAGATGGCGGCTGTCTGGAGTGATTGCTTGGGAGAAATCCGCGAACACTGCGGAGAAGCGTGGGTGCCAGGCATTTCACAACGACAGCAGTTGCACCGGTGCTGATTAAATGTGCTGTGCTTATCCACAGACAATCCTCGTTCATTCGCTCGATGACTTCGACTGAAGGTCTCGGGCAGGGCGCACTAGACACAGACGAGGATGACTGGCTCGAGGACACATCTCCAGGTACGGCGCGCTTAAGGAATTTGGCGGAGAGCGACTTTGTCATCTCTGTCGACCTAGCGCAGTACATTTCCTCTGCAATGAGCAGCGTCCAACAGCGCTTCCCGACTATCGTACAGGCCAGCCTTACAGCCATGGATCCGCTCGTGTTGGAAATCCTGATGACTGACCTCAAGTGAGAAATCAAAGATACCAATATAGCATTCAACCATTCAGACCTTGTTAATGGTAATACAACATCAAAGTCAAGCAATCTCTAGTCCATCTGCAGCGCGTCGTCCCAATCTGGGTCCTGTTCGTCTCTGTCACTGTTATTATCGTCGCTGTTGTGATCGGCATTACCGCGGAAGGAACGCTGCGCAGCTTCGCTCGCCTCGCGGATCTGATCTTGTTCAAACTCCCAGACTTGCCGCTGGATGGCGTCCGCCTCTTCATTGGAAATGGCCTTGATCTTGACTTCGCGATGTGACTGTGGTGGTGGAGGCGGCGGGGCAAAGTCGTCATCGAGTGCCACGTCGACAGCTCGGCCCTTGCCCTTGCGCAGAAGAGACATGGCTTGCAGATGGTCTTGTAGTTCCTTCTCGTCCCGTGATTCTGGGTCGATTGTGGCTCTGTGCAACTTGTCGCCGAGCTCACGGAGTGCATTGCGCGAAGCAAGCACATTCTGCATGACGACTACTTCGGCGCGGAGCTTGTCCGAGATCGCAGGACTAACGCTGGTACCGGCGGAAGAGAGAAGCGAGGAGCGCTGTGTGATGGCAGCTAGCAGCTCGGCAGAGCTCATCTGCGATGGGTCCTTTGAAGCGCGGACCCCGTTGCCGACGCGGGAGGTCTTGGGAATGAATAGGCTCGATGATGCTGCGGCGCTCGCATAGCCTCTCGCTGTAGGAGCAGGAGCGGACGATGATGCTTCGACAGCTGCTTGAGTGGTGGTGGCGTGCCCCGTCACTGCGAGTGCTCTTTGCTCGAGCGTCTCAAGCACGTGTCGAGCGATCACGTTCGTGTCAGCCAGCGGTGAACTGGAGAGGGAAGATATGATGGCGGCCGAGCTACCAGAGGGAGATGTCGACAGTCGTGCGATGCTGCTAGGCGAGGTCGACAGGCGAGAAGTGGGAGGCGAGCGACTGTACGGCGCATGTGCGCTTGCGCGGCGATGAATAGGATCGCCAGGTAGGCACAGAGCGCCGCCGACACCGATGCCGCTGGTAGTAGGCGATTTGATGTCAATGCTGCTAGACCCGCCGGTGGCTATACCGGAGGAGGCTTTCGTCGTTCGAATGGGCGCCATGGAACTGATGAGGTGTTGGGACGGTGGTGGTGGTGGTGGTGGTGGTGGTGAGAAAGAGCCATGGGCGCGACGTAGGGGATGGGCAGGGAGCTGGCGATGCCTGTCGTCATGTGACGTCCACGTGCTGCCTTACTGAAAAGGGCTTGCGGGCTGTTCCAGTGTCTCGAGACGAGGAGTGGAAGCAAAAGAGAAACGAGGGCGATGAAGTGGGGAACGGACCTCCTTTAAATAGGACCTGATCGGGGCTGGGCCCAAGCGGTATTCAGAGAGCGTCTCATCATAAACGCAACTGGGCTTCTGGAGGCCGCCCTTTCCCCTCCCTGTGCGCGACTTGAGACATAACATCCATACTCGGTACTCTCACATACACCGTCAGAACACAGACCCCCATTTTAAACCATCGCATGTTTTGGCACCCCCGAGACAAAAAAAAGGAAAAGGCATAAAAAAACCATTGAGATATTGTGAGATTGAATAGTTCGTGCTTGTGCTCAATTATGCATATCGAGTAGCACGGCGCTACTGGCCTCGAGAATAATGGGTAGAACGCCAAGCATGAAGTATGGAACGGTCGAAGAACGCAAGACCTGCCAGTCCCACAGAAGCTCGTCGAGGACATTCTGCAGGAAGACCAACGCGTCGTCGACGATATGCGGAATTCGCCACAAAAGCGCCTCGGTGACAAGGACCACAGCGACAAGGATCATGAGGAGTCGCAGGAGGGACCACCGGCGCTTGCCTGGCCCGAATATGGAGGAAAGGGCGAGGGGAAAGCCCAGTGCTAGTGCGGTGGCGAATGCCTGCGAAAAATTCAGCACACTGACCACTGCGATGAGCACGCCGGCGTGTATCATTGCGAAGGAGTGCAGTGTTGAGCCCAAATGCGCCATGGGCGCTTTGGGTTCATTGTGAGACACGACTCGGGCGGCAAACGGCATCAAAAAAGCGACTAGATAGTAGGTTCTGCGTATCGGCTTGCAGGTATGGCGGGCAGTGGTCAGGCGATCAACGA